AACGCCGCATCTTTGGGAGTAAGAGGGATGGAGGGCGAGGTTCATGGCACATTGCGTCCCTCTTCGTCCCCTTCCCCCTTGCCCAGCGAGGGGAACGCTACAGGCGCATGATGGCGAAACCCAATGCCCGAGGGATGTGCGAGAGAGCGGAGGCCACGGCTGGCGGGCCGTCGGCTGCTGCTGTTTCGGTTGTTTTGGGGCGGCTCTACGGCGACGCCGGCTCGGTGACTCGATCGCTCATGCCCTTGGTAGGGTCGCAAAATTTGGTCATGATTGGAGGTCGAAATTCTGTGGCCACGATTATAGGTCGACCCTTAATTTTTGACATTTCCAGAGAGAAAATGTCGACTTATATTCGAATAACTACGGTAGATGGGTATGTGCTAGCTAGGGGTGTTCCTACGACTATATTACTCATAAAAATCAGTTTTATTTTAAAACGATAGTTTTCTTAAGCGAACACACTGACTTGCATATTGTAACATTCGTAACAAGTTACAGAATTGACATAGGACAATGAAATTTGGCAGTGACCTCAATACGCAATGGCGCCCCGCACGCTTTTCACATGGCTCCGACTTTTCCTTGGACTCCTACTTTTCCTACGCCTGCGTTCCGAGCTCCAGGCCAAGGTCTCAGCCCATGAATGCGCCGGGCACCCGTGGATCCCGGGATATGGACTTCGCAGCTTGACTTCAGCCCGTATCGTTGTGAGTTCCGCCTCGGCAGCGACTAAGCCTAAAGGTCCGCTCCCGCTCGCTCGACCCCACGTCGTCTGGCTGCTACTGGTTGCCGGAGATGTCTCCACAAACCCCGGCCCACGGCACTCGTGTCCCCGTTGCGCCCGAGATGTCCACAACAACACTGCTGCCCTACAGTGTGACAAGTGTGACTGTTGGGTCCATCGAAAGTGCGAGCTCCTTTCTCTGCCGGCTTACCGTCGCCTTTCCGCATCTCCTGAGAAGTGGTATTGTGGTGCATGTCAGCTGCCCCCCATCGACGACGAGCTATTCCTGTCAGCGGCTCCGCAGTCTCCCGGGACCCCGCCATGTACACGGTCACCCAGGACCACGACCGAGAACTTACGGGAACCTCCGACTAACCCCGGCTCCTCACGAAGGAAGAACCCTGTGATTTGGTTCTTGAACGCCCGTTCGATTCGGAAAAAGTTACCGGAGCTCCAGACCACCATGGCGTCAATGCCCAGCACCATCTTCGCGCTCTGTGAGACATGGCTGGATCCGTCAATTTTTGACAGCCACATCATCCCCCTGGACCTATACACTGTGTTTCGCAGGGATCGTTCTTCGTCCCGTGGTGGGGGCGTCATGCTTGCCATACCAAGCTCGTTCCCGTGCCACCGGCTCTGTGATCTCGAATCGGACGAGCTTGAAGCTCTATTTGTGGAAATTACTTTCAACAAGAAGAAACACCTTGTGGCTTGCGTTTACTGCCCCCCCGCAGTGCGATCAGAGTCTTACGAACAGCTCCGTCGCTCTGTAGAGCGTATGGTCTCTGTGGTCGGCAAGTACCACAACATTCTTATCCTTGGCGATTTCAATGCCCACATTGATTGGCACGACCCCCTGTCCCCTACGCCCCAAGACTTGGCATCGGACTCTCTCCTCGACATCATGGATACTAACGGGTTCACCCAACTCTGTACCGAGCGGACATACACTTCCCCCGCTGGTAGCACATCTTACCTTGACCTCTGCTTCGTTTCCAACCCCACCCTTATCCGTGAATGTGTCGTGACGCTTGGCCTTAGTTCCTCTGACCATCGAGCCATCCTTCTAGACATGTTTGCATCATTCCCAACACGTGGTCCACACAGCAGGCTGGTTCAATCTTACGCCAAACTTGACATGCAGCACCTCCAACGACTTGTGTCTCTCACCCCTTGGGACATTGTGCTTTCTGAACCCACCATCAATGATATGTATGACCTCTACCCTTCCCTAATGTGTGCCCTCACCTCCGACACTGTCCCTGAGAAACGCTCCCGCCGCCGACACCACGCTCCTTGGATTACACGTGAGCTCATAACCCTGTCCCGACAGAAAGACAAGCTATTCCGCCGAGCGAAAAGAACCTGCCACGCCGACGACCTTCTGGCTGCCAAACAACTCCAGCGCAGTCTCAAGAAACAGATTCGCGTGGCTCACCGGTTGTTTGTTGAGGACATTGCCGCAAGAGCGATTAGAGAACCAAAACTGTTCTGGGCCTACATAAACTCTCAACGCAAGCAGTCGCAGTGCCCATGTTTTCTCATTGATGACACCATGGTTTCCTCACCGTCCTGCATCTCGGAAGCCTTCAACTGCCATTTTTCGTCGCTCTGGTCGACATACACAGTGTCGCCTGAGCCTATCCTGAGCCCCACTACCGCCATTCCCTCGGCTCCCAGCCTCTCCACTGTAACCATGAGTACTGAGGACGTCCTTGAGGCTGTCTCCCTCATACATCCCTCCCAAGGCCCTGGCCCCGATGGCATCCACCCACTGATTCTCAAGTGCACAATACAGAGTATGGCTCCTCTTCTGTGCCGCATGTTTCGGCGCATTATTGACACGGGCACGGCCCCTGATGCCTGGAAGCTTGCCCACGTCACACCCGTTTACAAAGGCCATGGCGCCCAAGCGAGTCTACTGTCTTCCTACCGTCCTATTGCGTCTACATCCATTGTCTGTCGCACTTTTGAGCGTATCCTTAATAAGAAGATCCGTTCCCATCTCGACGACAACAACCTTTTGTCACCTGCTCAACACGGCTTTCGCCAAAACCGCAGCTGTGAAACTGCACTGGGTGTCTTAGTACACACACTGAGTGCCCACCTGGATAACCGCACACCTTGTGAGCTTGTACAGCTCGACCTTTCTCGAGCCTTCGATCGTCTTCCACACCCCTCTGTCCTGGCCAGCGTTAACGCCAAGGGTATATCAGGCACTGTGCTCGCCTGGTTAGCATCTTTCCTGGATAACAGAATGCAGCGTGTTGTCTACCGTGGCGCCAAATCTGCTTCCAGTGTTGTCCGTGCTGGTGTACCCCAGGGGAGTGTGCTTGGGCCCACACTCTTCACCATGTTCATAGACAGCATCACTGATTCTTTACACTGCAGCCCCATACTCTACGCAGATGACATCTCACTCTTGCAGCCAATCCGCAATCCTTCAGACTATGCATCCCTCCAGTCTGATCTCGACCAGTGCTACCAGTGGACACAGCAGCACCAGCTGCCCATCAACACTCAAAAATCAACGACTATGACTGTAACTGGGTTGTGTCGCCCTCGACAACCACCTCCACGGCTCACCGTTGGCCAAGTGGAGATCCGCAGGGTCTCCTCAAGTGTCATTCTGGGTGTAGAGTTTGATGAGCGCCTGTCATTCTCTCCTCACGTCCAACGCACTCTCGCCAAGTCTCGCCGTATGCTGGGCTTCATTACCCGCACCACGCTCAACATGCCTCCAAACGCATTCCGTAGCCTCTACACAGCCCTCGTTCTCCCCATACTCGAGTACTGTTCGGTAATCTGGTTCCCCCATTCGGTACGCCTACAGTCGTGCCTCGCCAGTGTCCAGCGACGTGCAGCATACACATTTTATAGCCGCAGCACTCCTAGAGCCCGCCGCCTGCCCTATCGTCAGATTAGGACTGCTGTTCTTCTTCACCATGCGTCCTGGCAACCGCTTGCCTCCCGGATGCATGGCGCTTCCGTGCGCCTCCTTTGCAGACTTCTCAGCTCTGGCCACCAGCTGCTTATTGATGTGCCCCGCCTCTGTCACCGCACTGGCCGCCTGCAGCCGCTGCATACGCGGACCGAGCGTCACAAGTCTTCATGGCTACCATGTGCTGCTGCTTTGTGGCAACAGTTACCGCCGGACCTCACACGACTTTTCCCCCCTGAAGACGACAATATCTTGTCCCTGGTGAAGGCTGCCCAGCGCCTGCACTAGCCTTCAACTTGAACTCTATAACCTTGCGCATGTGTGCGCAGTTCCTGGGTCCCCAGGTTGGGTTGCAAGCCTCCCTGGCATGGGCAGCTATGCCTTTTTGCACCCCAGCATGCCTGGGATACCCTATCCAATCAATGCAAATAAAGTATTATTATTATTAGTATTATATAAACTTCCACTGCAAATTTGATTGAAATCAAGCAAGCAGTACAGAAGTTGACTTTTCTGGATAGTATCCCCCCCTTAACGCAATTGCGAACACACTTTTTTTGAAATACCAAAAAACGGAGTCTGGAGTGATGTCGCCTCCTGGCTTTTTATCTTCCCTCGGAAAACGTGGCGATCCTGGCGGCGCTCGGCATATGTGGCTCTGAGGATGGTCGGTGAGTCGGGTAATCGGACGAAGTCCTCTTTTTTTAGGTGCCCGACGACCTCTCAGACTTCGAAAAGGAAATCGTCAGACGGTCAGTACAACTGGGTTTGGTGTCTGTGCATCGTAGTTTCGGTTGTGACTCCACCAAGGCAGCCTTTCACGCAGAACCGGCGAGACGTGGGCCCTCACGTCGCTCACAAAAGTCCAATGCACATTCTTTTCCACCTTGCACCGTTTCAAAGAATTTGAGATAGCTGAAAGGGCGCTAAAAGAACTTTAAACTCGAAAGTTAAGCGTCATCTGGTCACAGCGATAAGCGGCAAGCACGGAGAAAAGTGTTTGATTACGGGACGCGGGCGAACACGCTTTGGGACGGTTCAGTGGCGTGAGAGAAACTCAACTTGCAGGACGACTCAATCTTTGACGTCGCTGCACTGGCGCAGATCGCGCGGGAACTTCAAATTCGACTTTGGGAAATTGTTTTTTTTACTCCACAAATACTGAGTTCCCAAGTTCCGAATTTTGAGGGTAATGTCCAGACATAGTTTTCAATTTTTTCAAATAATAATAATAATAATTTAAAAAAAAGATTTTGACCTGCCAGTGTTTTTTTTTAAGATGAAAGGTTTAACTTAGAAGTCGTTGCTCGCAATTCTAATGTGTTTCAGGGAGCTGCGAGCCCTGTTCCATGCCTATCGACAGCGGCTGTCTGGTGGGCAGCGTGAGGAGGAGCTGTGCGACAACCTCATCAGCGGATCCATCTTCCTGCGTTTCCTGTGCCCGGCCATCCTGTCACCCAGCCTGTTTGGCCTCACACCCGGTAAGGGTGGCCTAGGTGCCTGGCAATGGTGCAGTATAGACCACTTACAACGTAACTGCTTATAGTACAGGATTGGGTGTAACGCGGTTTTTTTAAACCACCGGTTCGCCTCCCATAGAACTCCATGTAATTACATACCGCTTAAAATGCAGGCGCGTGAAGGGAAATACCGGTTATAGTGCGGTTTCTGGAACAGCCCGCCGACCGCGCCGCCGACCGGAGCAGCGAGCACGTTTCCCTGTGCGACACTAGATAACGGCGCTGACGGCGCTAGCCGCGGCACTCGCGGGGCAAAGAGGTTGCTCGAAGAAGCGGGGAGAAGCGAAGAGAGAGGCTTCAGTTGCCATAGTGACGGAGGGACGCACGCATGTGTCGTTCACGTGCGTGTGTCCCTCCGCTGCGTTGGAACTTCGAAAACAACCGCAACGACAGACCAATCGCAGGTCGAGGAGAAGTGTTCGCGCACGTTGTATGCCGGTCGCGGGCCGGCTTCTATCCGCAAACATGGCGTCGGTTGTGATCGTCGTCGTACACGGCGTGGTGGAAGCTCATCGTTCCGCGTTAAAGCGCGGATTGATGAGCTGTGAATTGTTTTACAAAAGTAAGTTGCCTCATGGTATGTATTTTGGCCTGAAAAATTGATGTTTTGGTTATAGCGCGGTACTGCCTATAGTGCGGATTTTCGCGATTCCCACGACATACGTTATATGCGGTATACACTGTATTGGGATAGATTTGTTTGACCGTGGTTACCGGACATGGAAGTGGCCCGTGTGTGTGCTTCTGATCCGTTAGAAATGCATTTCTACAGAAAATATTCAAACAAGAAAAGGAAGAAGATAAAAAAAGAGGTGGGAGCACTTAACGGGTAGGCAGCGTGATAAAATTATATGCAGCCTGAACACGAGGGATGCATGAAGAGATTAAAGGTGACACGTGACACAAATTTGAATGCCGCAACGAGGCTCTAGGAAATGTTACTGATGCTTTTACAGCGGCGCTGGGCTAGTTTCCCCGGTTTCGTGTCCGTTACAAAACAAATGTCAACACAAAACTCTGGACAGCTACCCCCATCTATGAGCGACGGCGGCAGCCAGACAACCCATCTGGTTGCCGCTAGATGGCGGCCACCTTTCCAGCCTTTCCGTCAAGGTGCGCGATGTCTGGTGGTCGCGGTCGTGTATGTCCCTCCTGCGACGCCCAAGAGAGACATTGAAGCATTCATGATAGATGTCTTTGGCTGGGTCATGCCGGCGACGACACGTCCGCTGTGGCGACATGTGACTTTAACGTTGACATTGCATGCAAGGAGGGAAAGTGGGTCACTTCGTTTATGCTCGAGCGGTTAGGGCTTGCGTGTGTGAACGAACCTACGGTGCCCACGACTAGGCTTCGGACGTGTATAGACCTCGTCTTCACGAAGAATGTGCCTGCCGTCAGTGTACACCCTATGGCGGTGTATTACAGCAATCACAAGGCCATGGTCACTGTGGTTACAAAATAAATAACCACCTTGGATCATTACTATACTATGTCCTATTCTTTAATCGTTCAAATAACCAATTCCCCAATCACACCTTAATCCTTGCATTCATAAACACTTCATTCCGTTGTCATAATACAGCTTCGCTGGTCTTCCTTCTTCACCAGAGTGGAAAGGCTGACAGTTTTTTGATTATTATTATTTTTAGTGGTCTGATTAAGAATATTGTATTATATTTTACCCAGTCACTAGTGGTGTTTAAAAAAGACAAAGCCTATTGGCTACTTGGTGCAATGAAGTCACCTGTAGTGATGGGTTACTTTAACGTTGACATTGCACGCCCGCCGAGTAGGAGAATCGGGGGATTCTCACTAGAGCGCTTCCAGTTTACGCCGCGGGAGGGCAAGCAATTAGGTGGAGACTCGAATAGGACAACAGATCCTGTTCCCTCACAAGACTTATTTGTACAGCACAGTCGTTTTTTGCTCTTTATTGCTTTTTTATTTTGCCACCATGACCTTGGAATTCAAAGTTTTTCGAATAAATCCGAATGGACGAAACATTTATTGGCGAGTGTTTTTCTGAGTTTTTCAGATCTATCCGGAAACAGTGGAATCCTAATTATCACCTAGTTTACTATGGCCACATTTCTTTTGCATCATAAAACCGTTAATTGTCGTCGCTGTCATTTCCTCTCAAATTCAGAGTACCCGGATGAGAAGGCGGCCCGAAGCCTCACCCTGATAGCCAAGACAATCCAGACGTTGGCCAACTTCACCAGGTGGGGCACTCCTTCTTACACAGCGTCATCTCAGAGCTCAGACAAGTGCGCGCTCTTTCGGCGTCGCAGGTTTGGCGGCAAGGAGGGCTTCATGGAGTTCATGAACGACTTTGTGGAGAAAGAGTGGAGCACCATGAAGGCTTTCCTCAAGCAGATTTCGGTGAGCCACCTTTTGCACGGAAGTGTTTGGTGCGTGGCTAGCGAACAGGGAAACGAAAACGTTACTAGTGGCAATAACTGCTTCCTAGATTTGCTTTCTTTACCCCTTAATGGTTCAATTTATGAAAATCCCAAGAAATAGGATCAAGAACACCTTTTTGCGAGGTAATGAGTTTTATGGGGGGGCATTATTATTCATAACTCGTTACCTGGTAGAGAGTTCTAAACGTTGAAAATAATTTATTTGAAAAAGTAGTTATAAATTGAGAGAAGCATAGCTGTTCTTCATCACTTGACAAGCAAAACACGAGGTCAACTTTGTCGTCACTGCAGTGCAGCCCAGTTTCGTACTGCAAGAAAGCGAAATTATACTAATGTTGACTGTTTCGCCAAAAACCACACAAAATGTCAAGGTGAATAAATGCACTTATGATAGCGACGGTTGTTATTGCACCTAACTAGTTTCGGCTACTACACCGTGACTAAACAGATTTGGAATTCAAATTTTGAGAAGGATGGTGATTGTGACTGTTTACCTTGTACCATCTATTTTGGGGAAGAAGAAATTACGCCAGACAAGCTGATCTCGTCATAAACCATAAAACCGGTGCCGAAAAGCGCATAACGAGGTGGACTTGTCATAAACCATAAAATGACAGATGACTTGTGATGACCCAATCTCGTCACAGACCGTTAAAAAGCCCCTGAAAAGAAGAAATGCTTGTGTTAAACAGCCTGGTTGGGTCACGCGTGTCAAAAAATTAATTTTACGCGAAGGAAAAACTTGGAGCAATATCGACTAAATTGCAATAGACGCGATTTGGTCGGTAGTCACTTCCTTTCCACTTGTTTTCTCTCGGCAATTCGGGCGCGTGGAGAGGAGGTGGTTCGGCTTGGCCATCACGTTGAGGTGGAGAGAGTACGACCATCTCGTTGAGGTGGAAAAAGTGTATGACCATTTCGTGATGTCATGGACTTTGCTCGCAGAATTTAAAATAAATCTCGCGCCTTCATAATTGCTTTAAATTTTTTTTTTTCACATCATTTAATTTTTTTACACGTGTCTTAAACAGGCTGTTTAAAATTTTTTTTCTTTTCAGGGGCCTTTTAAAGAACATATAAAGGGAAATTTTTTTTTTTTAACAGCCTAGATGGAAAAAGAATGTTATAAAACAAATTTCCAACGAAAAAAATTTTTAGAGCTATATTTTTGACGCAAAAGGAATTTGCAGTGTCTAGCGTTACGCCCGACGGAACCCGAAATAAAAATTAAAGTTACGTCCTACGTACGTAAGGATTCGAGTTACGTCCGACGGAACCCGATGTGAAAATTAAAGTTACGTCCGACGGACCTCGAAATAAAAAAGTAAAGTTTCCCCCACCCGCTGCCCGTTTCAACCTGGGTGAGTTTCGTGCTCGCGTAGGTCGTGGTACCGGCACGTATTCGTGTAATTACTACTGCGTGGTGCACGTTAAAGACCCCACTGGTTAGCGGTTGTACTGCAGTGGCTAACTTTCTCATCTAGAACTAAGAGACTAGTCACCCGTGGATGCGTACCAGAGCATCGAACCTGTCTAGACATACGAGCAACACGATTTTTCTAGATCACGGCACATGTAGGGGCTTTCGACGCTTTCAACGAGACGACGGGCCCTCAATCTGTCGTACGAACCAACATGCAAACACCGTTATTTCAGGGCCACAGCAGTCTCAGGCTTGTAGCAAGCGTGCTGCGGTTTCCATTTTGTTAATGCTTTTCTTTTCTTTTTTGTGTGTCGTGTCTAGGAAGAAGTAGTTTAATATCTAAAAACAAATCGCAAAAAAAAAAAAAAATCTTCTTAAAGGAGAAAAAAATTGCTAAAAAAAGAGGCGAAAACGAGAAAAAAAAAAAAAGCGTATGTAACGGGTATTGAACCTGCCAGGGCCTACGCAGCCTCTACATACGATCAACACACTCTAACCCCCTCAACAAACCTGGAGGTACGAATAGAGCCGCAATTTTGACCAGTCTACCAACGCTGCATCGGACGTGATGCAGAAGTAAATATATCTATTTTTATGTTTTCGTCGTGTTTTGGCCACAAAGTGTAACATTTAATAAGGTTTCGTAGGTTACACAGGCCGTAACTTATTTTCGTCGGACGTAACTCGAAACCTTAAGGTAAAGTTACGTCGGACGTATCTTTAATTTTTATTTTGGGTTTGTTCGGATGTAACGTTTCTCTTTATTTTGAGTTACGTCGGCCGTATTTTTATTTGGAGTTTTGTCGGACGTAACTTTAATCTTCAAATTGGGTTACGTTGGACGTAACTCAAAACTTACGTAAAGTTACGTCGGACGTAACTTTAATTATTATTTAGGGTTCCGTCGGACGTAACGCTAGACACTGCGAACGGAATTTGTAGTTGGCGCCCGCAGTAGCCGCACCGGGCCACGTGGTACACCTGTGCGCCATCGCGTGGCGCCGCTGCCGCCTCAAAGTCACGCGGAGCGTAGTGCGCCGCCGTTTCAACGCGTTTCTTCATGCCGCCATCGCCGCTGCCGTGCAAGTTCGTCTGTTCCGCGGCGCCGCTGCCGTCATCTGACCGGTGCACAGGTCTATCACGTCTGCTTGCGCTTTTTCAGGCGCTTCCTTTGGGCTCTAAAAGTTACTTATTAATCTTCGTTTTTTGTTGCACTTGAAACAAAGATGAATAGGTAACTTTTAGAGACCATAGGAAGCTTCCGAAAGAGTGCAAGTACCACGAGACAAACAGCGGCCACTTTTCCACGGCGCCCGCGGGTGCCAACTACAAATTTGTATAGTGCTCTAAATACGGCCCTAAATTTTTTTTTTTTTGTAAATTTGTTTTATGATCTCCTTTTCCCAACCGTGCTGTTTAAAAAAAATTTCTTTTTCTTTTGCATGTGTCCTCTAAGCGGTTAAGGAAAGATGCAGAAATTAAAAACCAAAAAATTACGAAAAAGTTGTTCTTTGGAAAGGCACTTTTTTGGACTGTATATTCCATAATTTACCTCCTCTGTAATGATTAGCATTTAATTCACCGAGAAAATGTGTATAAAAAATATTTATGAGGTCCCGGCGGCTTCCAAATTGCGCTAAAGGTGAAAAATATAGCAGGATTTCGAGCGATTCCTGCTCTTTCAGTTTGGCGGTCGGCCGCCGGCTTAGTCTTAGTTTGAAGCAGAGCTTTTTTTGTTTTTTTTTCTTTTTGCTGGTCTTGTTTTGAAGCAGTTTTCTTTTCACTGCCCTTCAAAATAGTGTCCGCCGCACGGTTTTGGCATGATCAGCGTCTTTCCACCTCACGATTGCGAAGCAGCGATTGGCCAAAATGCCCGTTCAACCGAGCACACGACTACTATTGGCCGCGACGTTTGTTCTACTTTCGTTGCCAAGGCTGCCGCGCCGTCGGGGCACGTCTCGCTGCCTCGCTGGCCTTGCGTCGTCATCTTGTTCCCTCGCTTTGTCAACTATACTTAGGTTTTTGCGATCTTTACGATCGTTTGCAGCCCTTTGATTTTGTAGTTTCGCATACTTTGCTTGCATGTTTCGTGGCCTCAAGAGGTGCGGGGAATGAATTAGGAGACGGTGCACGCATTCGACGCACGAAAGTGGTCCATGTGAGCTTCTTTGCATGGCCACCATCGGAAGCAGCATTGGTGGCCTGCCTCTGCGCGGCGAAATACCGATGCTCATCGCGTCGCTACTTCAGATTGTAAAATTTCTATCTACAGGGTCTGTCCCAAGACTGCCCGGAATGATTTTTTGTGGTCGGCAACGCCGCCTGGCGGGGTGGGGCTTCAGGTGGAGAAGTTAGTGGGGGATATAAGCTTCGAAACGAGACCGGTCTCAGTTGTCTGGTATCAGTTGCTGAGGCAGGTCACGCTCCGCGCAGAGGCATCTACAGCACCCTCGTCGAGAAAAAAAATGGACCAGTTTTTGGAGCAACGTTATGCAATCAAGTTTTGTGTGCAACTAGGTAAAAACGGGGCGGAGACGCTCGAAATGCTTCGGAAAGCCTACGGCGACAATGCGATGAAAAAAAGCCAAACTTTCATGTGGCACAAGAGGTTCCGGGAAGGTCGGGAGTCTGTCAACGACGACGACCTCTCGGGACGCCCGTCGACATCACAAACGGATGACTCGGTGCAAAAAGTGCGTCACGTTTTGGACAAGGACCGGCGATTAAGCGTTCGAATGGTCGCAGATGAGTGTGGAATACCCAAAACAATCGTTCATCGCATTTTAATAGAAGATCTCCAAATGAGGAAAGTCTGCGCGAAAATGGTGCCAAAGGTCCTGACGAGTGAGATGAAGGAAGAGCGTTTGTTGAAGTGTCAGGAATTGCACGAACGCTTCGAAACAGACCCAGAATTTTCGGACAGAGTGATCACAGGGGATGAGACGTGGATTTTCGAGTACGATCCCGAATCAAAGCGTCAGAGCAGCGAGTGGCACACCACGGAGTCTCCTCGCCCGAAAAAAGCAAGGATGAGCAAATCGCGAATCAAGGCAATGCTCATTGTGTTTTTTGACAGAAAAGGTGTGGTTCACAGTGAATTCGTGCCACAGGGACAAACAGTCAACGAGGAGTTTTACTGTGAAATGCTCAAACGGTTGCGAAACAGGGTTCGACGAGTCCGAAAAGAAATTTGCGACAACTGGATCTTGCACCATGACAATGCGTCAAGCCACACCGCGCTCATTGTCTCCGAGTTGCTGGCCAAAATGTGTGTGCCAACGCTGCCCCAGCCACCGTACAGCCCCGATCTGGCACCACCGGACTTCTTTTTATTCCCAAGAATCAAAAGAACCCTGAAAGGAACTCGGCATGGGATGCTGGAGATGGTAAAAGCAGCTGCGACGACCTCACTGAAGGAGGTTCCTGTTGACGGCTTCCAGGGCGCCTTCAGTGATTGGGTTCAGCGTTGGCAACAGTGCATCGAAGCAGGGGGAGATTACTTTGAAAAGTTCTGAAAAGATTGTAAACTGATATTGAATAGATGATTTATAAAAAAAACAATTGCGGGAACTTTTGGGACAGACCCTGTATGCCATATGCTGGCAAAACTAAGTGAACACAACAGCAGAACAGAAAGAAAGTATGCAAGGACACTTCCAGCTCCTCCTCGGGTAAAAAGCCATTTCACGTGGTGCAGTCCTGCTAGCGATTTTCGTGATTTTTGGTTGCAATGTTACTCGCTCGAGAGAAATGATAAAAGCCGTGGACGGTGACTTATCTGCGTGCATACTGTGTCCACAAGCTCTTCGCCGCACGAGAATGAACATCGCAAGCAGAACCGCGCCACGTGAAACGGGTTCAATGCTGAAATTGTGTGTGCAACTTTCAACTGCCGTTTTCTCAAAATGGATTTTTCCTCTGACACTGGCAATATCCTAGCGATATCTCGGAAGTTGTGTAATTAATTTGCATGCCTTTTTTTTTTATTCTGTTCCTAGACAACTTTGTGAGGGCATGACAAGCTTCCTTTTTTAAAAATTGTGTTAACAATTTCGAGTAATTCTCAAATAAAATTTGATGGATGAGCATATGACTAGCAATATGAAATTCCATGTAGTGCAAAAATGATTTGGAAAAGAAATGAATAAAAAGGGCTTTGTCATGCCCTGGGGTGCCCATCCAGGAATGCTTATGATAAATTTCACATTCCCACTATGTTTTGTTATTTCTCCAGGCCTGGGATAAAGAAAGCAAATGAACCATACTGAAATTTTTTTGTAAATTAAGAACCCATGAGCACAGCTTAATGAAACTTAGCAGTTACTCTTATAAATGTGCTATGAATGTACCCTGAAAATTTCATAAAGATGGCCTTAAAAATAAAAAAAAAAGTTTAGGTTTCCTGCCAGCTTGCCACCTTAAAGGTCATTTGCCCGCTCGAGTGCACTGTGCCTGCTTGTGAGGTACGGCATAGGTAGCCCTGGGACATTTCCGATCTGCGTATGACTAGACTGAAGATTTTGCAGTATTTGCAAAATCAAATTCGTGCACTGCATGAGAGATGGAGCATCGTCCAGGGCTACCCAATAATGGTGTGCCAGTTTGCCAGTTTATTCTCCCGTCGTGAGCGGTGAGAAGTGAGCACAGCGCACTCGAATACACCCAAACGCAAATGTGTGACTACCTTATGAGTGCCTGGCATGTGGAAGGAACTTGCCCACCACACATCATTTCGTTAATGTCGCATGAGCTCTTGTGGTGGCAGCAAACCAGTTCACACTTTGGGGACCGTCCCGCGTAGAGCCCGAGTCCCAGGGAATCGATGAACAGGGACACGCCCTGCGTGGACCTGGGCCTGGAGCTGGCTCAACTTCAGGGCCTGCTCAGGGAGTGCCTGCCGCAACTGGAAGGCAAGGTGAGCACCCTCTCCACTGACAGCGACGAGAATATCTTGCGCGTCTATGTCGGGAGGAGGGCAAGGTTCTAGCATGATGTGGTGGTACTGTCACTCGTGTTTTTTTAATTCGGACTATAAACCGGAATCATTTATTTTCGACATGAGGTTGAATGACCCCGAGTGTACTAAACACGTCGCAGACAGCATAAGAGTGCTTGGGGGCCCACACAAACGGTAGATTTTTCGTGTCTAGGGTTAGAAAAGTATGCGATTAAAAACATGTATATAGTAATGATGCCTGCTAAATTATTAGGTAGTTTTAGTATAACGTATGTAATTTTAGTGCACGTTACCGCTAAACTTAGTGCTTGCATTAGTGCACGCTACGCTAGAGAGTTTTATGGCCTATTCATCTGGGGCACACTGCACCCGTGCAGTCCAGTAAACCCTTTCCACCTTACTACATGGAAGGCTGGTAAGGAGAGAAGGAAACTCCCCTCTCCCTTCTAGCCTTCCCTGTATCACGAACCGCACTGCACTGGTGCGATGCGGGCTCAGTGGCCTTTAGGATAACGTTTCTCCGCCGCGACGAAAAAGCCCAGGCATCTCGCGCTTGCACCGCCACCAAGGTACAGTCACAATTTTTCACTCGCAAAATGCTGCACCTCAAGAAAAAAAAAAGATTTTTTTTTCTTACATTTTGAGTAGCTTTTTAGATTTGTTCAAATATGAGTGCGACGGGAAGGATCGACCGGTCGTGTCTGCATACGTCGCCTTCGTATACTGACCGCCGAAAAATGTTCTCGTGTCCCAAGCATCAAGTTGCCGGCGATTGTTGCCCACCTTACTGGGTCTTCCAAATTGAGTGCAATGTCGTCCTGTGTTGAAAATCGTACTCGCAAGGGTGCCGCCCATGTTGCGCTCACTACGCTGCCAAAGCGGCCTCAGCTGTGATCCTTGGAGTCGCCATTTTTTAACCGCGCTCGTCTTGGCTTTAGCCAACTTTTCATCACGGATTCTCTCGGAGGAGCGCAAAAACTCTGCGTGTGCACACATAATCGCCACGAAATGGCGCTCAGAAAGCACAAAACATGGTTAGCATTCGGCGCATGCGCGGTGGCGATGATGCTCTTCTTTGCGTACGCAAAGCTTTAGTGTGCTCTCTTCTAAAACTGCCTAATATTTGTTAATAACTGCAGAGTCAATGGAGGGGCAGCTAAATACAAGCTCACCATTCATTTCAAAGTTTATTTTGTTGCAAACATTGAAAGGTGAAGTTGTCTCTGCCGTGCCAGGAAGGAGAAGCGGCCCTCCGCGGGGCCTTGGATGGAGCGGTGCCTGTCAGGGGCCGCAGGACCGTGCTGTCTTGCTTGGAAGCTGCAGGAACAACGCAGGGCCCTGTGGCACCTCGATCGAGCACCCTACCCAGGTGGGCTTGTGTTCTTGTCGGTGAACTAAACCATGGGTTCCCAAACCGGTTTCTAGGAACCAGGGGAACCGTGAGCTCCCAAATTTTCTTATCTGTTTCTGCCCTTAAACGAAGCATATTTCCAGCTTTAGCACTATTTTAGCGGGTTTGAGCCATCCATTGATGCATAACCATGAGTCACTTTCGCTGCTAGAAGCATTATCTTCTACGAGGTTCGTAGGCTTCTATTCTGCTTCATTGCATCCATTCCGAAACCGGAAGATGTTCTGCAATTGCAATTCAGGGCAAATAGGGGGGGTTCGCTGAGATTGAAATATTTGAAAACTCCTGACTGGATTGGAAAACTTGAAAACTCCTGAACTAGACCAAGGTGGATTGTTGAACTTGTAGTATCTTGCATATATTTGAATTTTCGAATGGTATTTTAAATAGCATGCTATTCGATATTCACTTTGTGGTGAACCGCAATATTCATGCTTTTTGAAGCGCAAATATTGAAGCACAAACACCCGCAAAAGCAAGCTCCGCGGATGTTGCTTCCCCGCAACTCACAAGTGCTTGGTTAGCAGTGCGCTCAACAAGGCAACAAAGCAACTCCTGGAAAAGAATTAATATTGCCATCGCATGCCTTTTTTGAACGTATTAGAGCTTTTTCTGAACATATTAAAGTTCACACCAAAGGACGTTTACAAACTTTCTGAATGTATTTGAGATCATGCCCGCAAACTTTTACAGTGTGTTTATTTCAGTTTACATTTACGAATGTTTACAAACCTTTTCTGAGCCAGTTTGAGTTCCCACCTATGAATGCATGCGTAAAATAAATTGTTTTGTGACAGTTGCTATCTGTCTCTTCTCTAGCACCCCCCGAGTAGCGTTCTCGTCCCTTACATTTTCCCCGATCGTATGTTTTATTTCCCCAATCCCCTGAAAAAAGTATCAATGAGGTTCTACTGTATTTGCACAGCAAGACGATATATAAATTCTCTCGATTAGGTACAGCTGGGCATCCCCATAAGATTAATTTTATGTCAAATCCCTCGTCTACTCGCCATTCCAATGTAGGCATTGGAACTTTCTGAGGCCACAGTTCATAAATATAGTTAGATTAATATTAACTTAGCTTTGGATGAAATGGACAAGTGGAAGCTTTGAAACATCCTTCACGAGTTCAGCTGAGTTTCCGTTTAAGTATGAGGCAGCAGTTGTGAAAAGCTCGTAGAAACTGTTCGATGTTCGATTTGAAAATATTTGACCAGAGCCACTATTCGCTTCAAACTCAAAATCCCCTATTCGCACATCCCCATCAACTTGACATTCACTTCGGGTCATTTCAAACGCGTAGCACTTATGGGGTCAGGCTCTTAGCACTCGCTGTCCGTGCCCGAGATGTGGCCTTCACAATGTTATCGTGTCAAGTAACAACCGTCATCACTGTGACGGTTGCGCAGGGCAATAGGTCATGGGATTACATGCTTTCTCGATGGTCACATGACACTATGATGTCGGGTGTCACGTGACGAAACTGGTGTCACGGTGGTGTCGCGGAGGACCTATAAATTCTGCTCATTGGGAGCACCTTTCAGATACATATGAGAGGCAGGCAGTTTCTTATGGTTATGGCTTTTCGAGTCTCTGTGTATACAGTGTTTTAATATTGTTTGCAGTCACACTTTTTTTTTCCCTTTTGAGGCTCATTGTTCGCAACACTGCTGTCTCGGTTATGCAGAAGTGCCCTTGCAACTGGTATGTCCCGCGAGCTGCCGGTGTCCCTCATGGCTGGAGGAGAGGCCAGCCTTCCGGACTTGCTGCCAGGGAGGCACGAGGTAACCTCGCAAATTTTGTGCTCCCGCCTCGCGACCCCTTAGGGTCAGTATTCTCGATGCTGTCGGTGCGCTTAGGGAGACCATTTTTTTTTATTTTGCAGAATGCGTTGTGTGGCCGGCCCCTAACCGTTTTTGTTTTCTCACTCCAGTGACTGAATCAGAAAATGCGAGTGCCAGCCGAATGTTGAGGCAGCACTTGTCTCCTCATTGATTAGACACAAGTGCCAGCCGCGTGCCTTGTTCCGATAGATACAAGTAACTCCCGCGGGTCGCATCATGTGATCAAACGTGGAGACGCCAGCAACATGCTCTACCCCTAGCCTGCGGTAAACAGACGAGCTCTCCAGGCTTGCAGCATTCCTGCCAAGCGCGTGCTTTTTCTTTTCATTATTAGAGCGCAGCTCTTAGGCGCCCGTTTCCGGCTTTAACGGCGTTGCCATCGCTGTCGGCATAACTACACGTTGCATTATGGGACGTTTCCCATAATGGCGTCGCATGTGACGTCACGAGGGCAAACTTTTTCCACTAAATTTGGTGGGAAATTTTTTCGCCAAATTTAGCGGGAAAGTTATATTTTCGTGACGTCACGTCTGGTTTCACGTGATGTCACACGTGACTCTTCCCTCTTTACCCTTCCCTCCTCCTCCTGCTCAAGAGCTGTGCTCTAATTCGGCATTACAAAAAATTGTAGACATCTTTCATTTTTTTTTTTTTTTTATTTTGGCACGTTTTCTGGGTAGGGTTGTTCGCAAGAAAGTTGCAGCGGAACTCTTTCCTGTTTTCCGTTCCGGCATGTCTCGTTCCGGGAACTATAGTGCCAGAATGGCCGCTGTGTTAGAAACGGTTCCTCTCCAATTGCATTTACCTCAACACTGCATCACATTCTGTGTAACCACTGCCTTCTTTCTTGCACCAGTCACACCAGTGTGGCTTGTCTAGTGCAAACTCATTCTACATTTCAGGGCAGCTTCTGTTGAACCAAATGGTGGGAGTACACCACCCATCTCAAAAGCTGTATTTTCTGCTCTGGTGAGAGCCAGTGTAAGGAAATTGAACACGCATGGCTACTTACCTCCAGGGCTTGGGTGTTGAAGTTAAGCCAAAATCATGTACTCGCAGCACTTCAGTTGTAGAGCATCTTTTCGTTTCTGAGTTGTGCACTGAACAGGGTGTGTGCCCACGCGTTTAACTGGGGATCCGTCTCGTTTTTTTTGCTCAGTGTGATTCTGAAAAGGGATGAATCGTCATGAACAGAACATAGATCCGTGACTGGGTGACATTGTTTGATACCGTGAGTTCTCATGGTCATGTGATATGTCTTCCTGGGTGGATTTTCTGTTCAGTAACTTGGTTGGAGCATTATTACCTTTTTTTTTAGTGGATTGAAGGTTTTTTTTTACAGCCTCCTTTAAGAGTTATGGAAGCTAATGAAGTCAGTTTCCTATAACTAAAATAAAGTATACCGTAATATGTCCCCCCCCCCCCCCCCCCCCCCCCCCCCCTGCTGCCTGAAATTAATGAAAAAAAAAAAAGTGGGGTGGACCACGTCTCAGTGGGTAAGCACAAAAAGGTTTAAAAAAGTTAAAAAAAACTAATATTTCTGCACTCATCTAGCGTGGCTGGACAAGAGTATAAACTGTGTAGTGGTCTACAAATTATCGCCACACTGGGGAAGCTAATCAGACCCATTTATTATATCTTACTTCCATTCTTCTCCCCGCCAGTTCTGATTGTTGTCGCCTTCTTTCGTTACCAGGCTCACTTCAAACTTAAAACTCTAATTAGTTTCACTGTCTTGCATAAGAAATGCTTGTGAAACAATGTTTTACTATCGTGAAATCCGTTGCTTGCACACTCGCGATGAACACCGCGGATCGGCATCCTTTCGTATTCTGATACGCTGCGAATGCTTGTTACAAAGCGCGTTTTCAAACCACAATGTTTCAAGCACGTTTTTAAAACTGCAGTGTTCTCTTTGCTGGGCTTCCTAGCCTTTGCTGATCTGTAAATTCAAAAATAAATAAAACAATAAATAATAATAAAAAAAAACTAACTAACTAGGCGCAACCAGAGAGTGTGCAGGCGAAGGACGACGAAAAGCGATGCTTCGGAAAATGTTTTGGCCTCAAGCCAAGCTGGGCTTATTTTGTGCGTACCTGCCTGCGTCCGGGGAAGACATGCTATCAATGCAACATGGCCCCACACTGCTATGCTTCATGGACAACACCACTGTACCACAGGGCTCAAAATGGGATGCTTCACAAGCGCTTGGGATAGGCGTTTCAGGAAATCTTTATTCACCCATTGTTACCCATTGCCTTTCTTCCAAGCATCTCATGACCTTGCCAGCCGCGGTGAGGACATTCCAGGAGAGTGACCCGGTATTTGCAGTGACCTTATTTTGGTGGAGAGCACCTTTGACCTTGCATTCAGCACTCACACTCCAGGATATTAGGTATACGCTGACCTTAAGATTCCTGATGGGTTACTGTTTGTGTTATCCTTCTAACTTTTTTTACAGAATCTTTCTTTTTAATGCAAAAGCATTAACTATCCCATGGAGCACACTGGCATTCTCAGCTTTTGAAGCTGTGTCAAAAGGCGCCTAAATGCCCCTGTCTAATGGAGTGAAGGCTGTAGTATGTAGCAGCCAATTGATTCGCTCCGTGTCACGCGTGCCCTGTGGCTCGCGCTCGGCCGCCCCTCTTGTGTCACGCGTTGCCAGGGCTGCGGCCGCTTCTGCTCCACTCGGCACCGAGGAACATGGTGTCACCGAAAGCATCTATATCCTCGGCGGCCGCAACTTTGGCAGTAGTGAAACGGGGCCGTCCACGCCAGTACATCACAGACGAACTAAGGGAGCGGAAGAACGACATCCATGCTTTTATATTCACAACTCATAAAAAGTGCTGAGGTGTTCTCGGAAATTTTTTTTTTTCTCGCTGTTGTATTTTTTTTTGTTCCTTCTTTCTGCCTTTCCTCGTCTTTATCTTCCATTAGCTTAGTTTGAACAGAGTTTGTCGTGGAGGTGCTATGGGGTGCACGATGCACCCTTTGGGACAGGCTATGCGGGGGTGTTGGCAGCACATCGCTCAAAAGTGCGACGGTCGGGCTTGGTGGTCACCGAGAGCTGCGGTTGTTTTAGACGACGTGCGTTTGTCCGATGCAGGCACCTGCTGCGGCCACAGCAGCGGTGGGAGCTGTTGGCAGTAGGGCAGTGGGCGGTCCTCCGCTGGCCTTCAGCAACCCCGTGTACCGCTGGGGCCCCGGCCGGACGTTCGCGGAGATCGATCCGACGGACCCTCTCGGACAGCCCGGTGAGGACACGATCCCGTCGAGCTCTGGTTGCGATGCCATCAGTCCGGCTTCTTGAGAGCTTGTTTGCAATGCCAGCCGTGTCCAGAGTATCGCGTGGCTCTGGGTGGCATTTTTCTGACGTAAAATACCTATATTTAATATATAGAAGTATAAATATTGAAATGAATGAAAATGTCAAACAAAGTTTCTGGTTGATACTGGTGGGTGCTCTGGAAGAGCACCGAAAAAATGTTGTGCAGCTACAGCTTGGGAATTGCGAGGGGTCTCTAAACCTTAACTCGTGGAGGCGTTTCAGCCGGCCCCTGGATGGTCTTTCCAGTGACGACCGGCCAGTGGCCTGCTGCCACTAGCGCAAAAATAAGCGTACGTTAATGCACAAACGAAGATATCAAAAAGAATGAAAGACAACTGCAGCAAAACACGGTTTCTCTCGCCAAATTATTTACATTATTTACTCGCATATTGAACACACTTTTTTGCTCCAAGAAATTTAGACATATTTAGGTGGGGTGTTCATTTGCAGGGTAAAATTTTTGCTTTTTCACACATTGCGCAAATGTCGTTTTAGCTGGAAATGTGGTGTGGCAGGGTATTGTGGCACTTCTCCATATACAGAGGTGCACCGACAGCTGGTCATGGGCGCGTTACAGTAACCATACTCTGTAAATTGCGAACCTTTTTTTAGGGCGCTTTCGGCGTGCCTTTTGCCAAAGGAAAAGAAAGGAAACGAAGCTCACTCGGCATGGAGAGTGACTGGACCGTTCTTAGGGCTAACCACTCACGATTTCACTGTCCGAAAGCAGACCACAGCCTGTTCGTTGACATTCATGCATCCGATGGGTGAAACATGTCCGGGACTCTGCAATTCCTCGACCCCAGCTTTGTTAGGTGTGCGCGCCGCTCGGTTTCACTGTCAGTCACTTCTGCAACTACGCGCTTGTAGCCATTATGTGCGCGTGTACTGTTGTGCTTGAATTGGCCTGTCCGCTTGGCGACAAAAGAAAATTGCCTCGGTGGGCTCGGTGGCTGACTGAGTTGGACGTAGTTCGAGACTTGTGGAGCCGAACATTGGAGGCGCATTAATTATGCGAGGGGAAAAAAAAATCAAAATATTGATGCCCGTAGTGGGGGTGCGTTCATTATGCGAGTAAATACAGTATTGTACACAGTAATTACCAGTATTACTTTTTGTAGTCCCATAACATGAACTCCTTTGCGTTTTCACGTACCGTATTTACTCGAGTAAGAGCTACACTATTTATGAACAAGGCACTTGTGTCTACTTTCTCGCAAAGCACATATACAGCCAATCATCGCGTTGCGCATAAATAACATAGCGAATAACTAGATCAAGAACACGAGTCTCCATACAAATGCAACCTTCACAGGTGGTATCTTCGCGTGAAGACATTATCTCTGTCATGTAAACTGCTGGAATATTGCTGTCGATTGCGGTGATTGGCAGTCCGCACGCTCCGTGGAAAAGCAAACCCTAAGGTTTTCTTTATAAACAGTGCGGCTATTACTTGAGTAAATACGGTATATTGCACTTAGTGTCCTGTGTCATAATTACTGCATATTGTTGCCTTCAGATCTACCATTCATATTAGTCCTCTGCCCTGTGTGAATATGTCAAAGTTCCTCTGCACTTTGATTGATTTGTGGATTTTCTGGGTCGCAATTGTTTCGTAATGTCATAATTATCTATATATTGAATTTAAAAATAAAGTATATGTATTAATATAACTTACAATTAAAAAAAAAAAGAATTTGCTTAAGTTAATGTTTTTTTGTTTAAATGCTCATTTAGGTTTCTTTTTCAGTATTTCCTTATTTTTATTGTCTAGTTTATTTTCTGGCCCTCAAGATCGCGACAAGTCCCTAATCCGGTACCTCAGCCAAAATGTTTGGAGGCACCTGGTCTAATCTCCGGATCGTGGTGTAACTTGCGTCACATGCGACCATTATTAGAAGTGTCAGTTTGCAGATTTCCCATGCTAGATTTGGAAGTTGCTCTACGGTTGCACCGCACTGCCGTCCACGTGGAAATTGGGAGCTCAATCATATCTTGGCGCTTGGGTGCAGGCGAGAGCGGCAGCAGCGGACACAGCAGCGCCGCCGACAGCGACGGTTGCAGCAGCAGCCGGGACTCGAGCCCATCGCCACGGGGCTGGGAGGCCGCCAGCCTTGGGTCTGTAGCATTGTAATGTCGGCCGTGGGGACTCGTTTCGCGCGAGCCAAGCCTGCATGCCCGGAAGCTGCGTTGCCCAGAGACCTTCCAATAAAAAAAACCTCGAAGGGCCTTCAAATCCTTCGGTTCTGCGTGTGTACAATTCATGCTTTCAGAATGAGAATGGCGCGCCCCTTCCTTCGGCACCGAAGCGTTGCGAAAAAAACAAAAGCTTGCGCTGGGCAACTTTTCAGGCAACCGTTTTCATCCTGCGAGTTACTGTAGCAAGATGGCTGCCATTTTGTGGATTTCCAGCAAACTAATTCCAGGAGCCGAAACGGGTGTTTCGACGGAACAATCTCGTTCGCTTCTCTTCTGGTCCAAAATGTTCACTGTGGTGAAACATACCAAGGTCATTGAAGATTGTCATCACACCAAGCTTTTACTTAAGGGCCTGCAGAATGCCACACCGCTATGCAGCAGCCCCTATGATCCTTCGCTTCTGAGACAAAGTCTTTTCTTTCTTTTACTCGTGACATTATTGTGACCAGTATTGCTACCTGAATTTTTTTTTTATAAATATCAGACTGGTAAGAACTGCTGCCTGCTTGGATTTCTGCTTACAGACGGGGAAGACGAGGGGGCCGCGTCTGTCGAAGGACAGCGCTTCCTAGAGTCGCCGAAAATTCTGAATAGTGGTCCGACGTACAGAAAGTTAGTTGTCCATTCTGTTTTTTTTGTACTTGCAACTCCGTTGCATCTTTGAGGAAGGACAGTCTGAGGAGGAGCCAGATTTAGGTGTCTCACTGCATTGAGTGCTCCCAAGTTTTTGACATTTGTTTGTAAGCATCACCCGTCTATGAATGAATGGACCCTGTTCAGCCGTAGTGCATCCACTGTTGTGTGTTGCTAACTTATGTGCCAATCACCGTATTTACTTGCATAATGAACACACTTTTTTTCTGAAAAAGTGGCACATTGTTGAAGGGTGCGTTCATTACGCAAGGTGAAATTTTCGCATTTACACACTTTGCGCAAATTTCATTTTAAGTTCAAATATGACATGGCACGGCACTGTGGCACGTCTCCCCTGATGGAGGCGCACCCATGGCTGGTCGTGGGTGCACCACAGTAACCATGCTCTATAAATTGCGAACGTTTTTAGGGCGCTTTTACTCAAGCAAAAAGCGCCCTACGAAGCTCACTCAGCACGGAGAGCGGCGCGATCGTTTTTAGGCCTAGCCACTTTCACAATATCAGTGTTTGAAAGCGGATCACAGAAGACGGCGTGTTTGTTGACATCAGTGCATCCGATGAACAAAGCATGTCTGGGGCTGGGCACTTCCTCGACCCCAGCTTCGCTAGGCGTGTGCGCCGCTTGGTTTCACGGTTGGTCACTTTCGCAAGCATGCTGTACCAGCCATTGCGAGAGCGGCTTGGCTTGGCTTGACTGGGCGTGGCCACTTGACGGCAAAAGAAAATTGGCGGGCTTGGTGGCTAGCCAGCTAGCTATGACGGACGCAGTTCAAGGCTCGCGAAGTTGAAAAATAAAAATGCGTTCATTACACAAGAAAAAAAAAAAAATATTGATACTTGTTTTGGGGAGGTGCATTCAGTATGCGAGTGCGTTCATCATCCAAGTAAATACAATACATGAAGCTAAAAAAAAAACACTAAAAGAAAAGAAAAAAAAAATTGTGTTAGCAAGCACCTTGCAAAAGTGCTAGAATTTTTTTTAAGCTACCTTCCCTGAAAAATTTTGTTTGTCACATTGAAGTGCTAGCCCAAGTGTGGTAGAGTGAGGCATGTGTGTTTTTCTCGTCTCTTTAGCGTATGCTTGTTGGGGTCGCGGGACGATGCGCTCACTGGAAAGGGGCGTGGCATATTTTGTTGCCATGACCATGCTGCATCTTTAGCGGGTAAAGAGGTAAAGAGACGGAAAGAAATCGGCGGAACATAGCTTTGATAGAAGACGAGCAGTGCTATTGCTATTCGACGTTATCTGCAGCGAAGCACCGCAGAAAAAGGTCCCATTTTTGTTCTAATTGGGCCTAATCAATCAATTAAACCTAAATAGCTAACTTTCTAAATATTGATTTAAGGGCCAAAGAGTCCATTGGACAGTTGTAGAGCGCCTTGAGAAACACCTGATTGAGGTGTTTACAATATGGTATGCTTTATGCGCACCTTTTATCCGGCCTAGAAAGAAACTCTGCGAAATATGCAAAAATACCTTGTGACAGTGTGCCCGCACTCCGCGATTGCAGCGCTCTCAAACGGGCTCTGAAGGAACGAAGTCTGCGTTATCTCTGGCGCGCTGTCTCGCACACTCTTTCCACAGTGCGTCGGCAGCCGACGCCTATCTTGAGGCCAATACCACCACAAAGACCTGTCCTGGACTGCTCCAGAGATAAGGCATTCTTTATTCCCTCAAAGCCCGTCTGAGAGCCCTGCACTCTCAATGCGCGTATGTTGTCACATAGTATTTGTTTTTATTTCACAAGCTTGCTAAAACAAAAAAAAAATCTTCAAGTGTATAATTTTGCAGACACCTCAATCGGGTGCTTCTCGCAGCAGCTACAACTTTTTAACAGACATATTAGCCCTTTAACAATATTTAGAAAGATAACTAGTTAGTCTTCTTACATAAATGATTAGGCTCAATAAAGAAAGTACTCGCACTTCCAGAAGACAGTAGCAACATATAGTTAATTTCATTTTCAAAGTGAGCTTTCTTTTTTCTTTTAATAATGTTTGTTGCCTGTTGATTGGGACTTTCTCTATATTTGAGTTCGCCTAAAGCCTGCATGCTGGAATGGGCATGAGAGGTGTGGTCCTATGCATAGAGTTGGTCATGGTGTTGTCTTTTATTTCACTTTAGTTAGCACTAGAGTTGTGCTCATCTATCAAGCAGCATTCAAAAGATTCTTGCCTCTTTTATTTTGTTAATTTTTTAGGCGGGCCTAAACAACTTGTATACCGCATGCGGCTTTTCTGAATTTTATCTCATCTTTTGACTAATAACAATTTTTAAATACGGTAGAATAATCATGCACCATGTGTGGTAAGCTTCCCCGTTTTGCACCGGTGTGCTAGGAGCAGTGGCTGATGCAGGCAAGCATCTAAGTTAAGGGGACACACCCCCTGGGAGGGTAAACTTTTGAACCCTTGTCTCAAAATTATTGAAATTTGCAGGGTAGCCTGGTGGTCATGCTAGAGGGTGCATAACAAAATTTTAGATCTATCGGTTAAGTGGGAAGGAAATTAGGGCAGCTTCTATCAGCAACACCCCTACACTGTTTAGTTAATCTATCGTCAGAAAACTATCACAATATTCAAGATTTTTATACGCTAGATATGTAGCAGAATTCTTAGGAGATGCGCCTATGGAAAGGTGTTTGTAAAAAGTAATTGATTTCTATCAATTTTCCCTTCAGCGAAATTGGTCAACTTTTTGGTCTTCTGTGTCTCCGACAAAATGTCAACATATTTTATAAAAGACATCCGTAAAGTGACAAACAAACTCCATAGGCACATTCCTTATTAAATTTCAGTCAGGAAAAGTGAAGAACGAGCCTTGCCTGTATTTCCATTCTCAAACGATAGATTGACTAAAATGGAATTTATACAAAAAAGTGGAACGGAGAAAAATGTGTTCGAAGTGCTCTAAACCCTACCTTTCCTTTAATTTTGGTGGACAGAAAATAATTTATAAAAAAATTAACTATGCAGTGTAAACTAGTGAAAATTTCTGGGAATACTTTCTGGATGTAGATGGATTTAAATATGTAATTTTTCAAAATCAATGTTTTTTGAAGAATCTTTTTTTCTCCGGGTAGTGTCCCCCCTTAACCCGATGGGCTCAAATTTTGCTCGCTCTTATAAGTCGACAACCTTCAGTTGCCATTATAGATTGACTGTTCATTTTGAGTATTAGTTGGATCGGTATTCCGAAAAAATTAGGTTGTTGTCCACAGTTGTGGAAGTCCACGTAAAATAAATTGCCTTGTGGGAGTTTATTCCTCTTTTCTATAGACCCCAAAATCATTACCAATTGCATTTTGTTTTTCGATCATTCATTATCTTTTAATATAAGATTCAAAGTTGTACTGTACTAAATTTTCTTTCTGTCGCCCTGAAAAAGCTATCAACGAGGTTTACCATAGTAAATTTTCCAGAAGTAGAAATCTGACATCCGGGCGGCATCAACAAGATTTATTTTTCCGAATTTCCTCATTGTCTCAAATACAGATATAGTCCTTGTTTTGTTTTGTTCCAGATATTTTTTTTTTTCTTATAGAAATTACAACTGTTTGTCTTTGAAACTTTGTTCCTAGCTTACATATCCCTTCCTGTCATTTGTTGGAAGTGCTCGGCTGGTTAGAGTATGAGTGCATTACACTCCTACCATAACCTCTTGCCAAGTCTGAGGAGGGGAAGCAAATAAAGTCGAGGAGGCTTCTCCGCGTGCGTGACTAAAGCCCCACTCCATCTGCAGGGCAGAGCTGGCGTGCGCCGGCGGCCAGGAACCAGTCACGGACGACCGGCCGCCCCGTAGAAGTCTCAGGGAGGTGAGCGTCGTTTGCCCCCATCTGATATTCCGAGCACATACGTAATCTCGGATCAGGCCAATCGGCTTATCCAATTGGTCCAAATGTTACGAGCCTGCTGGGCTACTTCCGTAAATTGAAGCGATTCGCACTCCGCGCGCCCGCCGTGGGAGAAGATAGAGGCTCGTTCGCACACTCGCGACCTCTTACGATCGAGCGCGCCGTAACATCTTGTGATCTCTTGCGATGAGAGAATACGCCGACGCCAAGCGGTCGCAAGTGTGTGAACCAGCCTTAAAGGGTAACTCTGGTCAATATTTTCTTTAATTTGGGATTACGACTGTTTTCAGCTAAAGCAGTGTCCCCAAATTACACAGTATGATTTTTTTTTTTTTTTAATTTTGTGTAGTTCTATAAGTATCACGGCTCAAAGTTTGGTTTCGGGCGTCTACGGGAAAACCAAAACTATCTGCTAGAGAGGGATGGCAACACTGATCATCAGCCGTACGGCTGCGACATTACGTCTACAGGGTGCGGCCGTAAAAACTTTCACATTTATCACGCCTAGCAAAAATCGAATTTCAAACATACATACCTGAAATTGGGCACACGAACGTCGTTTATTCCAAAGTTTTTTGCCTATTTTTTTCAGACGTCAACTCTGGAGTAGCGAATTATTAGAAACATAACAAAAACGGCAGACGTGCATTTCCTATGGCCTATACCCGCCCGCTCGCCGTCTGCTATCTGGTTCGCGACGCCGCTCCCAGGTGGCGCACTGAACGCAAAAACGCGGAAAACGCCGCACGAAAGGCTGGTGTCGGGCGATATAATCGCGATAAAAAGTGATTTGAACGAAATATATGAACGATTGTTGAAATTACCTGTTTCAAGTTAAGCTCTGACAGATCGTCATGCAAGCAAGAAGACAGCATGATGCGACGAGATCATTTATTTACAGCTGCTCGTCTTGTTGACAATTGCGAGTCGCTCTCGAAGACAGCAAGCACCGCTTCAATGAGCTCCTCATTTTTCAGCAGGCTCTCATGTTCACTGACTGGATTCTTCTTTTTAAAGTCTTCTCCACTCACAAAATGATCCGCCCAACTCAAAACAGTCGGGCGTGAAGGCGGGCGTTTATGAAATGCAGTGCGAAATTTTCGTTGTGCTGTGGCCACCGACTTCCGCTCCACGTACCACTTGACTGCCTGGGCACACTAACTTGCCGAGTATTGCGGCATCGCAGGGCGGCGCGGAAAATATTTTGACAATAACTGCAGAAGATAGTGCAACAAAAACAATAAATAGGAACAATCAAGATGCCTCAGCAGCGGCACTCTTGATTCCAAAGTTGAGCTTTCACCGGGAACGGACCCGTCAACAGATAAGCAGACGACAAAGGAAGACACACGCTCGTCTGCTTTAGAACATACTTTTATTAAACGAGGGCGTCCGCCAGTTTTTAAATTTCAAGTAAAAGGGCATAATCGTTCACATATTTCGGTAAAATCACTTTTTATCGTGATTACCTCGCCCGACACCAGCCTTTCGTGCGGCGTTTCCCGCGTTTTTGCGTTCAGTGTGCCATCTGGGAGCGGCGTCGCGAATTAGACAGCAGACGGCGAACGGGCGGGTATAGGCCATAGGAAATGCACGCCTGCCATTTTTGTTATCTTTCTAATAATTCGCTACTCCAGAGTTGACGTCTGAAAAAAATAGGCAAAAAACTTGGGAATAAACGACGTTCGTGTGCCCAATTTCAGGTATGTATGTTTGAAATTCGTTTTTTGCTAGGCGTGCCGAATGTGAAAGTTTTTACGGCCGCACCCTGTACATGGTGCTGCGGTACAACCAAACAACTGCAGCTCCACCGCGACGTGACGTCGGGAGTGTGCTGCCCCAGTGTTCCTTGACTGAAAGCTAGCCCTCTTGCCACCCGCTAAAGAGCGGCTGGTGGCATTTTTAAAATCGGTTTTAGTGGAGTAGGCGGCTTCACTTTGACGTCATATTTCGGTTGCGATCATATTTCGCGCCACTAAAGTGATATCGGTCAATTATTTTGGTTTCGTTTTCGACTGGAGTTGCCCTTTACAGTGATGTGATTGCTGTGCCAATTGCGCAAAACTGCGCCAAGGGGCTAACCCTGCTACATTTTGCAAAAATATGGGTAATCTGTGCCAAGCCTGCGCCAAAGGACCAATTTTGGTTGCCTCTCAAAGCCGAAACTAAACTGAGTACCGTAATTCAGCACGCTTGAGCTAGGTGGCGCAAGCGGCCGCCCGACACAAAGTACCCTGCATCAATCGTTCATCCGGTCTTGCGTAATTTTTCCCGCTGTCCCTCGTTTCGTGCTCTCGTTGTCTCGCGTCTTTTTTTAATTTTTTCCACAATATATGCGGTTATGTGCAGAACAATGAACTTGAGTAAACATATTGCGGTAAACCAGCGGCCAAAAATGGCGTCCCCCCAGTTGCTGCCATCTTGCCTCTTTGCCACATTAGTGATCACGTTACGTTAAGATGGGTGTGCCCAGAGGTGGGCCAGATCAGATTGGCCAGATCACAGTCAGTAGATGGGCCCTCTGGGGTTGTGTTCCAATCTTACTCAAATGGATCAGAATTATTCCAGCAAATCAAGTTTTTTTTTACAAGACAGATACAGCAATGCTGTTGGACGCATGTAGGTTTTCGAACGCAGCGGGTACGAGAGTTAGATAGAGCGAATTCTGCTGGACGCAGATAAAGATTGGAGCAAAACCCAAGATAGCCCATCTGCTGACCATGATCTGTCTTATCTTATCTGGCCCACCCCTGGGCGCAGCCATTTTAACATCACGTGATCACTAATATGGCAAACAGGCAAGATGGTGGCGACCGGGTGGGTACCATTTCCGCTGAGGCCGTCAGTTCCGGTTTACCGCTCTAAGGTAATACATTAGCTCGTTGGTGCAGACGCTCCGACCCCAGTGTGCTGGGCAGCAGCCATGCCGTCATGCTGCGAAACGAAACCTCGTTTTTGTGTGGTGGGAGTTACTTCGTGAGCTGAAACACTCGCTCCTGAAAGCAACGGCCGTGGGAAAACTATCTTTGGTCCCTGCCTGCCAGTCACCGTGGTCGCGCGACGTCGGGTGTTGCCGTCCCCACGTCGCTGCAGATATGGTGCTTTCTAAACTAAAGCGTAAGGACCGCCGCATGTTCATCAACATGCCTGTTCTTGTTTAATACGCTACTACAAAAATCACTCTAGCTCAATGACTGCTGTGTCGAAGTATTGATTACCTAGGTTTCTCTCGGTAGGCGTAGGCTTTCTTTTAAGAGGGACCCCGGTGTGTGAAAAATCTGCCGCGAAAGTAAGTTGGTGAAGAGAAGTGAGCTAAAGCAAAGAAGGCAATGTCTGCACGCTGAATCCGTGCAGCGCACTTGTTTGTCTGGAGTTCAGTCGTTGCAGAAAGTGCTCCAAGAACTTTCTGACCCTGGCTCGCGATGTCTTGCATCGATACGCTTAAGGTTTTTTTTGTGTGTGTGTGTGTGTGTTTAGCTTGTACCTCGCCTGCCGGCCTGGGAAGGACGTGCCGCTAAACTGTTTTTTTTTTTTTTTTTTTTTTAATGTTAGACAGTTACATTTTGCATACAGTTTTAGTAACCAGTTGGTGACGGAGCGGAGTGGCATGGTTTCGATCGAACAGCCATCTCCGCTCGCACAAGAAGTTTCGCATTGCAGTGCAGTAGTTACGCGTTTCATCAGTCAGAGACTGCTTGCATTTATTATATACTAGTCAACCTAATGCTGTGCTATCTACTATTAAGCTGGTCATTTTCAAATAAATTTTAATATGTGCAGTTTGTTTCTTTTTTACCTGTAGGCGTTACATATATATGTATCATTTAACTGAAGCATTCCAAAATGTGTCCTGTCATTGCCATTTTAGCTACATTTTGAAAGACTCCCAGGTGGTCTATCTTGACTATAATTTGTTTAGTGGGGCGTGCTAAGTGTCCTTTGTTTGTCCAGCAGCTGAAACAAATATTTTTATTTTTCTGAGAATATCCGCTCCAAAAGCCACTCTTGCTGGTCCAAAACACTGTTTGGGCTGCTCCGAAAGGTGCTCCAAAACGGCTTAGGCCAATCACATCACTGCCTTTAATCGTGCGGGCTCGTTCATAAAAACCTCGGTCTACGTTCACCTACAGATGGCACTTTAAAACTGGTTTGCCTCATTGAATCGAAACCTTGGGAGGAAGAGCGGAGCAACAAAGTTTCCAGTCGACACTAAAAACGGCTGCCATAGTTTCGAAGAAAATCATTTGGGTTTGAGGCTGCACTGCATGATGTGAAGTTTTGGGTTGGCTGGCTTGATATGAGATAAGTCTTATTTAAGACCAACTTATTTCTGGGAGTTTACAGAACGGGTGAATGTCAAGTCGGCATGTGAGCCCACGAACCACTTACCTCGTGCGCCGTGAATGTATAGAGTGACTGTGTGCCTGCCCCGCGTGTCACTGTGCCCTTTTTTACACGCTATTGGATTGGCTTGGATGGCTCGTAGCGTCCTCTGCGGTCCTGCCCAAGATGAAACAGGATACCACAATGGACCGAGCATGCGCTCATTCCATACTAAGAGCCCGCCCCCAAATATTGCGACGTCTGAAAAAATATGTGCAGTACATAGGTAGGTAAAATTGATGAGCTAACATGTGTCCATTCCCCAATTTTGCGATTATCCCTATATTTAAAGTGGGCGCTTTCTCAGTATTTCACGGTAGTTGAGCTCTGCCTAAACTTGCTGTGGCTTGAAGTACAAATCGATTGTGTCGAGATATTCACCCGTTTTCACCAATTATCAAAGTGCAGATAACTAAATGTGCCTGTTTTTATTATATAAAAAAAAAAAAAAAGTTTATGAAGTATTTTGTAAAAACAGTGCTGATGTTTGGGTTTTCTTGGTGCAAAACTGCAAAGGGAATAGAGCACCAAAAACTAGACTATAATGCAATCCACTTATAATTATACTACATATAACTATGTACTGCATATAGCGATCAGTTTCTAGGGGAGAAACAATCAGTTTCTACCGGAGAATACCGTGCATCCGCCCATACCACATTAAGCGCCCATACCCAAATTTGTAAGATCTGAGAAAATATGCACAGTGCATTTATATGTAGAATTGATGAGCGGACAAGCATCCATCCCCCATTTTTTCATGATTATCTCAAAATTTTGAGTGGGCGCTTTTCCTGTATCTTATGGTAGTCCACATATAACAATAATCATTTACAACAATTGAATTTTGGAGTTCTCTCATTATCGTTATAAGTGGATTGCACTGTATTGGCTTTAGTAACCAGTGATCGAATAAGATGTGCAAAGGAATTTCCAGAAATACGAGTATTAGTAGTGACGGGTGTGTGTTAGAGGGCTGGTCTGGTGCATTTGAGGTGGGGTGACTGGAGGTCCCGAGCCCTCTGGCCTTTTCTCACTTCCGCGTTGCAGTACGAGCACGAGGTGGCTCAGCTGAAGAAGCTGATGGGCCAGCTCCAGCGCAAGCTGAGCCTGGCCGAGACCCAGCTCCAGCAGCAGCTGGGGGCGGACGGGTGGGCCTCCGGGGCCGCCGGGGAGGGGGACCAGCAGCAGCGTCGGCAGGAGAAGGACCTCCAGATGAAGAGCATTATCACCAGGTGCGCTCTCTCAGTCCCACGTCCTCGGACGGTCCAAAGAGTACTCGGCAAGGTGCTGCTGGCCACTCACTCATTCATCTTGCTATAATCTCGTGGCGTTCGGGGTTCGTCCAAAAGTCCCACAACTGCGGCACCATGAGTGCAAAATGGTTGGCCAATGGCAATAGTCGTGCACAGTGTCTAGACCAGAAGTCTCAAAGGCGCGACCCGCGGGCCGCGTGTGACGCATGATTCGCTGGAAGGCGGCCCGCAGGCAACCGGCTACGAGTCGCGGTTCCCATGTCTCGAGTGCTAGAAAAAGCATGCGGCTTCGTGATCTCTTCTCGCCGATTCATTTTCGCTCGAAAAGTAGCTATGCTCTTTTAACGCATTCACATAGTTTATACTTATCTATGTTTATTTAGCCTATGTTTCGCTTTATCTTTTGCTTCCCAGCTTTTTTGTAATGTACAACTGTTCCACTACCAGGCCGCAAGCGTGAGCTATTCGTTGAAAGGTGCATCTCGGCTGCGCAAACTTTTGATCAGCCGGAGCAACAGCAAGAGCTGCAGCTCGGGCTGTTGCTCTCGAGCTGCGAGCTCGGGATCCTCGCCTTCAAAAAATTTCACAATTAAAAGACAAGTATTTGCTCAGAGTGTTGTAAAAAAGAAATCGTAAGGAAAGCTAGAACTGCCAAATTAACCGATTGTTTTTTTTTTTTTTTTAGAAATATGTTGAGAGCTCAGGAACGACAGTGTACTCCTTCCCTTGTTCTATTAAAAATGGCAGCGCATTGGCGGGGCAGTGTCATTTTAATTCTAGGTATCACATTACGGCAGGGCCCAGAGTAGTCGTAAAACACATAAAAGCGAAAGACCTCACTGGCAAAGCTGTGATTTTACAAAAAAAACAACTGCATCTCCACGTGGTGAATGATGTTGATTGGGGCAAAGCTCTGGTGGTGCTTGTCTGCGTAGACGGTGAGCCACAGCATGCCGAGCCTTTCGTTCGTTTTCATCCATGTCACGCTGCGGTCAAATGCTCAAATGCATATATAACCACGTTCCATACCACACATTCTCTTTCTGACATGGATGAAAACGAACGAAAGGCTCGCATGCTGCGGCTCACCGTCTACGCAGACAAGCACCACCAGAGCTTCGCCCCAATCAACATCATTCACCATGTGGAGATGCGGTCATTTTTTTTTTTTGCCCTACACGAGCACCGGACGCCGGACATCGGACGGACATACGGACATGGCTAGCCCCTAAAAAGCTTCGCCCCCAAAAGCATAAAGAGCGAGGTCTCTTATCTCTAAAATTTTAGGCCCCCCCTCCCCCGTCTTACGTTGGCTCGTGAACTTTCCGGTGTGGGCTATTTGGCCCCCACATTTGAATAAGTTTGAGGCCACTGGTCTATACTATGACACGGCCCCAAAAAATATTTATTGGGAACTGCGCGGGTTTTCTATATCTGGCGTCATCGCACTAGTTGTCGTCTTGAGCACATCTTGCAGTGTCATGTCTGCGGGCCACATGTTGTGCACCCCTGGTCTAGAGGCATGGTATGTCAAATGTACCATTCAGTTTTTTGACGACTATGCTGAACTTGCCCCGTAAATTTTCATAGAGGTACGTCAGTGTAACCGGTCAGTTTATTTAGGGTTACGTCGACGATATGTATTTTTATTCATACTTCGCGAGTTTTATGCAACCTGACCTTGATGATGGTTCTATGCCAGCTCGTCCTTTAGCTCTGAAAATTAAAAGTCACACTTTCAATTTTCCTATTAATACCTATGTTTTCACACTGTGTCAATAACTTCCATGAAATCGTTGACTCAGTGTTACCTGACCGGACCAGGAGAGTTTTGACCTGATTAGCAGTCCAGCAGAGTTTTGCGAGTGTACCAAATCATGAAAATAACAGTAGAATCAATGCACGAAGGTATTTGAAAAAGTTTGATACTTACTATTAAAGAAGACTACCGTAATGTCCCCTGAAAGATAACCCGCCCCCTATGAATATAATTTACTAGATGTTCAAAAACACCAAAAGATAGCCCACTTTTTGTAGTTGCAGGGCCTTGTCGTTACGTAATGACTAAATGTCGTTACTTAGTCACGGAGGGATATAAGCGAACATTGCTGATTGGGAAGGACAGTTGTCTTTGGTTCATTGCCCCTCCCTGCGACCCCAAGGCTTTGCCGGTCCCAAAATATAAAAAAAAAAACAGTTTTTCCACTTTTTTTTATTGCACACTGAAAGTTAGCCCACTCCTTATTTTTACCCAATTTGCCTTTGATTTTGGGTGGACTATCTTTCGGGATATTACGGTAGTCACTATTTTACACTCACTGGCTGTACCGATCTCTATGGATTGATTAGGTTGGTATCTCGACGAATGTCGACCAAGCACATCCGACGTATATCGTATAATTGCCTGTATCGGCCGCACTCGTCTAAAGGTTGCTCTGCCCATATTTAGACCAAAATGTCTTAAAAAGGTTTTTAAAAAATTATTTCTGTATTAGCCGCACTCCTGCTTTTTCCAAGGAAGGCCGACTGCTTCCGCACGCGCTCCACGTCTCCACCCTGCCATCTTTACTCCACCATGTACATGCCTCTGCTTGCGCTTTTTGCCATGTTTTTATGTTCAGATAAGAATGATTACGGGATAAAAGCTTTGGAAATGTATCCTTCTATGGTTTTTGTATCGTCCGCGGGCATAGCAAATACTTTGACTTTATTTCTGGCTCACACCCGCCATTGGTTCCCTTTGTCGATTCGGATATGACGATACCAAACACAGTCTGGCAGACGAGCTGCCCGACCTCTTGGAGCTCAGGCAAAAAGTGTGCGAACAAATTGCCCGCTCGCACCTGAATAGCGTCGCCCGAACGGCTTGCACTCGTCAGCCTGTGACCACGCGAGTGTCTTTGCCGAAGATGGGGCAAACTATTTTGCCAGGAAATGACCATTTGAATTTGCCATAAGGAGGATTATGCGATCCCCGCAAACTGAGAGCAGTGGGCAAGTACTTTTGAACTGTCACTTATGCCTTGAAGTGCGGCAGACGTGCAACGGGTGGTGAATATGGTGTCGACAAGTTCTGCGTACAGTGCTGGACAAAGCGTGCAGTCCAAGGCAGGCTCACTTCTACGCTGCAATCGCTCGACATCAACATTGAAATGGGCGTTGAGGTCAAATTCTATGAAATAAATGGCTAACTCAAACTCCGAAAAAGCTCTTACGGGACGGCTCAAAAGAGCAACCCTGGCCACTGTCGACGCTGGTCAGACTCGAGCACCGAGGATACCGCAGGTTAGAACGATCGAAACCGAAATAAAGGCGCTCAAGACCACTGCTTGCGACTGCAAGTACATGTGTTTATTTATGCACATCTATAACTATTTTGTTTTCATCCGTGTATGGGCCGCACCTAAAAAATTAGTCCCGAAATTTTAAGAAAAAAGTGGCTTTTGCACGCATTTATACAGTAAATAATGTAAGCATGGTCCTCTGGCATATTGCCAATTTTTGAGGAAGCTGTGGGCCAGACCAGGGCTGCAATGCAAAGTTTAGGTTTCAAACTTTTAACCCAATAATGGAATGGAGGGAACTGCAGCCATAGTAAAAGGTAAGATTGTGTGTTGAGTTGCAGCTCATGTTGCTCAGGGAAAAGGGTACCTCTAAGGAAATTTACCAGATATGTTTGACATAGACACTGTGTCGAGGAAATCTACTGTGTACTTTCGACATACTTCTGAAGAACTTTCTCTGGGCCATGCTGACATACCCCTAGACAGCGAAAATTCTCTCGTTATTATTTTGTTGATAGTACTGCTGCTTCGACATCTTTCAAGCACTCCTGTTTAGGGTCTTTTGTTTTTTGTTAAACAGTGAGAATATGCTTGTGGATGTGATGTTTTCTTATTTTCTATATGCAATGCTCCTTATTTTTCTCTTCACAGGCTGATCACGGTAGAGGACGAGCTACGGAGGGAACAGCGAGAAATGCAGGGCATGATCCGCGCCAAGCAGCAGCTGATCGACGCCCAGGAACGCAAGATCCAGACGTTGGACGCCGCCAACCAGCGCCTGCTGGGTGCCCTGGCACAGCTGCGCCAGCACTACCAAGACCAGGTCGTCGCCGAGGAACCGCGAAGGGTGGCGGTCCACAACGGAGGCTCGCCACCCGCATACCGGAGTAGCTCGTGCTGACCTCGTCCCGCGGCTGGCCACAACAACACCTCTACCAAAGAGACTCTCTCTCTCTCTCTCTCCCCGTGCTGGTGAAGCGTCAAGACTGCAAATCCGACGCCGACATGCTTTTCTAACTTCCCGCAGCAGCGTCTGGAGGGGAGGGTACCTCGGCAGTCCGGCCTTGGTGTGTCGCTTTTTGTCATCGACCATCGCATTCGTTTCGGCCGACCTTAATCAGCCGCACGCGCTTCCCACTCTTTACGGGGTTTTGACGTGCCAAGCGTCGTGTTCATTTCCGGCTCTTTTTGGCTTGGCACGTCAAGCGCAGGTGCGGTCATACTTCTGTTCCTCGAGCAGACCTTAAAGGCCTCTTCACACTCTTGCAACCGAGTACGACCGAGAGAGACCAGACCGGTTTTTAAGCCTCTTGCGATCTCTTAGGACCAGCTCCGCTGCAGGGCATCCGGTCCTAAGAAGTCGCAAAAGGCTTAAAAGCTGGTCTGGTCTGTCTCGGTCGCAAGAGTGTGAACGGCGCTTAATTCGTTTGAGGTTAGACGAAGCGGCAGTCGTTCCTCTTTGTGTTAAACGAGACAGACGTTGGGCAGATGCTGATGGCGTGCGAGATGTTTTATACATCATTTTACAAACTTAAAAAATATCGGAAGGATACTTCCGAAGGACTTGGTTGAACCTTGCTTTTTTGAAACTAAATGCTACAGCATGTCGTGCAACATTACTTAGAAATTTCGGCCAAAGAGCCTGCTCGGATTTGTGCGGCCGCGCTCGAGTCGAGGTACCATACCCTCCGGGCTTGAGCCTGGGCTTCTGCGATCTGCCCGCATGTGAAGTTTGCCGCCGGAGTTCTGCTTGGCTTTGCGGTGCGCCCAGAGATCCCCCGTGAGCACTGCGGCCTATTTTGCCTCACAAGAAGCGTCACCGGTTGCCGTTTGGAGCTGCATTTAATGCGCCTTATGTTTTCTAGTTTTTCTGATGCCTAGACTCATTTCACTGATGGCACTTAGCATTTTTATCATATGAATCAAATATATTTATATCTAGTACCACAAATGTTTTGTAAATAAATGAAATATTTTAATGGCCTTTGTACTGTTGTATGAATGGGGTGAGGAGTACTTGTGCTGGGATAGATTTATTTGTTTGACTGTTCTGCTCCTTTGTTTAATGAAGTCTTTGTCAATAATGAAAAGCGTTAGTGGGCTACCAAGGGAGGTGTTTCAGCTTCATGTGATGCCTTGTCCAAGGTAAGTTTATACCTTGGGTGTTGTTTCGAGGCGAATTTTTAATTATGGCTGTGGTTTAAGTGTTTCCAAAAGCTTTTGCCACTCTCCCAAGGAGGGGAGTGGCAAATGATAAGAATAACTAGATTGTGTAATTTTTCTGTTCAGCTGTAGGTGGTTTTAATTTCATTATCGTTTAATTTCCAAGAATGGACGTGTAGGTGGTAATTTACGGAATTCACTTTTTGGAGGTGCAATGGAGGACAACGGGGCTTGGGTCGTTGGTGGGGTGGACCAGGTGAATTAATATTTTTTATGAGCTATCTGCAGAGGGAGGGGGGGGGGGGGGGGGGGGGGTTGTTAACGCGCTTTCAGTGATGCACCCGCTGTCCCCCATTGCGCCTCCAAAAAGGGCGGCCCATAATTTCACATCAACTTTTTTTTTTTTTTTTTTGTAAGATTCATCAGACCTGTTGAACATGCCTCTAGACCGCGAAATATCTACTCCAGTTACAAAAATATTTATCAACCGCGAAATCTGTGTAAGATCAAGAATGTTGGGCGCTTGGATGAAATGGAGAAGAACGTGATTTAAATTAACAAACTTGCTATCACAAAAAAAAAAAAAAAAGAAAAAAAATTGCTCTACTAGGGAAGAAAGCAGGCGAACTGGTTTTCTAGCGACATGGATAGATAAAAAAGGAAAATGCCACTTTCTTTACGCTTTGATCACCTCGATCCATACCTGATTCATACGATGCATCTGTGAAGTCATCTGGCGCTCGTAGCGCCAAATGGGCCCCTAGGAGCAGTTGCCGTTCCACGCTAGACACCGATGGAGCTCCAAGCGCACTATCCGCACTATTCGGGCTAACATCAACAAGCGTCTATGAGTTTAAATGGGATGTTGCGATGAGGCCACGGTGGGATTGTTGGTTAACTGCCCCCGAAGCCGCCGATGATCGTGCCAGCTGTAGGCAGCGAGCCTGGCAAGGCGGTAGCAAGATGACAGCGTGTCGTCGGCGACCATAGACGCTGCAGTGTTTCGCGCGAAGCTATTCCCCCGATTAGCGTCCGTGTGTGGCAAAGGAGGGCGAGTGAGAGCGCCCGTGCGGGTCGTATTTTCGTCGCGGCCGTTGCTATTGTGGTGGCACTTCGTGACTGTGGCCCCAAATGATGCTTGTGCAGCGAGGAAAAGACACGCTCCTATTATGAACGGCACCGTTCCGCCTCGACATGTGCACTGTCGGCTGAGGAAGTTATGAACCCTATCACCGATGGACAGGTGAGCTTTCCACGTCTCTTTTTCTCGAAGACTCCGAATCACGGAGCTCGGTAACGCCGCGGCTCCAGAACGAATTCGGTATTTTTCTGGAGCAACCCCCCTCATTTTTTGTCGCTTTGTTTTTCTTCTCGCGAAAAGTAAGGTACTCTCTGCGCGCAGCAAAGCGGTGCTGTGCCTTCGCGTCAAGCGCCGTTGCAAAAGCACGAACTCTTGCACTGCGGTGTGCGCTCTCAGATCACGTTTACATATCTATCGTGCTTGCACGCGTGCTATAAAACTGTCGGGAGCTTCCTGACCGACCTCATTGTTCTTTCTTCAGTTATTTTTTTATTACTTTTTTTTCTTTCTCCCGAGGTTTTCAGAGCGCCGAGAGATTTGCTACGAGATGGTAGCGATCGAGGAGGTGGGTATCGTTCGGGCGGTAACACGCACCACTGCCGCCCACCTGTTGACACATCTCCGAGTTCGCGTTAGCGCTGTTTGGCTCTGCCAAAATCCTTCTTCTGTGTTGCTCCCTTTCGTCCTCTGTTTCTGCGTTTTATTTTTTTCTTTTGTACGCAGGTAATCGTACTCGTTATGTGGATCGTGTAATTACGGATATTCGAATCAAATTAATACTCATCGTTTATCCATATAGTACCCTCCCTCAAGTGGGGATCGTTTGTTATCTGCGTGCCTTTGTGGCGAGATAAGACAACACCCGTTCAGATACCTAGCTTAAGCTTGGTTGACCCGATCTTTTGGGGTTTGAAAACAAGTTCGCGCCTGGGTCCGCAGAACAACATTCCATGACAATTCCAACGTTGAGAACTACAAGTTTACACGGACCTGAACCACGATATTTTATTTTCCTTGATGGAAACCTTTGCTTCTGCCCGCCCTTCAGTATTAATTTATCATAGTGCATGTGTGCTTCATATTCTATACCTTGTCCATTTGACAAATAAACGGACTTCTTTTCACATGTATGGTTGAGTTGTTTCGATAATGTTGTTTTGTCACACCGTTTTCTCCACAGTAAGACCTGACGTCAGCTTAAAGGTGAAATCAAGTATATCTCAACATCGGTGACTTCCGTCATTGATGTAATAAAACGATGTAGGGACTCATATGACTGCAACAGCCTAGATGAACGAGTGCATATATTTATTGTGCACAGCCCAGACTTCCATGTTCATACCAGGTGTTCCTAATGACCGCAGTCTCTGTCGGTCCTAAGTTATGGGGAGCCATTAGCTGCAGCGGTTGGGCCAGACTCAAAATCTGCGATGCCCTAATGACCCTGCTCTGGGCCCCATCAGTGGCAGCTGTGGTATGTGTTGCACGATGATTGATGGGTGTGTACAGTTTTGGGACTGCCTGACGCACTGGGAAAGAATAACTTTTTTTTTCTGGTGGAACATTTTTTAAATTTAAATTTGATAAACCCGTTTCACAGAAAGGGAACAAAAATTGGGCAGTACCCTTCCTTTCTTACACCCGAAGTTCTTATGTGAGTGTGAGTGCTTTGGAAAGATGCAACAACATAATCGTCACAATTCACTCTTTTTTTTTTTTCTAAATAGACAAAGTATTTGGCTATTCAAATAGTCTATTTTAAATAGACAAAGACAAACAAAGTATTTACATCTATCTGAAGTGTTGAGCGTGTTGGTTACACGCTCGCATGCAGACACAAAAGCTGTGTCATCCGGGTGGTCTTTCTGTATATTTTTTTTGTTTGCACGCATCTACATCGTAAGGATGTAGATGTATGCAAACAAACCAGAAAACCAAATTTTTGCTCACGCCTCACACCTCGTCTATGTATTTTATATATTTTCACATCTCTTGGCATAAGTAGGGCTGTTCATTGTGGCAGACAGAAAATTCCTGAGATCTGGAGGCCGTTGATAAGCTATCTTGCTGCTTGAACGGTCAACTATAATTTTTGTGACGGTTGCCTTGTTTCGAGTTGTTGCACATGTGATTGGGAAATGTTAATGATGAATACACTCACTTGTTTGTTTCTGAAGACTTTTATTAACAATGGCCACATATGCATAAAATTGCAGCCTTCAATTGAACCAGTTGAATGCCATTGAAAGTGTTTTAATTGGGGTTTCGTGTTTTCGGTATATACCTATGAACCCCGAAAAATGACCCGCGAGCTGGTTATGTCAAGATTAGGGAAAACAAAAACCCCGAATTCAAGCCGTCATTTATATACAGCTTTACATTGCCCAGAGTACCCAAGAATTACCAATTTTTGTTTCGACTCAGAAAATTAATGCCTAAAAACAGCAAGTCTGTGGAAGAGTTTGAAGAAAAATCATTCCCGAAAACACTGGACCCTAGTTATAATCTCTTGCGGCTCTCAGTTGGAAAAACAAATATCCCATCCTTCTATACGTCTCGATGAATGGGTGCAGCAACCTGGTTGCTGGTGATAGTGCAGACACCCAAAAGGTGGAGCCATAAGTTGCAATTAGTTTTATGATCACCGGTGATGTCTGTGACTCTAAATAAAACTGAATTTTACAAACACAAAATAAAAAGCCATTCAAAGAATTTCGTGTTGTGTATGGTTGTGCCACCTCCATCCAGTGCGAGCAGTGCCTTCATATCGGCTCCTCTTGTAGACCAACTCATGTTTCTGATGCTAGGCTAATGCAATGGAACTGGCTGTTTATTGGAGCATGTGCGTAGTGCCTACAGCTTTTCTGGGCAAACATACTTGTTTATGAAACAAATGTGTGGCTTTATACATTAGTGACTTTGGAAATACAAGCATGTTTTCACTTGAGGAAGGAGAACCACAAGAGATGGCGCACGACCGTAAAGATAAAAAGCAGAAATTATGCTTTCAAAAATAAAAATGAGGTAAACCTTTTTTTTATTTTTTGTACAAGACAAAAGTTTGTTTTGATGTATTGAGCATCAAAAAGCCATTCAAAGAATTTCACGTTGTGTATGGTTGTGCCACCTCCATCCAGTGCAAGCAGCGCCTACATATCGGCTCCTCTTGTAGACCAACTCATGTTTCTGATGCTAGGCTTAATGCAATGGAACTGGCTGTTTATTGGAGCATGTGCGTAGTGCCTACAGCTTTTCTGGGCAAACATACTTGTTTATGAAACAAATGTGTGGCTTTATACATTAGTGACTTTGGAAATACAAGCATGTTTTCACTTGAGGAAGGAGAACCACAAGAGATGGCACACGACCGTGAAGATAAAAAGCAGAAATTATGCTTTCAAAAATAAAAATGAGGTAAACCTTTCTTTTATTTTTTATTTTTTTTTGTACAAGACAAAAGTTTGTTTTGATGTATTGAGTTCATTTCCTGTGGAATAAGCCTGTTATCTGAGACACAAGGGGAAATCGGTGACCAACTATATCAAGCCACTGCTGTTCAAAGCACACAAAGCTGCAACACACGGAGTGAAAGCTCCGTGTGCTGCAGAGCTCAGGGATTCTGTGTTCAATCCCCACCCCTGTTTGTTTCGATCTGGATGAATCTTGTGGTTATATATGACTACTGCATGATGCACGTTAAAACAGCCCTGGCCAGCAGTGCTACTGCACTGGGGTGACACCAGGTGCAGATTGGGGCTTCATGACTAACCTTTCGCTGTCTTTAAAACAATATATTTTTTTTAATTCGAGCTGATTATTACACTGGCCATTTGAATGTGAAAAAATGAAGAGTGTCAATGCCGGGCTGGTTGTGTTGATGGTCTTGCTTTTTTTTTTTTGTTGTGCAGCAACCTTCCTGGCGGCTCTGGGGCGAAGAGAAGAACGATGGTGCTGTCTACACGGTGTATCTCAAGAAAGTGCGCTACCACCCAAGCAGCTCCCTTAGCAGAAGTGTAAGGAGCCCAGGGCTGAACTGGGGAGGTCGCGTCTGGTGCACGGGTGTTCACGATCGCTACCGTGTTGGCGGCGGTTATCAAATAGAGAGAAGAGTGCATGCATTGTGAAACGTGCGGAACAGGTGCTGCACTTGCTGACTGCAGCTAACGCAGATGTCCTTTTTGGGAGAGGAATATTGCCGGTTCCTGTGTTTGGAAATCCACCTCTTTATTTACTCTCTTTACAGCTTGAATGCAACCCCCAATCATGTTATAAATAGCACTGATTTTCTGTTCCTTAATTGTTGCCTTTTTTTTTTTTGTCACTGGCAGATTTACAAAGTATCTACCTAGTCACCCATGGTCTGTTGCAACATACGATTCGCAGGACAAGTTCCGCCTATAGCAAGTTACGGAAGGTAGAAAGCTGGTGCTCAAACCAGGGCTTCTACTGCTTCTCTTACGTTGCGACAAACTATATATATGGCAAAAGTTGGTCACAGGCCTTTTGCATTGCTTTGTTACAACATTCTTTTTTCGAGGGTAATTTGGTGAAAATGTTAAACAGAAAAGTGAGACACGAAAGAGAGGTGCAGGAATCTTGCGATCGAGAGAAGAACGCATATATGAGGTGGCATAAATCTTTAGGCTTGTTCTAAAATTGGTCGGAAAAGAAGAATTCTATGGCCTCTGGCAAATACACCCTACACGACTGCACTAGATTTACTTTCCCAATAACCTGGGGTATGACAAATTTGGCAGATGCAACCAAAGTACTGCCGCAGATTGTTTTTGTCCGTCGCATTTGCACGTGGTGGTTGAAGCGAGAGGCTGGAAAACGAGGATCTTAAACGTGGGACTGGAGTTCGGAACGTCAAGTGCGACGCTGGGGGGACGCCATGCTCCAGGAGGACTCTGAGGACACGGTGTCTCACCTGGAGTGGGAGACGGTGCGGGTACGAGTGGTCAAGGCAGGCTCCCTGGCGGCCATTGTGGCCAACCTGGCAGACGACGAGGGGGGCCTGGAGCCGACCAACGTCAACATCTTCCTGGCCACCTACCGGTCCTTCGCCAGCCCACAGCAGGTGCTGGACACCTTCCTGGCCAGGTGAGGAAATACACACTAGAGCCAACGCCTTCTCGATAACAAACCCACTTTATTTTCACGTCTCCTAAAGAGACAAACACGAGGGGCAGATTGGACATGAGTGCTGCAGCAGCATTCGACCGAGGCTCGTCTTTAACTGGTGCTTCACCGATTGAACCTGAGCCCCAGTCGAATGCTGCGCCAGAAACGCAAACAATTGCTTTACGTTGTTCTTGTTCTTATGAGTGTAGTTCTCAACTTAGTCGTTAGGGGCGTGACGGTTGAATCTCCTCCCGAACTCTGGCTAAAGGCAGAGGCTTGCTATCTTCCTTCGCTTTCAGAGTGTCAGAATTAAAAAGTATGAAGAGTGGCGCTTAAAATACCAATGCTGTTATGCAGTTGTTGGGAACAAACAAGAAAATAAGTTGGCATTTGAAACAGCCCCATTTAAAATATTTTTGTTTAGGAGCAGTCTCAAACGGGACAGCTCACTTGGGGCGGTCTCAAGTGTTGCATTCTTGTCTGGAGCATGCTTCTTCCTTTTGCGCAGGTACAGGCAGCTGAGTGGCCGAGATGCCGACGAGGCGGAACCACCCACAGTAGCCCCGGAGAAGCATCAGCAGTATGTGCACCTGTCTCAAACTTTTGCATAATATTTATCATAACGGTTCTGGTGTCCGTAAATGCAAATATACTTTTGAGCCTACTTATGTATCGCCAAGGGGACTTAGGGCAACTCCGCTCCGTTTACACGTTAAGAGAACAATGCAGTTCTCTTTAGTATCGCCTAAAAAGACCACACGCCAAATATTTCAATCTAATTCCGCCTAAAAGTGGATGGAGCTGGCAAACAAAGTTTGAGGGGCGGGAAAATACCAAACTCTGGTAATCCTAGGGGGCGAGGCGCAGCAAAGCCAACAGTGCAGCCAATGCCACCCTGTCGGCGCAACCCACTCTGTGCTACCTACGTCATGCTTGGGGCTCTCGGGGAGATTTGTTTCTTGGTTTGTACTTTTTACAGCGGAGCTGTTTAGGGCTAGCTTTCCCAGGATCGTGTCCCCCGCAAAGAAATGTTGACACAAAACTCTGGACAGCTACCGCCATCTATGAGCGACGGCGACAACCAGACAGTCGGCTTGCTGGTCTTGCTCATAGATGGCGACAACCTTTCCAGCCTTTCCACTCTGGTTTTCGCCAGAGTGGAAAGGCTGAGTTTCTCTAGACGTCGTCCTAGACGTCGTCCTAGATGTTGTCCTCGAAGTCGTCCTTGAAGTTGTCAAAGAGGTTGTCCTCGAGGTCATCCTAGAAGTTGTCCTTGGGGTCTTCCTAGACGTCGTCCTTGAGCTCGTCCTTGATATCGTCTGAGTTTGTTCTCAAGGTCATCCTAGAAGTTGTTCTTGAGGTTGTCCTAGACGTCGTCCTTGAGGTCGTCCTAGACATTTTCTTCGAAATCGTCCTAAAAGTCGTCCTTGAGGTCGTCTTAGAAGTCGTCCTTTAGGTCTTCCTAGACATCATCCTTGAGTTCGTCCTTAGACGTCGTCCTTGAGATCGTCTGACCATAGTACAGCTTCGCTGGTCTTCCTCGTTGATCTTATCGTTGATCACGTGATTCACAGTACATGCATGCGCCCGCATGCTCCCGTGCGTGCTTGCATCATTGCTGGCAGTGTCCATCCCGTGCAAGAGAACCACTGTGCAATATTGAGCATAGCATACTTTTACAAACCCGTCGCGACATATTTACGTGTGGTTTACTGAACTTCGCTTTCTACTAATGTTTTCAAAACAAGCCCTTAGTAAAACTTGCCTTTTTCTGCTCTAAAACACAAACTGCGGCTGCGGTAGTGCAGGCATCGTTGGGTGTAGCAGGCTTCTGGTCGTAGTGGATGACGCTTCCACCCTTGCGCCGAGCTGCGCCCGCCCGCCCGCCCGCCTGGTACATGACATCATGATTTGTACCACGTGGTTAAGAGTATGTAGGTGATGAAACAGGAGCAATGTTGCCCGCTGCAGGCAAGGTTTTGGTTTTGGTTTACGGTGAGCTTTAACCGTTTGATGCCCTGTATTGTCCAGGGTCAACAATTTTTCCCACGCCATGTGCGCCTCTATAAATGTAGTGCCCTCTGTTGCAGGGGCGAGGATACCTGCGCTTAGCAGTGAAGAATCAAATTGCATCTTCAAAACAGATAATTTCTCCTTTAAAACAACAGCTGGCAGTGGATGTGAGGTATGATGGCGTGCACCACTGACCCGAAACTGTAAGGGGAGAAACAGGCGCAAATATTGCAAATCCAGTCACAGGTGTGTCTACTGTGCGAAATTCGAGTGCACCTGTGCCTTCTCCCAGGTTGTAACTGCTTTCCCTCATCGGACGTAAAATAATGCTGCAAATGCCCAAAGTCGCTCACAAGCAACATTTCAAAAACATAATTATGAAAAAATGTAATTTCTTTCTGAGACTACCGTAAAATTCCGAGAGATAGCCCACCTAACATCAAAGGCAAATTGGATGAAAATATGAAGTTGGCTAACTTTTAGCGTACAATCGAGTAAAGTTTTTAAAAAATTGTTATTTTTAGGTGGTGTCCCTTCTAAGCTTGTTATGGTGGCGAGGGGCAACGAATTAAAGATGACTGTACTTCCCAGTCAGCAACATTCACTTATATCTCGCCATAGCTAAAACTAGCCGCATTTACGCCGAGGCCATCATTGATCCCAAAACCACTATAACTAGGAGTGGGCTATCGTTCGGTGTTTAGAAAAAGTATAGCAAATCAAGCCAAACATAGTGGTGGGCTATCTTTCGGGGGTGGGGCATCTCTCGAGATTTTAGTGTAGATTTGTGTTATTCTGTGTGTTCTAAAACCATGTCAGGGTTGCTAGGTCTCTAATATTTCCAGTAAAGTTTTGGGCATCAAAGGGTTAAATAAGGATTGCGCGAAAAATATGACACTTTTTTTTTTGGAAAGAAATGAAAAGAAATGACATTTATTACTACCTTAAGATATATGTAGTCAACAATTAACTAATTTTATTTAATTGACCGGAGTTGCCCTTTAATTCAAAGAAAATGCGTCCATTCAAATGCAGAACTGATGTGCTAAAATATTCCTTTTTTCTGTGTTCTAATGAATGTTGGTATAGGCTGCCCAATGACATTGGATAGACCAACACTGTCAGTTCCACCAGCATCTCTTGATGAGATGTTGGTGTGACAACGTGACACCCTTGTGGCGTCGTCGGGCGGAAACGGAGGTTTTAGGAATTGGTAAACGCACCAGCCGGAGACGAGTTCTGGACACCATACTCTAATGCCTCTCGTGACGACGTAGGTGTCCTGATAAACGAACAAGTTTGTGTCGTCGAGGTGACAGTCCATGCGACTGGCGTACCCTCTCCCCACAGGGCCCTGGTGCAGGCACTTCTGGTGTGGCTGGACATGTACCCGGAGGACCTGTACGAGCCGCCGCAGTTTGTTGTGCTGCGCCAGCTCCTGGGGTTCGCCCAGTGCCAGCTGGACCCCGGCTCGAGCCTCGAGCTGCGAGCCAAGCACCGGCTACAGCAGTTCCTCGCTAGGGACCCCGAGAAAGGTGAGGGACCGCCGCGTCTGGGTTACCGTAAAATACCGGGCAAGCGCCCATTCAAAATTTAGAAATAATCGCGAGGGAATGGAGAATGGGCGCTTCTCCGGTCATCAATTTTACATATAAATGTACAGCGCATATTTCCTCAGAGCTTAAAAATTTGCGAATGGACGCTTAATGCGGTATGGGCGGATGCACGGTATTCTACGGTAGTTTCACGGGGTGAGACGGTATGGGATCTCCTAGGTCACCGCCCCGGCAACTCTGAGATATCTCCGCATTGCTCTTGTGGACGTTCATTGTGGAGCTCCTAAGGAGAGGGGCGACGTCCGTGAGGAGGTGTCCAGTTTGCAAATCTTTGGTATCGGATATTTCTTTGTGTTCGGCTTTTTCGGACATTGAATAGGCCCAGGCAGTGCCATGTGTATCTGAGTTTATCTTCACTGCATACTCTGAACGAAATCTGGGCTGAAAATAGAAGAGCATGATGGGCCGGGCTGGGATGCCACGAAGAGACAAGTGTAGTGGAAAGTTTGTTGTATGCGATGATAGCCTTACTAAATTTGCATTTAAGTACTGCTTTCGGACACTATTCTTTTGAAAATTGTATTTTGCTTTTTGTAATGTCGACATTCATTGTTATGTTTATATTGTTCATTGAACAGTATAAATGTCTATATGTGCGAGAGATGTTGTTTGTCATCTCATGAAAATGTTAGAAAACATATGTTGCTAGCTTGTTAGGACTAAAATCTTGTCATAGCATCGGAATACTGAGGGGAAGTTATTTAGTTTTTTCTCGGGTCTCTAAGTAACTCCACATGTTTAAGAAGTCTTTAACGAGATGTTAAACTTGCGTTGTCACAAGCGTCTCTTTCCTTAATCTCTTCTAGCAGACCTTAGCCTGCTTCTTAACAAAAACTGGGCTATGCAATTTTGGGCATTTGTGTGGCACTCCCTGCAACACCAATGTGGCATTCCCTGCCACAGGATGTGGCATTCCCTGCCACAGGATGTGGCATTCCCTGCCACAGGATAGCAAATGTGGACACACCCATGGTGCCACTTTCTGTTTCCCCATTCAGTGTTCGCGCACCAGTTCACTCTCGCCACCAAGTTTGCACAGTTCCTTCTCTCTTTCCTCTCTCCACCGTGGGGTGTCGTGCAGAAGGCCTGTTCTTCGAGCCCCCTCCCTGGGGGGTCGTGTTTGGGCCTCGGTGGCCCCCCGCCCAGGCCAGGGCACAGTCCACGCCCGGACCCGTCTGGCTGCAGGAGCTACAGGAGGAACATGCCGCCTGCCAGCTCACGTGGATGGATGCGGTAGGTGTCCAAGAAAGTCGTTCGACGCTCTCGAAGTGCATTGAATATTCCTCGCCGAGAATGGATGCCTCAGTTGGCCACACAAAGATGCATGGGAAAAAAGGCTCGAGGTACAGCTAAGCACTTCTTATGAGTTGTGAATGCGAAAGCATGAATGTCGTTCTTGCGCGCGACCTCGTAAAGTTGCCGCGCCTCGCTGACATCAGCTGTGCCGACGCTCTGTCGGCGGCACAGGATTGGCTGCAGGAATCGGCTGGCGCGATCGGGCGGCTGTGTCGCCGCCCGAGCGCGCCAGCCCATTGATTTTGTTGGTGCGCTGGCGGCACGGGCACGCAGCGCCACGGGGTGGCACTTATTGAAACTGACGTGCAGCGGGCCTCCTTCGGCTTCATTTATTTGCCGTTTTGCGTGGCTTTTTGCACAGCTTCAAAGCTGGGATGCCTCAGATCGTGGCTTCACGAATTTATCTGCCTTTCGGCACGGCTGATGACGTCAGCTCGCTGCATAAGACAGTTAATGCTTTCACATTAAAAAAATTGGACATAATTGGGAAATTGGGGACATTATCATCCATGTTGAATTAACCTGAGACTGGGGTAGAGAAGAAACATCAAAACGTAGAAGGGACAGAGAATAGACAGGACGACGTCTCAAACTCAGCTAACTCGTTTATTTAGTCCACCTCCTTATATAGTCTCAATCTCAAGGTCACCTTCACCAGCTTGCCTGCACCCTTACAATTTTTTCTATTATCATCGTTGGGAAGCAAAGAGAATATTAACTTTAACTGCGCAAATTTGCCACAGCAGTCATATTTCTCGTTTGGTTTGTTGGCGAGAGTGTTAAAACTGGCTCCTGCTTGCACATACTATATTGCAATCACAAGATGGATATGAGAGCTTATCTACGCAGTGTCACCGCACTGAGCATGCAAAGAATTGCAACTCAAACAAAGGTGTGACTACTAACTTTTTTTGTGAAAAGAACCATACAACGGTGAAAAGCAACATATACAACGGTGCGATATGGTTGTTTGCTTTGTTTGTTTTACATGCCATTTCTGACTCACGGCGATGAATGCCTTCTGCTCAGGAGCTGTTTCGCCGGCTGGTGCCACACCACTGCCTTGGCGCCATGTGGCGGAGACGTGGCGGCAACGCCCGGGACTGGGCGGCCACTGTGCACAACACGGCCACGGCCACGGTGCGCCAGTTCAACGCTGTGTCTCGGCGTGTGACCTCGACAGTGCTGTGGGAAGGCTGGCGAGGGGACGCGGCGTCGCGCGCCCGCGTGCTCGCCAAGTGGGTTGGCATAGCCCAGGAGCTGCGCTTCCTCAAGAACTTTTCTTCGCTCAAGGCCATCATTGCGGCGCTGCAGAGCAACGACATCTACCGCCTCTCCAGGGTCTGGGCCCTGGTAGAGCCAGACAGGGTGCAGGCGTTCCTCGAGCTGGCGAGGATCTTCTCCAGCGAGGAACATCAGATGAGCTGCAAGGAGCTCATGCTCAAGGTGGGTGTTAGTTAGTCTTTGGTACATCTGTATGCATGCTTGTTCGGTAGCGACGTTTCGAGCAGACGGTGAAAAGCTCGTGCACAACATGCACGAGCTGTGCATGTTGTGTAGGGTGACCAAATATCCTCGGTGTAGAATACTGGACATCGGTGGATGGAGTGCTTGTCAGCGAGGCAGAAAGGAAAGCTCTGCTGCAAGTCAATTGAACGTAAAACTGCATAGTTATTTTTTAATTTTTCACAAAATCTCAAGTGCCTTTCTTTGCTAGCATTTGTTTGTTGTTGTCAACTGAAGCATACCAAATTCATGTAATACAAAAAAAAAAAAAGTCTTCCCATTCTCACATTTCTATGAAGAAAAACAAAACATATGGGCAAATGTAACCACAGAAAGGGCCCAAAATTGTACTTTATATGAGGTATAACATTCTCATGGTAACACATATTTTTGAAAAATTTCATTTGTAAGCTGTAAACATTGTTTAAATTTTCTCCCATTTGCTTATTAGTGTTGCTATTGCAACTTTGCACATCCTTGCGGAAACAGGGCATGAGGCAAAATGACGAAACAGGAGAAATTAACCTTTAAAACGGGACGTCTGGTCACCCCAATGTTGTGTCATCTGCTTGCTTCAGCCAGGAGAATACAGTATAGACCACTTACAACGTAACCGCTTATAGTGCAGGACGGGGTATAACGCGGCTTTTTTAAACCACCGGTTCGCCTCCCATAGAACTCTATGTAATTACATACCACTTAAGATGCAGGCGCGCGAAGGGAAATACCGGTTCTAGTGCAGTTTCTGAAACAGCCCGCCGACCGCGCCAACCGGCACAGTGAGCACGCTTCTCTGTGCAACACTAGATAACCAAGATAACGGCGCACGGCGCTAGCCGCAAGCGGAACTCGCGGGGCGAGGAGGTTGCTCTAAGGAGCGGGGAGAAGCGAAGGGAGAAGCTTCAGTTGCCATAGCGACGGAGCGACGCACGCACGTGAACGACACGTGCGTGCGTTGCTCTGCTGCGTTGGAAACCGCAACGACAGACCAATCGCAGGTCGAGAAGTGTTTGCGCGCGTTGCATGCTGGTCGTGGGGCGACTTCTTCTATGCGCAAACATGGCGTCGGTTGTGATCGTCGATGTAGACGGCATGGTGGAAGCTTATCGTTCCGCGTAAAAGCGCTATCCTTGACTGTGAATTTTCGTCGTGCGTCGCTATGATAACCCAGCACGTACTAGAAGGGAAGATCCACCTACTCGTGCGGCGATGCCATGGCGGCACTCTCAAGACAGCAGAAACGCCCGTGTCATCGTGTTTGTTTACTTCGACTACAGTTGGTGCTTTCTTAGCATTTGTGTTTCCGAACATCGCCCGGATTTCTTATTTGGAGCATTTCATGACTGTGCTTAAGTTGAAGGTATTACTGGCGCATACCGTATAAACACGACGTTGGCGCTGTGTCACAATTTTGTCTTCTCATCAGGTTCATGTTGAGCAAACAACTTTGACATTTAAGTTGATTGTTTTGCATTCACACATTCCGCACATTGGTAGCTCTAATGTCAGCATTTTAGCTGTGTGTAAATTGGTGATTGCATGTGCGGGCTATGAGCATAGAGTAGGTGAGTATCAAGAAGCAAAAGTTTTCATGAGAGCGGTAATAGTAGCAAGTAGGAGTGGGGTTGCAATATGAGAGATACTGAAATGAAAATTGAAAAATACCTCACATGTTCAGAAATAAGTTACCGAAATCTGCTAATGACAATTGCATATTGAGGGGATGGCTATATTTTTCGTTCCAAACTGCTGATTCCAGTGAGCACTTGAAGAGCAGTCATCAGAGAGCGCAATGCATCTTGGGAGATCTGGTGCCTCCAGCGTGTTCACGACGTCATGTTTAACTTCATGGGAAAGGTTACAGGGAGGCTGGCATGGTTGTGAGCTTCACCACTTGGTGGCATTAGCACGTTACAACCTGGCCGTTCGGGATGGCCGGGTTGAGGCGCGGGAGAGAAGAGAAATTCGGTGCGGTCAAGTGCGACAGGGAGTGTGCCCATGCAGCTTGCCGCCATACTTTCGCAGCATGGTGACATAATGAGTTTCGGGAACACCCACCAGGTGCAATCTGATAATCAATGTAATCATTTTAAATCGTGTTTTTGCCCTCTTTTCTAACAAAAAATTGGTATATCTGTGGTGCGGCTAGAGCCGCCTCGGTGGCTCCGATGCGAGAGCGCCGGCCTACGGATCCCCAGGTGGCGGGTTTGAATCCCGGCCGAGGTGCCCGCGATCTGATGGAGGCTTATTGCGGCGAACGCACCGTGTAACCAAGCTTTCGGTTGCACGTCAAAAGATCCCCAGGTGGTCGAAATTAATCCTCAGTCCTCCGCTGGGGCGTGCCAGATGCCCGTCGTTGGTTTGGCACCTAAAACCCCCAAATTTGACTTTGTGGTGTGGCCAGAATGTGGTTGACGTTTAGACTTTAAAATATGCACTAGAATCTTGTTGCAGTACCCCATTCTCCTAAAAGAAATAATTTTTAGCGAGTCATTCTGCATTCAATGGCTTTTGTTAGCTATCATCTCCTGAGCACGAAAAGCTCTGGGGCATTAGCGTGTTTACTGAGTCTGATAAAGCCCAGAACCATGGCTGACTAACACATGTCAATACATCACCTTTTGAATTTTGTGAGTAAGGTAGAGCAGTACATTTTTTATTCAATTCCTCTTGCTGTTCCACAGGAGGGCACTGCTAAGTTCGCCGACACTGTGGGAGACAACGATCGTCAGCTGCAGAAGGCAATGCAGAAGCAATTGGCCTCTGGCACGGTGAGTAGCCATCAAGAGACATGCGTGCGATTGAGTTAGCAGGAGCTCCAGTTTCAATGGCTAGGATATTATGTCTGGAATTTGCAGGATTAACCAACTGGTGTTCCTCATGAAGGATGGAAAGCCATAGTCGAAATTGCACTGTGAACTAAGTGCAGAACATTTTGCCCCTTTTCATGCATTTGCTTGCACTGCTTTTAAAGGCTACAATGATGATATGGAGCACAATGTACGCCGTGAAAAAACAATGGACACAAGGAGGAAGACACACACACAGGTTTTCTGGCACCTGTGTGAGTGTCTTCTTCCTTGCGTTCATTGTTTTTTTGTGCCGTAAACCACGCTTCATATTGTTCACCAACTAGCCCAACTACAAGTTCTTCTACGCTACAATGACGAGCTTGTACTTTTCCGAGGTGTTTTTGCTGCCAGAGATTCCATGCAGTAAGATCTTCCAGAGCTCCTGCATTTCCCTTCAAGCTTTAATAAATTTCTAGACATACTATAAAGGAATATTGTAGTAGCAGAGTATATAGTGTGTATTGTAGTATATATAAACATTTAAAAAATTAAGATATTGCATGCATTTTCTGGCACTGCAGCATACCATTGTTCAATTACTATACCCATGTCCAAACTTAGTCTTTATAACTGATGGATGCAAATACTAAGCAAGTTCTTCAGGTTACACTGAGACAGCTGTTCAGTATTATCATAGGCTTCTAATAATAGTTCATCCAGCCCAATCTTTTTTTTTTTTTTTCGTACTATAAATATTTTTATTATATTTTTGGTCTTGCCCGAAAACATATGGTTACATGTAAGCAGCGAAAGCATTTAGTCAAACAAAATCAGGTCTGATGCATGTACAGCTGACCATAGTATTCCTTCCATGCAACTTCCTCAAGCTATGATTTTTAGATTACTACATGCTCCACATATAAATAACTTATGGCTTGCACATTGCATCGTCATCCCGTACCAATGGTTGTTCCAGCTTGTTCTTGCCGAGAAAAACAAGTTGGGAAGTGCAAAAATATGTCGCTGAAGGTACGCGTACAGCAACAACGTCCTTCACCGTAGCCGCAGATGTAATGTCCGTGCAAGCCACGTATACCTAGGTAACTGTTCTTTTCTCAAAACATGTTGCAACTTGCTGAGACACGTCCCATTGTTGTTTTTTTTTTGCAGCCTGGGCGCATGCAGGGCACGGTGCCCTACCTCGGCATCTTTCTGCGTGACCTCACAGTGCTGGACGCTGCCCTGCCAGACGTGCTGCCGGGAGGATTGCTCAACTTCGACAAGCGCCGACGCGAGTTCCGCATCTTGGCCCAGGTCAAGCTGCTTCAGAGCGCCGCCAACTGCTACAGCCTTGAACCGGACCCTGCCTTTGTCGCCTGGTTCGATGCCTTGCCGATACTCTCCGATGACGAGAGGTATACGCTGCCTGCACCCTGGGTCGATTGGCTATCTCGTAGGTTTTGGTGGCAGGGGCAATCAGGCATGTGTTCATACGCTTCATGAGTTAAGAAGGCAAGGTTGTGATCGCAGTGCAGGAGGGGTCATAAATCTGCGCCTGCCAGTTCATGATTGACGCCTGAAAGGCCTCTTCTTTTCCCATGCTTTTTTTTTTCTTTGGCCTTCTAGCTATCATTTGCAGGGAGCAGTTAGTAAGCCAGCCCACTCTCTGTACCCATCAATTCAAGTTGAAAGGCTGGTATGGTATGTTCTTAAAATAATTTATGGTCGAGTAAATTTATTGTTTGATTTTCGAAAATTCTTGGCAGTAGTTAGTAGAAATACTCTAATGGTATCTAGGATAGGAGGTGTTCCTTGTGAAATGAACCAACACCCAAATGCTGTGGTCACTGACAAGACGAGACTTGCATGGTGTCTCTTTCGAACACCCGTCTTCTGCGCGCTCGTTGCATTCTGCTGTGCTTTGGCTGCACGTGCATGCTTGAGGATTACAAGACACCAAAGTGTCATTGAAGGTAGGACGGCTGAAACACCTCCCTGCTGTTTTGTCCTGTCAGCGCTTTTAGTCATCTCGGGAGTGGCAGTCAGGAATCTGTTCATATTCTTCGTGAAATAAGGAGGCAGGGTGGATCTCTTACTGCAACAGGGATTGTAATCTGGGCCTGCTGATTCATGATTGATGCCTAAAAAGCCTCTTAATTGTCCGTGTTTATTATTTTTTTTTTTTTCTGGTATTTTATCTAATATTAAATGCTGGGAACAGCTAGTACCCCAGCCCACACTTCCTACCTTTCTGATGCAAGTTGAAAGGGTGATATGTTCCTTAAAAAATGTTGTAGTCCAGTAAATTTATGATGTGGTTTTCAAGAATTTTCAGTGGTAGTTAGTTGAAGTATCTTAATTGCATCTAAAATAGTAGAGACTCCTTGTGAAGTGAACCAAAACCAGAAGCTAACCAGTTTGTATTTGACATTTCTAATATTTGCACGCATTTATCATACTTGTCAGTCTCCCGAGAAAACATTTGTGATAGAGACAGTAGCTTGAATGAATGAGTGGGTCAATGAATATGTGCAGCTACCGGTTGTCATGCCTGGTGGAGCCTCCCAGCTGCCCAAGGAGGAGTCCATGCAGAACACCCAGGCAAGTGGCACTTTTTCCCTGAATGTTGCGAAGAAGATGATAGCATGAACTTCCAGGTGACCTCAGACATGAAGTGTTGTAAACATGGCATCACGGGCGTCCGCAGAACTTTTTTTTCAAGGGGGAGGAGGGGAGAAACTCAACTTCTTTTCAGGTGGGAGCGGCCCTGGAATTACGGGGCAAAGGTGTAACCGTGGCAAGCCCCGATTGGCCAAATGGGCACTATAATGGTCTAGTAGGATTGGAGTGTTTTGATTTCATTATTCTGCTTTCATCGACAAACATAAGGTTAATGTCGAACTGTCAACTTTGACGGTGTTGGTTTTATGAAAACGATGGCCTCAAGCTTCCACCGTTCCTGTTACACATGCCATAGAGCTTGTCGTTCACATTTGATAATTCTAGCTATGCCGTCAGGAGTAGGAACTATAAAACTGCAGCCGCACTGTTCGTGCATCATACAAAAGACGAGGTAGTATTCGCTGCAGACACAATGACAGAAGTGTTTGCGGAGACGCCTTAAGCAAACATATAGCTTTGCCAATACTGGAAACTCGTCTGAAAACCCATGGGAGCGGCAGCGAATGTGACAGTGGCGCCTCTAGTGGACTCGGAGTTTGCGGAAGCAGACGACGCAATGGAAAAGTATAGGCTCCGTGACGTCCACGAGCTAGTAGAGCCTCAATGATGCGTCTTTCAGGAGGCCGTGCTAAGAAAATGTGATTTCGAGTGGTGCTCTCGGGGGCCTGTAAATGAGACACTAAGCATCTCTTGCACAGCAATTTATTTCACGTGGAGCTTTATGGCTGTGGGGAACTACCTACCATATTTATTGAAATGTAGGCTGGCTTTTTAGTTCTTTAAAATTAGGGATTGACCTATAATCGCAACCAAAGGATGTCGACTTACAAAAGTCAGCAATACAGGCTTGATCATGCTGACAAAGATCAGGGAGCTCAGAATCGATCCTTCACAAACCACACTCCATGTGTAATTTGTGCTAAAATTTTGTTTTGGGGAGGGGTTCTGTTAATATTAAAATTTTCTAATAATAATTTCGAATAATAAATGATTTGACATTCACTTTGAGGTGAACTACAATATTCATTCTTTTCAAAGTGTTAATTGCGGCGGGTTAGCCCCGTTCAGTGCGCTTCTCAGTGCGCACCGGTGCACATGGGAAAGCAAAACCCAAGGAGCCCGCGAGCTCCGCGGCTATTGCTTTCCCGCAGTGCTCCGGTGCGCAAAGTTCATCAAGATTCAAGTTTTACTCAAATCATAAAGCTTATCAAGATAAAAACTCATGACCCCTCACATAACCTGCAACTTTCATAATGAACAATATCATCGATATCACAGAAGTCAAACTCACAAACATCACAAGATATCACCGACTCGCAGATCGCATGAAATATCAACAATATCACTTACTCACAAATACCACGAAATATCACCGACTCACAAATATCGCTGACTTACCAATATCACGAATTATCACTGACTCACAAAATATCACAAACTCACAAATATTCCTGATATCACCGACTCAGAAAGATCACACTGGTTCACCTAACTGTGCTGCTCGCTGCCATTAGGTTCGGTTTTGGTGTTTACCATTCCAAACCGAGGCGAAGCAGTGGCAGCGAGACTCAATAGTGCGCGGTGGCTTTGTAATGACGCACATGGCACTTGTTTTGTGTCTTCATTTTTTTTTAATTTTTAGCTTGACAGAAGGTTGCTTTTGTTTTCAAACACATTATGTTATAGGTTTTGCAGTGACCCTGCTTGAGTGACCACCGCATGGCAAGCTCCTAACCACCCCAACCCCCAGACTTGCATTTTGTTTGGATTGGTTGAAAACATTTTTGCATGAAAATGAGAAACCCGTTTATGTATGGTGTGCACCACACATCAAGTTGCTAGGGTTGTTGGGTGAGGAGAATGACTATGGCGCCATTATATGAATGAAACAAGTGCAGTGTTCGCTTGTTTGGTTCTTTTTAGAGCACAGCTCTTAGGCACCCGTTTCCGGCTTGAGCGGCGTCGCCGTCGGCGTAACCGCGAGGTCACGTGACCTCAGGGGGGATCACGTGACCTCACGGGGCTTCAAGGAGGAGGAGGAGCAGGAGCAGGCAGGATGACGAGGTGAGGAGGAGGGAGGAGGGGTATACCCTCCCTTCAGTACCCTTCCATCCTCCTCCTCAAGAGCTGTGCTCTAATTCGGCGTTACAGGAAGTTGTAAACGGCTTTCATTTTTTTTCTTTCGCCACTCAATATCATCTCATGAACTCAGACTCGTCACAGAGTCACTCAATATCATCTCACAAACCTGGAGTCATATCATGGAGTCACTCAATATCATCTCACAAACTCAGATTCATATTACTGAGTCACTCAGTGTCATTTCACAAACTCAAATTCATATCACGTAGTCACTCGATTTCATGTCACGAACTCAGACTCGTATCACGGAGCCACTCAAACCCACGATCATGCGGTGTGGGTGAGTTTGTGAGTGAGTTTGCCGAGGTTGGGCGAATAGTGGTTTTGCTTGAATATTTTCAAATCGAATATCGAATAGTTTTTCTATGCCTTTCACTTTTGTGCAGCATGCTCAAATGAAGATTCATTTGAATTCGTGAAGGTTGTTCCTATCCTTCTACTTGTTCACTTCTAAGCTGAGTTAATTTTAGTATAACTATATTAATAAACTCTGTCACGTAAACGACAGATTGGTCGCAGCTATCCTAATCGAGGGGATTTATAAATCCCCTAGCTATATGCAAATAGTCTTGCTTCAATTTCAAATTTGCTATAAAAAAAAAAACAGAAGCGCAAATGATGGGTGCAGGTTGTCAAGACATCGCTGCCTAACATACTCTTTCATTGAAAACAAGACGTCGCTACCTAACACACTCCTGCATTGAAAAGATTACCACAAAATTCCTAACGGGATTTTACTGTAATATTTTAAACCAAGCCCTTCAGAAAACTTGCCTTTTTCTCCACTAAAACACAAGCTGCAGCCGCGGTAGTGCAGGTTCCGTCGGGTGTAGCAGACTGTCGATCGTAGTAGACAACATTTTCGCCTTCGCACCGAGCTACACCCGGCCACCTGGTATGTGACGTCACAATTTGTACCTGTGGGGTTAGCGCATGTAGGTGATGACACAGGAACAATGTTGTTTGCCGCAGGCAAGGTATTGGCTTCGGTTTGTGGCGAACAAGGATGTGCAAAAAATATTACACTTTTTTTGGAAAGAAATGACGTAGAACCTTTCATTACTACCTCGGGATATATAGGTACTCGACCATTAAGTCAAATTTCTTGGAATCGAATGGAGTTGCCCTGTAATGACGCTCACCATGATGCACGGTACGACATTCGTTTGTGGCAATCGGCTCATAGAAATCGACTAGTAAAACACATTTCATGTTAAAAATTTCTGTGCCCATCAAGCTAGCCCAGATGCTACCCTGCATCAGTTGGTGCTCCTAGCATGGTGGTGCAAAGCAGTGAAGCTTGGCAGAAGTGTGCCCAGCGCGACGCACAACTGAGAGCTTGTGAACTCGATGCGAAACGAAACTAAGGGAACTAGGATAACCAAGCACAATCAAAGCGTGCATCGCATTGAAAAAAGGAATGGAAAGGTGATCAGGCTTTTGTGAAAGCGGAGTCTCTTTCCAGCCTATTCCAAGGTCATGCCTGCTAGGGAAAGAAGCATAGTGCATAGTGGTAGGAAGGTGATAAAGAGGCGGAATGAAGCGAAAAGAAGAGAATGGCTGCAGCCAAGCAACCTAATGTGTCGTGTTGACCGCATCGATTGGCATTTTCTGGTTTTAATAACCAGGAAGGTAAACACATCAAACGGGAAATTGGTATCCATATCTCTATGGGAGTTTTAAAGGGACCTACGTTTGTGGATGTCACTGCCAAGAAACCATAGCAACTAGGAAGTTGGCTGATGCAAAACCTGTGGGAAATGGAACGATATTGTATGCAAGACATGCAGCCCTCTTCTCATTGGAGCTGTCCCTCCATTGGCATTTAGTAGGTGATAGTGTTAATATACTTTTGGTATGGTAATTGGGAGGCACTGTATAGGAATTCTGAGGAACAAGTTTGAAGAAAGTTCTAGAGTGGAATTTATTGAGACAAAAATGGCATGAAAATGCTCTGCAGCAGTCTGATCTTGGAAAGATTCGAGGGAACAAGTAAAGCTTGAAACCTGTACATTTAATAGTCTAGACGTGGGATTGTTAGGCTGAGTGCATTAGGAGTTTCTGGTTGGAACTCACAGGTCCATGACAAACAGACAACCAAGTGGTGTGGCACATTGTTTTTTCTGTAGTTTCTGTCAAGTGTAACCTTGAGTCCTGCAAGAATAAATAAGCGATCGACTGACACGGCACTCTTTGAGACTGCTTTGTGCCGCTCCTTTTCCTTCCATTTCTTGTTTCTCAGGGGTCCTAAAAATAGAACTTGCCACCAGCTCTCCGGTCCTGTAACTTTTTTGCACCAGGAATGCTCCTAATTTTATTGCAACAAATGGAGCTGTTTGGGGTGCTATTTTGTGGCAGTTTTTTCTGCCTTGAACAGCATCTTTGTACCTTTGATGGCTGCAGGGCAAAGACAGAGCTTGAGCTGGACTCTGCATCCTTGGCAAGCAGTGGTGGACAGTCGTGCGACCGGGGCGGTCATCGTGAATCCCTGCCACGAAATGGAGTAAGCTACTGCAGTGTGTGCGTTACAAAAGTGTTGGTTTTTTAGTTGTTTTCTCATTATTCGGGTAGTCTCCTAACTATTTTTATTAAGCGATTTGGCACCGCGCATTGTGGAGGGTCGACGGTACACTTTTTTGCCCAGCGAGTGACTTTTTTTTTCGCGAATAAGTTCTCTTGTCGGACTGCCTTCTGTTCACAATGCTTCTAAACACGTTCACAAACTAAGCGGTGTGAGAATTCCTAACCTGGCATATTATGGATCACACTTGAAGTCCATTGAGGCCATCGTGTATTAGTACTACTAACTTTCCAGAAACATCTTCCTACAATCTTGATAGTCCAGGCAGAACCCAGGCATTCTGGGTTTCATCCCCACCCTTGCTCGTTTCAATCTACTGGGTGTATCAAGGAGAGGCCAGGCTCTTTAAAATCGACCGCGAATTTCGGTTTCTTAACCTATCGCGCTACGACTTTGTGCAGCGTTGCCCACAGATGGTGCATTCTTTTTGTAAAATTTGCAAAGAGCGAACTTACCTGAGGAAAAAGTAAAGAAAAAAAAAAGGCTTAGTCCTATGGAAATGCAGGGAAGCCAAAGGTCTTCAAACAACACGGCACCATTTCGCACCGGAGCAGACAATCTTTTCGACTCGAAAGCGGAGCGCGTTCCGCAGGTGGCGACAGTCGCAGAAACAAAAACAGGCGCGGTAACAACAAGGAATTGCAAAGCAGACGACATCGGTACCCCCGAAAAAACCAGTCAAAATATCCCAACAAACCATTTTTTTAATTGATTATGTCTCCATTCAATATGTTTTATCAGTAAGGATGATAAAATAATGCATTGGCAACTGATATCAGAAAAGCTCGCGCCGTTTTTGAGTCGAAAAGATTGCCTGCTAAAGACGCCGGCTTTTGGCACCGTATGCTCATTCGTTGGCGGCAGTTGGCGTCGCAACTGCTTGCGCCATCTCTTGTCCCCCGTGCGAAACGGCGCCATATTGTTTGAAGACCTTTGGCTTCGCCGCAGTTCCATAGGAGCTAAGCCTTTTTCTTTCTTTACTTTTTCCTCAGGTAAGTTCGCTCTTCGCAAATTTTACAAAAAAAATGCACCATCTGTGGGCAACGCTGTACAAAGTTGTAGCGCGATAGGTTAAAAAACCGAATTTTCCGGTCGATTTAAAGAGCCTGGCGTCTCCTTGTTTCACCCTGTACATATGGACGCCATCAGCATAATAAGCATTCCATAATCCACGCCTAATATACAATAAAAAAAAAATGCATGTACAAACACCAGGAAAGGAGAACAATCAAAAGGTGTGACTCTCAAGAGCACCATTGAAGTCGGGGGCAAAAAAAAATGTCACGAGGGACGGCATTCCAATCCGTAATAGTGCGTGGGAAGAAGGAATACTTACGTGGGGAAGAAGGGTGTTCAGCGTAGCAGTCGACATTTTCAGTAAGAAGTGACGCAACATGTCTGACGAGACTTTTGAGAGCCAGCTGTTGCTCAAAATACTCAAGGTCAATCAGTGGCGTAGCCAGGATTTTATTTCGGGAGGGGTTTAACAGCATCTGCTCCCCCCCCCCCCCCCCCCCCCCCCCCGGTCAATGACGGAGGGCGAGCTCGCCGACACGGACGCTCAGGCAAAGATTAGGAAGACACTGTTAAGATAAAACGGGTAACGCTGCATTGTCATTTTTAAAAACGGAGCAGGATTCATTTACAGGAATACGGGCGGGGTGGCTCACTGTTCTACTGCCGTCGTAATTGCGGCCCACGAACTTTAAGTGCTTTCTCACAACACAAAACTTCCTTCGCGTTTCAAAGTAGCACCGCAATGCCAATGCGTGAAGGCCAGAAAAAACACAAAAATAGCTATACTTTCACACGCACACACACACAAAAAAAAAATTGAACAGCAAAAGAATCTTTTTTTGACACTGAAAACTTGGAGCAACCGGCCACGCACAAACACGAGGGGCCCATATTTAGGGCGAAGGTAATTCTGAACAATCACACTACCAAAATCATCTATCTGTTAAAGGTTTAACAAATTCGTGCTACAGAATCGGATGCCGAAGGAAAGAGAGTGTTATCTTTGCTAGGCCGTTTTATCTTGAAGTGTGATCCAAAGGCAGCAGCAGCATATCCTCGGGGTAAGGACAAGTCATCAGTCGGAACTCGTCGTTCCGTCACTCGGAGAACTGACATGACGCACCAGAAAGAAACTATGTGCTGAATGTGGAAAGGAACTTGACTAGCCTTGCGCCTGCGCGTAGTGAGAATTTGAAGGCTTGCCTCTTCAAGTTTCTGATGTTCTGTGCAGCGAGGAGATTAAGCTAATAGTAATAAGGAATTGCATCGCATGTCACCTTGACATACAAAGCAGAAAGCAAGACGGACTTCATCGCATCCATGAGCGACGATTTTCGCGAAGTGAAGGAAACTTCGGCCAAAAATAGGGAAATTTTAAGCGTTCAATGCAAGAGAGAGAAACGTGAAGCGCCCGTCCTATCTGCGGTATACAGGTGGTCGCCCTCTGTCCGAAGGCACTATTTCAGAACGTCCATCGTCTCAAGATTCTAGTCGCTCTGCCCTTAACAACGGCGGAAGCTGAGCGCTCGTTCTCTTCACTACGACGGTTGAAAACATACCAGAGAGCGTCCACTTTGAGTGAGCGACTGCTCGGTCTATGCTTTGTTTCAGCCCAGTTAAAAATAACCATTGGGTCCAATTAGTTATTGACAATTAGAACCAATGGGGAATCCTATCTGTGATTTCGGACTCCTAGTTAGAAAAAGTCAATTGGTTCCAATTAGTTGTCGACAATTAGAACCAATGGGGAATCCTATCTGTGATTTCAGACTCCTAGTTAGAAAAAGTCAATTGGTTCCAATTAGTTATCGACAATTAGAACCAATGAGGAATCCTATCTGTGATTTCGGACTCCTAGTTAGAAAAAGTCGATTGGTTCCAATTGTCGAAATCTAATTGAACATCACCAATTCGAACCAGTTCGGCATTGTCAATAGGATGCAACCAATTGGAAAAACCTATTTCTGTTTTCGGACTCCCAATACAAAAAAAAGCAATTGGTCCAAGTGTTCAAATCATATTGACAGATACGAATTGGGACAACTGTTAGTGTTTGGATATTCCAAACTAGAAAAAGTTGCAACTAGATCTAAAGGTAGATAATCATGACAGTCTTTATTTAACTTATTAGAAATGATTTCTTGCTTCCAGGCATCGTTGTTTTCTTCCAGGATAGCAGCTGCAGCTTCCCTAAAATAAAGGATAAATATGCATTAAATGACCTTATGAGACTAAATGTTTAAATCAAGCTTAGAAACATACTGAACATTTTTTTTTTTTTTTTTTGCTGCAAAAGAAATTAGTTGCCGTGGTATAAACCTGCAGGCCCTGCATTAAAAGGCAAACATCCCTGGGTGACTGAAAAACTCTGGTCAAAATTAGGAGATGAAGCTTTTGCCGAGACTGGGCTAAATTTGCATCTGGGATGGTTTAAGACTACTAAGTTTCCTATGAGCCTGTAAGACATATTCTCTGCTATAAAGAGAAAAAACAGTCAAATCAAAGGCATCTCTGTAAAGCTGGCTAGTGCACCTGAAAAATGCTTAAAGTGTGCATGGGTACGTGAAAAAATAAGCGTCTTTCGTATCTCGAAAAGAAATCATGCATTGCAGGCTGTGTTCCAAATCTTACTCAAGTGGATCAGAGGCAACGCTGGATGCGGGTAGGTTTCTCAACTTACCCTGAGTGAGACAGAGTAAATTTTGAAACATAGCTGCAAATAGTCCGCCGGATGAGATGCAAAATTTTCGGCACCTACTGTTATTAAGAAGTCATCAACTTTCGGAGGTAATGACCCATCATCACCGACCGACCGACCCCCCCACCCCACTTCCCACTCATCGAAACTTCCCCCGAAATTACTTAATTTTGAATCCCAAAGCTTCAATTTTTGAAGCTGTGCCCAGTCAGTGTTTTCAGCAACTCATAGTTTAGTTTTGAGATGCTTAAAACGCACTTAACTTTCCTCGCAGATATTCAACAACTTCCGAACTGATAGCTGCCCGGAAAATGTTCTTCTCTAAAGCTATACATTCACGCTCGTATCGTTCACCCAAGATCAAGCGACGAGTGTCTCAGCAGATCTAACAATCCGAAATCCCCAAACTGCAGCGCAGCAAGGACAAAGAAAATTTCTTACCTTGCTCCCATAAACGTTTGTTGCCAATCCTTCGCGCTCTAACAAGCTGGCAGGTCAAATGAAGTAATTATCACCGCACCATTGAGCACTCTGCAGCACTAAAACACAAAAGAACTTTCTTGAATCATTGCCATAACCATGCTACGAATGCCGTGCACGCCAACGTCGCCATGTGCTTCACGCTCCCACCGTCCTCGCGGCGCCATCTTTGCCGCCCAGTGTACACCGACCGTGACACCGACGCTGCCCGCATTTCCGACTAATTCTAGCAACAGATTTTTTTTTCGTTTTTTTTTTTTTTTCGTTTTTTTTTTTTTTAATTTAATAGTGTACAAATTTTTTCCCCTCTTTCAAATTGCGATGTTGAAAAAATTTAGTGCAACGCAATACTGAAAAAAAAAAAATCGCGATCTTTGGAAACTTTGTGGTGAGGATAAAGAAATAATGGCAAGTTCTGTCTAACTGGTTTGACCAATTAGGTGACCCAGTGATCCCAATCGGAGATCAATAAAATTCAATTGGAAACATTGAAAACATAAAGTTGGAAACATTGAATCCAACTAGAGTGACCAATTAGGTGACCCAGTGCCAACTGAATTTTATTGATCCTAATTGGGATAACCAGTTGGAAACATTGAATCCAATTGAGTGACCAATTAGGTGGCCCAGTAACCAGTTGGAAACATTGAATCCAATTAGAGTGACCAATTAGGTGGCTGAGTGCCAATTGAATTTTGTTGGTCCTAATTGGGGTAACCAGTTAGAAACATTGAATCCAATTAGAGTGACCAATTAGGTGGCCCAGTGCCAATTGAATTTTGTTGGTCCTAATTGGTGTAACCAATTGGAAACATTGAAACTAATTAGAATGACCAGTTGGATGACCCAGAACCAATTGAATTCCATTGACTCCAATTGGTTCCAATTGAATATCCTAATTGGAGCCAATGGTTATTTTTAACTGGGAGCTTAATTCCAGACGCAGCCGATGCTACAGGCGCGAGCATGTGGCCCTGAACATCGCTGGCACTGCACGAGCGCGCGTGCTTGGCAGGGATGCTGAAAGCCCGGAGCTCGCTCTTGAAGCATCGGCTACGTCTGAACCTGAGCTGAAACTACAGTGTACTAGAATACTTGGCTGAAACGAAGTATAGCGTTTTTGAATGTTCACCGCGACATTAAAGTTCAAACGGAGGATGTCCGGGATATATTTTTTTTTCCGTGAATGCAGGTGGCTTCATTTTAATGTGTAGGCGCTTGGCATAAATGAGATGATAAAGAGAACCTGTAAATTGCATTCTAATATCACTAGTCACTGTTACCTATTTATTCATGGTAATTTCTAGTCGAAAGCACGTCATTCTGATCGATCACAAAAGGTGTGCGTGAGCGCAGCGCCACCTGTTGCTTACAGTGCGATTGTTTTTTTTTACAATTTATTTATTATTCCTTACATTACTGACATTGTTTTATATTATCACCGTGCGTTCGTTTTATTATGTTCACATTGGTTTGTTTGAACTGTGTATTTCAGTGAGGATAGTTTGTCATATTTTGCGTTGAAATCGCCATCCTTCACCCCAAAAATGTTTCGAAATATTCGTTCTCTATATATCTGAGATCAAGTTCCGCATCCCATCGAATTAACATGAATTAAGCAGTATTGCATATGTTATTAATTTGAGCATTTTCTACCCCACAAACAATTTTTCCGAAAGCCTGTAAGTTGGAGATGGTCCGTGCTCCCCCGTTGCTCCGTGCCTCGTGCAAAACCGACTGCGTGAGCAGGGCAGCGAGCGGGCCCCGTTGGGGAGGGAAGAGGGGGGGGGGGGGATAGCTTTGGCATTTCGGGAGGGGTTTCAACCCCCCAAACCCCCCCTCTTCCCTCCCCACTGAGGTCAATAAATGAAACAGGTGGCAGCAATAAGAACTTAAATAACCCTCTTACGGTTGAAAAAGCGGTTGATTCAAAGAGCCTGGCCACTCCTTGATACACCCAGTAAATGAGCGTGTGGTCGTGTATCACTGCTGCATGTTGCGCATTAAAGACGTCAGGCTAGCAGTTGTACTGCACCTGCTAAATTCCTCATTTACAGCTGAGACACCAGATGCCCATTAAGACTGACTAACTTCCCGCTGGCTAAACATATGTGCAACAGAATTATTCTTTCCTCCAGAGTTCTAACCTGCACATTTTTCCTCCTCCTTTCCGCTTGTGCAGCGCCTGCAGCAGCGTGCCTGGCAGAGCACGGGCAGCCTTCTGTCTGCCCTGAGCCTGCAGAGGAGTCCCGGGAGGGGCATGATGAGCCAGTGTCCTCCCCCTGCTCCTGCAGGGGCTCCAGACCTTAAGGTCATTCGGGTCAGCGTTGAGCAGCCACAGGAGGCCACCGCTTCGGGGCTGAACCTCTACAAAAGCATCCTGGTGAGTGCCTCTTTTGGCCGCGGCATGTAACGAAGGTTTAGCGAGAGCACAGGAACGAGCGTATTTACTGAACCACTATTTTTCTGCCTCCGATTTCCGGCCAGATGTGTCATGACTGTGTAACGTTGCCGCTCGTCACAATTCTGGCAATGGTGCAGCAGTGAAGCTGGATATGGCAGATTTCTGTTCTCGAGTTCTGCCATAGTTCGCTCCTGCAGCCAGTCGGTCGATGAAAACGAAAGCAAACGTTGCCGCGACGGCGAAGCTTGCGTCCATTCACCTTCTTTGCCGGCACTTCTGCAACAAGTTGCCAAGGCTACAGCAGCTCGTAGTATCGGATGGCCGCTAGCGTGACGCATTTCGTCGGCGCCTTGAAAACATACCATCATGCATGGGTTGTATAGGATGCTAAATAATGAGTCTGAGACACGTTTCACTTGCCATAGTTGTCGGGATCAACGATTGTAGGCCGGAATAGATTTGACCTGGATTGGGTCTAGGGCTGTCTCGTGAACGGCCTCCTGGGTGTCGTTTCTCGTCCTGCAGCTGAGCAATGGGGACCACACTCCTGCGGTGGTGCGCCATGCCTTGGATAAACATGGCCTCGAGGGAGACCCCGACGAATTTGTCTTGGCACAGCAGCTGCCCGACTCTGGTGAGGACAAACCTTTGTTTCCGGGGCACTGCTCTGTAGCAGGGGTCCTAAAACTCTTTGATCTTGAAGACCCCTGTGAGCCTCGAATGGCAGTCGAACAAAAAAAGTGCAGCAGACTACCGTCCTTACAAATAATTATGTACATACTGCTACTGAGCGTTTCGCTTACAGTTAGGCACCAATGAGTGGTAAACAGTTCATTTAGGGGGCAGGGACGGCCAAGGAAATTTAAGAGCTCGAGGAACCCATGAGGGTGCTCTGGGAAACTTAAGGTTGCTCTGGGGAACCCCAGGGTTCCTAGGAACTGAGTTTGAGTACCCATGCTCTGCAGGATTGGTAATAGGAAGGGAATGCATGTCCCTCAAACAGACATTTTCTTCGTCGAGATTTAATGGGACTGTGTTTCATTACGAGAACCTTGAGTATGTCACTGTCATGGTCCAACAAAGACAGTGTTATATTACTCATATTTAGCGGGTCATTTTTGGTTCACTGCCAGTCGGGAGATATGTGTAGTAGGAAATACTGCACGTAGCTATGAAAGCCAACCTCATTGATCGCAGCTCTGTGATTCCTTCTTGCCTCTAGAAATGCACACATACCAGAATGGCATTACTACTACAAATTCTAGATAGATTCTTGCTCAGATTTGCAATACTAGTAAGTCAGTGTCAAATAACCAGAGTTGAGAAGTTTCTTCAGATAGTACAGATATAACGATGTACTGCTTATAGCAATCAGTTTCTAGAGTTTCAAGACTAGGAACGCCCAGCTTCTAATCCAGATACAACGATAATTGGTTATAACGATTGAGTTTTTGGGTTTTGTCATTATTGTTTTAAGTGGATTGCACTGTACAAGCTTTTTATGGGGAAAATTTGCATATCTACTTGCATATAAAGACCCAATTACTACTATTTACAACAGAAGCCCATTGAATGGCGAGCCAACAATAGCGTTGCAACCCAAACAACGAAGTTACTTATAACGGGACACTGCGTGCGACATTCATAGACTTAATATCCCAGTGCAAATAACTTTCTGAGCCCCTGCTGCTATTATTTTATAAATGGCACTGATTCCTAGGTGGAAATCAGTCCGGCTGGAGCTGGTTATTTAGGTAGTCCCAGCTGGTCCAGCTGGAAGTTCAATGTGTGGGCTTCATTCATAAAAAAACCAGACCTCAGCAGTTGATGTAATACTTTGCACACTTGAGTTGAAACAAATATTTTTCATGGTAGCTTTGAAGTTGGATAGATGAAATCTGAGAAACCCGTAATGGTCTATTTTAATGCGAAAGCATTAACTGGTCTCATGGAGCGAGCCGACATTATCAGTTTGAAGTGCAAAAAACGGCATCTTGAATCCTTTCTCCAAGTGTAGCCAGCTCCCAGCTATGAAACCATGCGAAAAGCCTAGACACGGCACCTAGTTTCCCCGATCCCAAAAGAGCAAAGTAAAGCTGATGAATTTTCGGCTTCGGTCCCATTGTCTGGTGCACATCGACGAGGCTCCCATTGGCTGCTGCGCGTCGGTTTCAACGATCGCTCACCCGATGGCGCTGCATGTCCGCAAGGCGGTGGCTCCACCGTTCCACGCCCAAGGTCTGCACGCCGTACGCCGCAGACGAGAGAAGGGAGCGAAAAGCGGCTTGTGTGCTTTCGCATTCACAACTCATAAGAAGTGCTTAGGTGTACCTCGAGCCTTTTTTCTCAGGGCATCCCAGTCCTCCTGAAGCAATTTTCTATTCATTTCTCTTTGCAGAGATTGTCTTTCCAGCCTCTGCCAATGTGTTTTATGCCCTGAGCAATGCACATGCGCTCAACTTTGTACTGAGGCCCAAGAAGGCGGAAAGTGCTTCCCCAGCCCTGGGTGCCAAGAAGCTGCGTAGGCCGTTCCAGTTCAAAAAAAGGTTGTTACCAACAACCTCCCCATGAGCTCAGCGGACATCATACGAGAGACGCCCAGCTTTCTGGGCTCGGCTCATCTTTGGCCACCCCCGTTGTTTTGCACACCTGTGGCACTTGTACATAGTATTTTACTTTTACGAGTAGTTTTTTTTCTTCTCGATTCTCCGGGTAATTTACTTTTTTTGTTTGTTGACACGTCTTACGCCCGTTTCACGTTGTTCAATGCTCAGACTCGGTCAATAAGAAATGTGATGTTTGCCGCCTCTTTTTTTTTTTTTCTTGTTGTGACTGGCGGCAAGTCAACGAATTTGTGAGCCAACGAATTAGCGATCGCCGTATACTTCCCAAGTGGCGATAGAGCCACCTATACACATCCACCGGAATGTATATCGAAGTGGTGGTTCGAATTTGTGAAAGGTCTGAAGTGCCTGTTTGACCTTTTGTGGTATGCAAGTAGTGCGGAACAAACTGTGTATACTAGCCAGAACTTTATCATATACATGGCACACTGCCCTGCACTAAGGTGCCGTGTAGCACATAGCCGGATGCAGTATTACTTAAAAAGTGTCACGTCCTTTTCACGTTGCATCACATGTTTCCCACATGTGTTTTACATTTTCTACCCCTCCTCACCGATATGTGCCTTTCCTCATGTCGTTCTGTGGGCATCCGGCGTTGTGGAGTGAAATAAAGCCGAACAACGCCACATCTTTCTGGTCTTGTGGTCACTTTTCATGTGCTTTCAGATTTTTATGCTGCTATCTTTTTCATTTTCTCTCCAAGAGCTGCTCAGCAAGCGGTAGTCCCTGTAAAAACGATGAATTCCACCAAATTAACTTTGATTAATTTGTCTTGGAAACATCTTGGATATCCAAAACTTTTTGCCGCATAAACCAGATGGCGCTAGTGGTCGTCTAATCTTTAAAAAAGTGCACAAGGCTGTTAAAGAACACTAATCCTTCTCTCTCTTTTTTTTTTAAATAACTGTTGCGATAAATTAAACGTGTGCAGCGTATTCAGCAGCACGGTGAGCGAAAACCAAGCAAGTTCGAACACGAAAGATCGGAAATAACACTTAAAACCAATCGGGCCGGTTCTGAAGTTCTGAACTTGCGCAACTTCGGTGCCACCGGATGCCACTGAATGGTCGCACACCCCTCAAGTTCTAGTCGGCGTCTAGCAAGTGAAAAGATCTAACGTGCGTGTTGTGATTACATGGGCAGACTCCGACGTGGGGCATCGGTTACATCCTTGGGTTACGCGGCCTATGATGTTACCTGCAACGTAACCACGTTACTGCAAAATGCAAGGCCGCTCTTTTTCGGCGAAATGAGATACTTCTAGCTTCAATGAACAGTTGCTCTCTTTAACATTTTGAGTAACATAACAACCAGGAACCGGTAAGCTTTTCTTAAGCTCGCAAATGTTTAAACTCCCGTCCTGTTTGGTCGGCGCCATGTTCCACACCCCGCAAAGGTAATCACGAGTGCTCCCTACTCTGCGCGACTGGCGGTGTCCGACCGCGCTCCGACAGGTGGCTGCTGGACGCGCCGACCCGATCGGCCTAAATCCGTGACCGGCTATCGCCGATAAACGCCTCTCGTTTTGTGCGCTGGGAGAGAAATGTCACCAGGCCGAAGGACGTGGTGACTGTGCCAGCTCAGCGGCCTGAAATCCCACCCGGCCGGTCGGCAGCCGAGGAACCACGGGCCGTGGGAGCGTCTCCAGTCCGGTGAGTGGGCGTGTGCAATTCCTGTGGTCGGCAGCGCTGTATCACCACGTACCCGAGTGACTGTCCAGCTTGTGGCGAAATGGGCGCGATGCGACGGCTCGTCGGACGATCGTACCGGGCGTAGGGCGAAAGGAAGAAGGCGCCCTTGCAAGGAGATATCGGGCCCGGGGCGGAAGTGGCGGAAATGTACGGGAGCTGCACTTCCCGACAGGAACTGAGCGCCGGCATGCCGGACTGGAAGCAGGAGCTGCTTCGCAAGAAGCGCACCATGCACAAGGCCTTCCCCAGTTGGGCGGCGCTTGTGGCTCCGGGCAGCACGGGCAGCGGCGACCGGCCGAGAAGGAAGGCTGTTCACCTTGCCGACGCGCCGCGCGTTCCGGCCGGACTGGTTTGCCAGTTGCCCCGCGGAGGCCCGCGTGCCAGCATGGGCGAAGACAAAAGAGCCGCTGGCCTGGCCGACGGCTCCTGCAGTGACCACAGCTCGGCACAAGGCGACCTTAGCTCCGATGGCGAGCCGGACGACGAGTGGCAGTACGGTCCAGGTTTCGTGGACCGGCTCAAGTGCAAGTTCCTCAGCCTGAGCCTCCGCGAGTCCCCGGGCCGCATCGGGCCGCCGGGACAGCGGCCGCTGCGGGCCTATGCTAGCGTCGAAAACCTGCTCGAGCCCAGCAGGGCGTCTTTGGTGGTCGCGGGCCGGCCGCCTCAGCAGCAGCAGGCCCCAAGGGCGGGACCCCGTGGTTCCTTCCCTAGGGCCCGGAGCATGGAAACGCTGCTCGACCCGCTCATCAACGAAGACGTGGTCATCGTGGAGAGGAGCCCGCGACCCGCGGCGGCGGCGGGCATCAGTGACGGCGAGCTGCCCCGAGTGGACATCGTGCGCACCTGCAAGCGCATCTTCGAGGCATCCGACGACAACCGGAGGCCGCCTCGGCGGAGGCCGCCGGTCCTCAGGGCCAGGGCGCCGCTGCGAGGGGACAAGGAGAACAGCCAGCCCAGCAGCGCCAGGGCTGCCTTCGGTCGGCCCAGGACGCCCAAGCCCGTGGCAAACATCAAGCCGCTCCGCAAGGAGGACGACCTGCCACATGACGCACCCCCGCTCAAGCCCGTGATGGCCAACGGTCCGCCGACCGAGGACCACGTCGGCGACCGCGTTGCTGACGACCGCATCGATGACGAACGCATCGACGACCGTGTTTATGAGAACGTCGATGGCCGCATCGGCGTCGGCGACGGCAAGGGTGTCGAGCCGAAGGCGGCCGAGCTGCTGCGGCCGAGCGCGTTGCTGCGGAACGCGTCTCCGCTGTGGCCTTCCCATGCCAAGACAGCCGTCGGGGGCGGCGGTTCCATGTCGCCTGCGGGTGGCACGACAAGTATGGTGTTCGACTTCCGGGGCAAGAACGTGAAGCCCCATCTGGCTGTGAGCCCGGCGCCCGGGGCGGACTTCGACGAGCTGGACTCGTCGTCGGACGAGCCACTGCCTTTCCCGTCTGGCATCGTGTTCATCGGGGAAAACGTCCGCATCGGGCGTGGTGCCCTGCTGACCACCAGGAACAAGAAGGTATGCATTCCGACGTATGCTTAGGAATGTCAGGGCATCAGTTAGCCATGCATCATGACCTTACTCAATTCATGCTCTCCACAGTGGTTTCGCTTTGACAGATAGGAGTTGTTGTTTTTGTTTTTTTCGTCTGCGCGCCCCACTGCGCGCAGCGGCAGCGGCTGGAATGTGTCGCGCTGTCCATTCCGGTCGGCCGCTGACCCCGCGCGGCCGCTGTCCGTGCGCGTACCGCTGTGGGCCGCTTGCCAGGACGGAGGAAGCGCGCGTCTCACTCCACAGGCCGTGACCGACGCCCACGGTACCCGGCCATACTAATGGCGGCGGACACGCGCTGCGGTCGACGGCGCTCCAGACCACGCCGGCGGAAACCCGCAAGCGCGTCGAGGGCCTCTTGTCACTTTGGAGTCCGGATGGGGCTCGGTGGACTTTGGAGGCATACACACCCCGCGCGCTAACCAAACATCCTCGAGGAAAGAATTTAAAACAAAAACAAGCCAACTGTGTTTGTTTTTTTTTCCACACTTTTTTGTTGTTGAAGGTGCTCTATCTTTTCTGGTCATTCGTGTCATTTATTGACTTTAGAATTTTGTAGACTCAACGACAAAGAAAAAAAGTACTCAAAGCAGAAAGGCATGCAAGGAGAGGAAGAAGGAAATACCCTATCTGCTGCAGTTCCTGCTTAGTTTGCCTTTGATTGCGTCCCTGTACGTTGCCGAAGGATTTCATCTGATATAGACAAAACAGAACCCTAAGCCTATGACGCACCTCGCTCTGTCTGTTGATTAGTTTGTAGTTAATTCGGGGAGTACGTGACTTGACCTCTCCTTTCTGCAACAATTTGCATTAAAATTTTTTATTATTTTTTTATTTTAACTCTTGGAAGATGCTTTTTTGGGAAGGCCTGCTGAGAAAGCTTAAATCTTGCTAATTTTGATATGTAAGTTAATGTATGCCTATATTGATAGTTTAGTAAAAGCTTCAATGTGAAATTTCTCTAGAAACTCACAGCCCAAATGTAGAAAGTGAGATAAAAGTAACGTGTCTTAATTGATGTTAAATTGAAATAAGCATAATAAAAACTGCATCAATGAGCTGTTATGTTCATCTTGAGCTGCATGCAGTGAGCATAACAAAATAGTAGCAGTAAATTAACCACTAAGCACTAAACATCTTTATTAAACACATTATATAAGTTTTTGAGCTCAGGCACCTACAGTTCAGAGAAAAGCCATTCAATTTATTTCTGAAACCACCCCTCTAATGTACACTAAAAGCATCAACTTAGCACTTTTTACAAACCTGTGTTCTCCAACGATTTAAATCATATTCTTTGGTAATTTAGTCATGTGCAAGTAGTAGATTTTGAGTTTGAAGCAAATTTGAAGCTAATAGTGGTTTTGGCCAAATATTTTTAAATCACATGTCATACATATTCTCCAAACCTCTCACTACTGTTGCACTATGCTTAAACAAAAACCCCACTAAACTCATAAAAGTTGTTCCCAAGCTTCCACTTGTCCATTATAAGCTAGTTTTAATCTAACTATATTTATCAGATCTCAAATAGGTCTGATAAATATAGGCCTTAGCATGGCAAATAAACAACAGATTTGACATAAAATTAAATTTATAGAGATGCCCATTTATACCTAATTAAGTGGATTTACAAATCTTGCTATATGAAAAAGCTTTTACTCCATCTCAGATTAGAAAAAAATAAAATCAAGAATGATGAACACAGGTTGTCAGGGCATCTCTGCCTAACATACTATTATACTCTTGCATAACAGCCACAGTTTAATTTTGAAAATGTTACTGCAATGTACATATCAACACTAAAAAAGTTACCTGCTCTTTTTTTTATACATTATTTTGTTTTGGAATTGTGCTTTTCTCTTGGGCATGCAATTGCGATATTCATGTTTTTCCAAGTGTTGATGGCGGCAAGTTGCTTGTTAAGTGCGCTTCTTACCGAGCATCGGTGCACTGCTGAGTAGCAACACCCGTAAAGCTCGCTTTTGCGGGTGTTGCTTCTCCGCAGTTCACCCGTGCTAGGTAAGAAGCGCGCTCAACGGGGCGAACCCGTCGCGATCAACACTTCGAAAAACACTTTATATCGCAGTTCATCTCAAAGCAATATCGAATAGCATATTATTCGATACTAGTATTTGAGATTTCGAATATTCGCACATTTTTAATTTCGTATTCGATTAGACCGATCTCCAATTGAGAAAATTCTTTGAATCTGCACATGGTTAATACAAAATCTCATAATGTGGATTTTTTTTTTTTTTTTTTTAAGTTTGAGATTGTTTGATATTTTCGTGAAGTTGGCTTCACATGTACTATAAACTACCTATTTTCCTGGTTTCAACTTCTCTGCAGTGTTTCCAATGACACCAATGAGCAAAAGGTCAGTTGTGCCCATTGGTGCCATCAAGCACATTGGTGCTCACAAGCTTTAATCCCCAAAGTTGGCTCCACTTCAATCATAAATCTGTCTCTTTCCCCAGATTGCAGCTTCTCTGTAGCATTCCTAAGAGCATGAGTAAATGCTAATTAGCTCATTGAGTCTGACCATGTTTCTCGGTTCGAGTGGGTTTACAATTTCCAGCAGGAATATGTGGTGCCAGCAATGCTAAATGACAAAGGATGCCCTTGACGCGTGGATTGTTCAGCATAGTTTGGTGCTGTCTCGTCAGCATTCATATTTGACTATATTATAGTGCTTTCAAAAAAGCATCCAAGGCTGCCATATGACATGGACATTACAAAGCCATTCTGAGGTGCATCATCTGTTATTAAAAGGCAAATCATGTGAATATATCTGGCCATCAGGCACACAGAAGACATACCTTTCACACCACTCAGGGGTTTGGAGCAGGGCACAACATTGTAGGGGATAGCTTGCTAAGAGTCGACTGCCAAGGGAAGCGAATAAATAACAAAGTGTTTTGAAACACAATCGGTTGTTTTCAGAAGCCATGGCCAGCGACCATGCAAGTTTACATATCAGATTACCTAACAGGTGTCGGGTGGTAGATGCCAATTGCAGAAGCCCATTTGGAAAAAATAGAAAGGTGACATTTAAAAAACATTTTACTTTGACATCTGTATTGCATTGTCCAAGTAGTGGAAATATTGATCAGGTCACATCAAAAACACACTGGAATATAGGTAACCGAGAGGGAATCGGTCACTAAACCCTAATAAGTTTTATTTTGAGCAACACTTCTGTTATCTTTTGTACTTGGGGTCGTGGGTCTTTAGATAGCTGAATTTAATGCAGACCTTTTGCTTCACTAATTTTAGCACCATAGTGTAATTGCATGGAAAACCTGAGTGATGCCTTCAACAACAAAAGGGCCCAATTAATTTTTATCTGACAAGGTTATCAGGAGGGGTATGTTTGCACAGCTGTTGTGCCTTTGTTTAAAAATCTGATGCCTTCAGGGTTTCTTGGACAATCTTGTCCTCTTCTAGAATTTAGGCAAATTCTTTTACAAACTTCAGAAACAATGATGTTGACTTGAAGACTGAACTGCATTCCTGGAATGACTGAGTGTGAGTGCTGGCTAGGATATACCAGAATGTGTTGAAGCACCTTTTTTTTTTTATGCTTCTAAAAAAAGTTGATAGTCCACTTAAAAATAAATGAGAGAGGGGGTGCAGAAAAACTTGGCATTGAGCCTTTTTTCGAGTCACATTTTCTTCCTTGGGAGATTCACTCCTAGGCTGAGGCTAGGAAGCTTAGAAAGTATGTAAATAAACCATCTAGATACAATTACTAAAGAAGTGCTCTGTTATTATTTATTTTAATTTCCGGCTTCATAGGGCACCTGGCTAGAAATTTTGCCTAAGTTACAGCCAATTGATGCTCGCTGTTGCTCCAATAGGACAAGTTGTGCTGCCTGCTATTTCGATTGCATACATATTGTGTTGTGTACAGGTTCCTGACTTCTGAATATGTTGAGCTATGGCGGTGCAAGTCTGTATATTGCAGACAAGCTGATACAATGGGAGAATATCTGACGGCGTGAATAAAACATATCCCACCACAATGTATAAGTACTCGGGATATCAAACAGGAACCGGGCGCATCAAGGGATAGGCACGCAGATATCCTTCATTGTTACGCGATAGCAGCTGGATGTTCTAACAGCATTTTTAACGTGCTTCATCTGCTTATGTAATGCGAGGGAGACAAAACAGTTGCTCTGAAAACCACAATTTTTGTTTGGTAATCTTGATATGTGGGGTTAATTTTTGGTGTGTGTCGGTGCTGTTGATTTGCATGTAGAGAGAATGGTAACATGTAATAATAGCAGCGGCCCGTGGCATGTATTTTGCTGGTGTTAAAAACGCCCAAGAAGTTCAGACAGAATTGTGCTGTTTTCTTGTTTGGTTTATGTCTTCTCTTGGTGCACTTTACATGATGGTAACCTTGCGTTAAAGAAACTGTTTATTTGGAGATGCACTCTTGAGCATTTTTTTCCCGCCTGTTCTTGGTGCACCTTGCTGGAATCGTAAGACAACTTGCAAAGTTTAAAGCAGGGTAGGAAATATTTTCTTTTCTCAGTTTGCCTTTGTCATTAGGGGGGGAAAGGAGCTCCTTTTGTGCAAGCATTGGGGGATAACCCACAATGACTGAAGAGTCAGTGAGTTCTTCCATTACAATCTATAACAATGAACACGAAATTCTTGGGCTTGACTTGCTTGCTTTTTCTTTTCTCCTCTTTTCAATTGAAGGTTGACCTTTCAACGATCTGTGTTGACAGGTGCTCAAATTCCAGGAATAGTAAAGGCATTGTGGATGTAGCATGGATGTCCAGAAATGTGTCTCACCCAGAAATGCATCTTTCCACTTGAGATCAGTGGCAATAAGATGGTCACCATGGGGGATGTCAGCCTACTGGCTGTCCTAAGGCCAAGGTTGACGAGACTGCTTGTGAGAGTCGAAGGATTGTCAGAGGGGCTCTGGGTGGATAGAGCAGTCCCAGTGAGCTTCATCTCTGAAGTCCTATAATGCAAGCAATACAGTATTTAAGGCAAAATTGTTTAAGTTTGTTTGTTTATAAGACATTGAGCAATCACTTTTTGGAAGGGAAGAGGAACATGGTTGTGTATTGATTTCAGTGGGGAAATGCATGTTTGAATGATTGGGCAAATTTCTCGGAGTAAGGGGTTAATTTTAAAAGTGTTCCATGCTTTAATATATTTGTCAACTGCAGCTCAAGATTCAGTTCAACGACAGTGCCCTGGTGACCATTGAGTACCCGTCTGAGGAGGCCAGCCCCAGGAACCTTAATCCTACATCTGTGGTGGATGGCCTGCCCAAGGGAGTTGGTGAGCATCAGAACGGCATTCTGCAGGACAGTTCGCAGAGCCCTCGATGTATTTACTTACTTAGTTAGGATATACTCGTCAGCCATATACTCATCGGGATATACTCATCAGTCATAACAGACTCGTTATGTGTACAAATTTGTACAGAAAAAGAATGTGTTCAGCATGAGTAAGAATTGTTTTGCCTGCAATAAGTACACTCCAAATATGCATGCGCCCCAAGCAATGGTGTCAGAAAGAGGGATGCCGCAAACCTCCCGAAGTTCGAGCTTGAAAGGTTTCCAAATGTTTGAACCTCGCTGAGGTTTAAGTTTGAAAAGTTTGCAACTTTAGAACTTTGCTGAGGTTCGAATTCCAATAATTCGAAAAGCTTAAGGTTTCTGAAAGATTGAGTTCAAAGATATCTATTTTTTTTTTTTTTTATAAATAGTTTAAGAAATTTGAACATTTCAAATTTATTCAAGATTCAAGTTAGAAAAATCAAATATTTCAAATATTTTCGAGGTACAAGTTCGAAAGTTTCGATTTATGTTGAAAGTCTGAATTTCACGGATGGAAATCGAATTCCGCGGCTTCAAACTAAGTTTTCATGAATTCATCTAAAACAAAATTACAAAATGTGCTACAAATTTTACTGAAAACGTTGCCCATTTGTCTTACGCCGTGAATATACTCCTTCCTGCTCAGTGCTGTGGTACTGACAGCACTACCTGTATCACTCGTTACTTGTCGTAACTTATGAAAAAAAGCATTGAACTGGTTGAACGGTTCATCCAAAAACCCCAAAGGCGGTCAGGAGAACATACTTCCTACTTATTTGCAAACTAGTAACAATGCAATCAAACGTCGCCTAAATGCAATGCTGGCATAAGACAAGTAGATATGCAGGACAATGCAGTCACATAAAGGCATCCAGGCTTCCCGAAAATTTTTAGTTGCTCTGGGCATTTATGTTTGGCAGGATGACCCGTGGGATGGGGAAAACACAGGCACAGCACCCAAGGCAAGTCAAGGTTGAGAAGAATGCAACCACACTAAATTAGGGGACCACTAATATAGCTGATCAGGTCATGACCAGTTGTTATCGGGCTAACCATATTGTGCTGCCTGGAACTTCTCTTCTTCAATGTATGGAGATATTGACCACTCTAAAATGCAGCCGACTACTAATTACAATAAAGTAAGCACCGATTCAGCGTTCATTGTTGTGCATCAGCGTCACACTTTGCGCACGCCTTTCCTGGATGCGAGGAGGAAATTGAGGAACTTGCGTTTAAAAACAACTAATGTTATGAAGGACGCTCCCAGCGAAGCACCTCTGTTAAATTTCGAACCTGCAGATAAGGGATCTGTTGGCCCAGAGGTTACTCGGGGCAACTTACGGAGTTGGGAGGCCTTGTGTGGAAGTGGAAAGAAAAAGGTGTGAGGTACGAGGCCGAGGCCACGCCAAAGCGATCATTCAGCGCTTTACAAGCGTGTCGTTTGTGGCACGACCAGCTAACGGTAAGGCTCTGAGTGCAATTTCAACTCCACACATTGACATCTTGTGTTATTTATATTTGTCGCCTGGAACCTATAAGGGTGAACTTGGTTCAAACTTTTAAACTCGGCAGGTTTGAAAGTTCAAAAATCATAGAATTTCTTAGCGCAAGAAGTTAAAAACAATATACTGAGGGGAGGGTATACCCCTCCTCCCTCCTCTTCCTCCTCTCCTCATCCTTTTACCCTCTTTTCCTCTTTCCTCTCCTCTTCTCCTCCTCCCCTTCCCCTCCTCCTCCCCTCCCCCTCCTCCCCCTTATCCTTTTCCTCCTCCCCGCACATTGCATCATGGGAAATGTCCCATAATGCACCACGCAATTACGCCGACGGTGACGCCGCTCAAGCCGGGAACGGGCGCCTAAGAGCTGTGCTCTAAAAATGTTGAATTTCATAGCGTGAAAAATGGGAAGTTCGAAAACAATCGGATTTCTCAGCGCCAAAAATTAGAAAGTTAGAAAATCAAGTTTTCATGTAATAGGTTCGACGTTTCAAAACTTTGCGAACCTTTAGGACACCTTGGTCGATCTTCAAACCTCAGGTTCGAAAAACGTTTCCGGCATCTTTAGTCCGAAATAGAGATCAATTTGGTACGTCAACATCCTATGCAACGGCAAAAAAAGATAAGAGTGGTCAATCTCTTGACTAGAATTTGCAAACCTCTTCGTCCTAAAAGTTTTCAGTAGGGACATTTTTATTTTTTTGTGTGTAGGCATTAGCTTTTGGACCAGCCATAAATGAATTAAGAGGAGGCAAACAGGTGAGAAGGGTAAGAAATAAGGAAGAGTGGAAGGGTTTTATATTATCATCATCATCATCATCATCATTTATTCCTTGAAGGCCCAGGGGGCATTATACAAGGGAGTGAACACTTAAAAAAAAAAAAAGTAACAAAACTATTTATCTACAAAAACACGCTGTAATCTAGTTGTGGGTTAGAAAAAATAAGCTAATGGCCGCAGAAAATTTCTTAGTATCAGTATGGTGAAAATTAGTGTCTTTCAGCAGTGCATGTGAACGTCCATTTGCAAATCATACAGCATGGACCAGTTGAGTCACCTAAAACATTGTTTCTAGATTCTAGGCTTGTGTGAATAGTGTATTTTGAGTTTGAAGCAAACCACTATTTTAACAGAATGTAATTGAATATCAAATGGGAAATATTTGAGTAAATAAACTGCCAAGATCCATAGCACTGATGGTGCAAAGTCGCCCCGGTGAAACCTTGCTGTTGGCATGTGCTCAACAGCTGTGGCTGCCACTGTAACACTGACTTTGCTACTGCTTTGAAAAGTGTGAATATTACAGTTTATCTTAAAGGGACTGTCAGTCATCTTTCTATTTGAAACTACTATTAGAAGATTTGCACAACCCTACTAGATTGCAATAATTGTTTAAATTCTCTTCATGCTTAATTTTAATTGAGACAGACTTTTTAATAGGGGGTGAGAGTTAGACGAGTGCCGTCTTCACCATGTATTTGGCACGGCGGACAATAGATCAGGGGATTATCATCCTGGTAAGTTGGCTAATTAGCTAATCATTTTGCAATTGCAGTATTGATGCCAATTACTATTAGAGGCCAAACCAATTGAAAGAATTTGCAAAAACGTAAAAGTTTTTGATATATATGAATTGATAAATGTTTACATTTCTTAGGGCGATATAAAAATTGCGCACAAAAATAGTGGTGCAAGCCCAGCCCACAATGGCGCTTGGGAGAGTGACATACAGTTGGTGGCAGGTTAGGAGTTCAGGGGAAGCTTCTCCCACCTCTTTCCACTTTAGTAGAGCAAGCCCTGGAGAGGAGGTCGCCTCCTGTCCAGCCTTTGCTTTGCTGTAGTGGAAAGAGGTGGGAGAGGCTTCCCCTGAACTCCTAACCTGCCACCGACAATAGTCATTTCAATCGTGTCGTCACTCTCGGTGGCGTTTCCTTGGTGGTTGTGCCGACGGCACAAGTGACGACGTGACCCAAACGACCATGTCACTCCTTTTTGCATGCAATTTTTAAATCAAGCTGAAACACCTGAAAATTTATCAATGAACATCTAGAATGCTAACAACTTTTTGCAAATTATTTTAATTTGTCTTGTGTCTTATCGTAATTGCCTTCAATTGTGCAGTTGCAGCCAGACCCCCAAATATAATTAAAAAGTTAATGCACATTTCAGTTAATTAGCCAACTTAACATGCCAAATGTTGCCTCATCTATTGTCAACCGAAAAGACTAGACTTGCCTAACCCTCGCCCCCTTTTTAAAATAAAATCTGTTAAAGGGGCACTGACACATCAAAATCATATTTTTTTTTATTATCCGAAACGGTTGAAAACGATGCCGGGACATTACCCTCAAAATTTGAAATTTGGGAATTCAGTATTCGTGAAGTAAAAAAACAATTTCCAAATGCCGAATTCGAAGTTCCCGCGCGATCGGCGCCGGTGCCTTGACGTCAAAAATTGCGGAGACCTGAGAGTCCCCTTTCCTGTCACCACTCCCTGCTGTTGCCATGGCGACCCAAAGCGAGGAGGAAAGGAGCGAGCGCCGGCTAGCGCCGGCGTTGCGGCGGACCGGTTTTGAGCGGTGTCGCCTGTTTTCCGTTGGAGGATACAAATCCAGGAGACGGCACCACAACGAACTCCCGATTTTTGGTATTTCAAAAAGAAGGGCCGTAGTGCGTTCGCAATTGCGTTAAAAAACATGTTTTAGGATTGCCGTCATTAATTGTTATAAAGATGCCGCCTACAAAGCTTCTAAATTTCCTGATTTTTGACGTCACCGATCAAAAGAAGTGAGGAGGCGAGAGGCGGGAAAATCAAACGCCAAAAATAAAAAAACGCGCGTGCGCGCGGGAAAATTTTTTTTTCGCGATGCAGTTTTTTTTGCGTGTCTATGGCTGCAACTTGCATCGTTTTAGACAATAAAAATAAATACGACCTTTGGGGTGTCAGTGCCCCTTTAAAGTTAAAATCAAATGCCTTGTTCTTTGATATTCTCATCGCCTAATGAAAGTTGTTGAAGGTGACTTACCTTTCTTGGGGGATCTGATTTCCCACAATTTTGGAAAACTTAATTTCCCTCAACCATGCACTTTCATCAGAAATTGGTATTATGAATTTTAATTTGGTTATATACAGTTTTGAGAGGGCATGTGGACCCTCACTTTTGGTGAATTTGTGGAGCATTGTACATGTGAAAATGAAATCAACTACAGTAGTACTAATCTTATAGATGTTGCATAGGCCCTTGGACCATTTGTAAATTGGCGGTCTCATCCTAATTAAAAGTGCTACAACACAATGTTCTTTATATATCCAGCTCTTATTGATTTCAATTCGAAACATCTGAATATCAAGCCAGTTAGATGGAAAACAGCATAGTTGGTTGATGAAACATTCTAGCTTGCATTCAGGCAAGCAGGTTTCAGTTAGGGTCATGCCAGGGGCTTATTGATGAAACACCTATGCTGGTCACATTTGATGGGATAAAGTAGTGGAAATAAGCAGCCAGATTGACACTTGGTTTCTTATTTGTATTTTCTACTGGGAAGTTGTGTGACAACCTTAATTTTGATTACCATTCTTTAATTCGTGTTTTATAATTTGGGCAAATTTGGGTAATCTCTTATTTGAATATTCCATAACTCTACGTAGGCTGCAGGCTTTTCTGGTTTTAAGTAAAAAAAATGTTGGTGAACAACCGTTAGTAGTCTATTTTTATCCACATTATAATATTATATTAGGGTTCTGCAATTTTCCTAGCTTTTGCTATAAAACACTGTTCAATTTCTGTCCTTGTGTGGCTTAACATTAGAAATCAAGGACCTCTATCCGTACGCATAGTTTTACTCTTGCAGCATTCGGCAAAATTCAATAATAGCCATCCCTGCACCGGGGAAATCGCTGAAAGAGTTAATTCTTTCCTAAACATACAAAAAAAAAAAAAATTGCAGACCACTTATAGACAGTGGGAAACATGCAGCCTATTTCTGTAGGACGCTGTGACCCCAAAGAACAGGCAGCAGAGTGAAAAACGGCTCCCAAATATGCATTCTGCCAGCCCCCTTCCAGCGTGTTCGGACAGTTCTCTGCCTTTACTTCTACAGGTGGCTCTTTGGGCAGCTACACGCCCAGTACCCTTAGCAGTGCCGAAGGCTTCCAGCTGGGACTGTGCCGGCCCTGCAGGCCTGTGGCGCCGCCACCGCCGGCAGACGACATTTCGACGGAGCAGCCCCTCGACGAGGACGACTGCCTGGCCAGCCACATCAACGGCCCTTCCTGGTCCCGATCTAGTGCCAGTTCAGACCTCCTATTCTGAGGAACGCATCTCTGGAGCAACGTGTCTCCCCTCAGCTCCTAGCCAGAAAACTTGTTACAGGCAAAAGATTTTAAGACTGCAGACAGCAGAGAGGGAGGCTCTTGGTCGAATGCCGGCTTTATTGCTCTTTTGTTGTTTTAACAAGACCACAAAACAAAAACCGCTCAGGGGCAGGTCATGCCGCGAGCTTCTTGACAAGAAACTAGCATTTTGCAAGCAGCGATGCGACGAGCTTGTTTGTAACGTGGAACTTTTGGCGTTTGCAACGAGCCTAAGCCTATTTAAACTAGGCTTCGAGTTTCTCGATTTGAACCTGCCCAGTCTGCCAATCGTAGTCGGCAGGACGAAACTAAAGCAAAAGTGCGTAGAATGACGCGCATGTATTATGTAACCTTTAAATCCTTAATCGAATGCAGCTGGGTACAGGAAACGTTGACCACAAGGCAACCAACTTTACCCCGTAGACTACGACAAACTGGTTGCACCGTTTTGAGGGCGTGGTCGTTGGTCCTCGGAGCGCGCTTGTGTAGTTTGTGGCATTACGGGCACCCGAGCGGTCGTGAAGTCTAGAAGTGTGCCCGGTCGATGGGGCGTTATCCGACGGGAGCCGTGCAAGAAAGGGTTGCCCTGCGCTCGCCTCTTAGGCCACCAGGCGCTTCCTAGTCAGCAGCGGCGGCGGCGCAGCGCTCTCTGGTCGCGCGCTGCACAGATCTTAGCGGGAGAATTAAGAGCCACCACCTGGCAGGGACAGATGCCACCGGTTGGCAGACGAATGTCATGGTGAAGAGAAGTTTTCACATTTCTTCTCCCGCGCTTTCTCTTTTCTTTTTTTTTTTGTTCAGGGATGCTTGCATATGCTTTTTCGTTTTTTGATACTCAGAGTTTCTGCAACACTAGCTTGTTTGTTCTGTTGAAGCATTCTCTTTTTCTTGTCAGTGGTTTTGCCCTTGTCAATAAAGAAGCAAGCGGGCCCCTGACATTTGTTGTCTCCGATGTCTCACGTCCGGTTCCTGAGAGCCAGGGGTTTCCTCCTCTAGGGTTTTCTCTAGCACAAAAGTGCAACATCTGTACACTTGGCCACTATAAATGTTGTAAATTCCATAAGAAAAAAAAATATATTGGGTAAACATTTTGTCTTGCTCTCAAAACTGGTTTACCAGCCTTTTCTATGCACTGCGAGCATAATTGTGGTAGTTATGTAGTGTTTGTGCCTCTGGCCACACAGTGAACATGTCTTTTTTTTTTTTTGTACTCATTTTAAAATTTTTAGGTCAACTAGTATGGCAGCTCTAAAAGCAGTTTTAGAACTGCTGCCAACTTCTATTTTTGTAAAAGTGGAAGAAAAAAAACAATTGCTCGAAAATTACCATGCAAATAGGTCGCCCACATTTGTCAATGCATCAGGTTCGTGAATTGGATTACTCTGACCACCAAACTTTGTTCCTGCGAATATTGAAAGGAAAGAGGCCGATGTTCAGGAAACTGCAAAATGTTGGGTGCGCAAGTCTACTGTAGTTTGGAATATATTGCACCCTGCTGTCTTGGGTGCTTTGCTGCAGTACAGCTACGCACTGTAGGTCAGTGTGGCTGTACAATGTGAGAAAGTGTAGCTTTTGTATATACCCCGTTGCTGAGCGCTGGTTTGGTGAACATTCAACTTAAATCGGCGGCAAATTTTCAGTGATAATTATTGTAGCAGTGCATGTAGTTTGTTTGAATGAAAGCTAGTGCAGTCAAAATCTTAACTATACTCCATAGCACGATAACTTGGCAAACTGTGGGGACTGCGGACCCCGCGACCCAATAAGTGCGTCGCAGCAAGGCACATGCTGACAAATGCTCCCGTGACGTGTGTCGCATGCCTCGCTCAAACGCTCTTATTGGGTTGCGGGGGCCACAGCCTTCATAGTCCGGCAAGTTACCGTGAAACGGAGTATAGCACACACGTTCTTGTAAAAAAAATTAATCTCTTGGGAGGGTGAATATATACACAAAAATTTGGTCACCTGCGGGTAGTCACGTGTCCCCTGGGGGGTCACGTGATCTCGGGGGAGAGGGGGTCACGTAACCCCCCCCCCCCCCCCCCCCCCCCGTTACGCCGACGCCGCTCAGGCTGGAGTCGGGCCCCTAAGAGCTGCGCTCTAAAAAGACCCGATGCAAATTTGACTATGCAAGGTGCACTGAAATTTGTAATTGTCTAGACGTCCGGTATTTGTACCCTTAAATAGACCAGTGTTGGAAATCCTAGCCTCTAGCGTTAAATATAGGAAATATTAATGTAAAATGCAGGCTCTTGTGAAGAGGGGAGCTGCACATAAAACAAGATGTTTGCTTTTTACATCACTCTTGGCATTGGTGGTGTTCTTAGGGCTTTGCGACCACACATTTCTGACATTCTTGCACTACGACATGTGCGAAGGTTTCTAAAAAACAAAAAGTCTTGCAAAGAGCGCAGCCGCCTGCTGTGTCATGGCATCGGCATAAACAAACATGCCGGCACCCAAGGAACAGAGCACACACTAGTCTATACTAAGTAAGGGCAGACCCAAAACTTGGAAATAATATTGAAAACTTTGGGAGTGGGTGCCTGTTGGTTTGAAGGGCAAAAATGCAGAGGACGCATTTGGTAGAGTGTGCTTCACTACTTTGTACCAGCGTTCTCGGAGAAGTGGCTGATAAGGGGGAGCATTTCGGTTAGCAAGGTGTGCTCAGAAACCAGGTGAGCACTTGATATGGTCATTTGCTTATTTTTAAAATACTGTAAAAATATGCCTACTCCTTATGGTGACGTCTGCATATGCCCAGTGTTTCGCAATAGTAACTTAATTTTTGCGAATCAAAAGTGATCTCAGGAAATGGGTGACTAATAAATCAACCGCTCCGATTAATAATGTGGTCCATGCATTACGAATACTTGAAAGGATTAAACATTGATGACGGGGACAGAAACAGGACTTCTTTCAAAAAGAAAATGAAAAAGTCTTGTTTCCGTCCTCATCCTCGATGCTTTATCCTTTCAAGCAAAACGCTTGTTTTCAATTATTCAATGCATTGAATCACTTTATTAGCAAATTTTGTTTCTGTGAATTATTTTGCCAAAATGTGCACTGCCAAATTTGCAGAATACTTCTGAATTTAGCACAAATTGCATTTCAGAAAGTATGACCAGAGCATTTAGTATTTTCTCGACTACTATTTCATTCTCTATTTACAACTGAAGGCATTCAATATTGACTCTCCAGGTCCAGCAGAAACTCTGTTCTTTCCACAAAGTGCTTTCTTGCAACACGGAAGTTTTGCTCCCACTTTTCAATGGTGACCACATGCATAAGTAATTCTTCAGCCCATTAGCTTTAAGCTGTCTTAAACTATGCTGGCTTGCAGCACCTTTTTATACCACTAGCCTTTACCCAAGGGGGATATGGACGCAAACGTTTGGGAGTCTAACCCTGAAGTATATTGGAACTCATTTTTCCCTATCTCGCATAAACTTTTGAAAAAGGTAATGCTTGTTTCGAAGCCTCCAGGATTTGGGGATGGGATCCTGCCAAATAATAAACGGAAGAGTCGTGAAACTACCTTCATACACAAAACGACAACCAAAAACAATGGGATGGGACACAGCCTCTGGTGCTACGACAAGGATGTGATGAGCCGGACAAACTCTACAAACTGGAATTTACACGCATGGAGGATCGTGCCAGCAGCAGAAAAAAGTGACTGAGAAGTAAGCTGATCACACAGGAAGGACTCAATCATGTACTTGCAACCAGGATTGACTGTACAGGGTGTTTTAGCTAAAGCTTTCGGAAATTCCTTCCAATGGGGTGGTTGAAAAAAAAGAAACTCTCTTTGGGAACAAACTGACAGCCATGACAGACATTGGGGATTGCAAAAAACATGCCAACTAGCTAAATAGTTAACTACAATTTACTAATTAACTTTTTAATTCGTGAAAATGAACATATGGTTCCAACTAGAAACTTGCCGAGCATCATCGAAAACCCCTTAGTCTCAACCACCCTATCGGTAGAAACTTTTGAAAATCTTTGCTGAAACACCCGGTATATATCTAAGGGTTTGCAATTCGCCGGAAGGACCTCCATGGAAAGGCTTAATGTAAAAGGTTGTGAAGCTTCCTTTATTACTCAAACTACTCTGCACAGAAGAGGGTAGATGCTGATCTGGTTCAGGAGGAATCCTCCAAGGCGGCAAACTTGTTGGTTTGCAGCGCACCGTAGTCATCGTCTTCGTCCTCCTCGTCATCTTCACTGCTGCTCGGCTCGTTGTCTTCTTCCGCATCGTCGTGAGCGGGCGTTTCACCTCGGATGCGTGCAAGTTGGGCCACGAGAGAAGAGTTTGCCGTGTCCTCTGCAATTGGAAATGTTGTGAAAACGTGGGCCTTTCCGCAACTCTAAATGCGTGGGCTTTAAAAGAAAAAGATCCTGAAGTTAAAGACACCCATAGCAGATTTGAGGACATTGTGAAAGGTGTGCATTCCAGATGTTTCTTGGACAATGCAAGTTGAAGTGGCCGAATGACAACTGAAAGATGTATGGCAAAATTCCACCTGAACAAACTTGTGCGAAAGTTGACTCAACTCAATGCAATGAATCCAATGGAGTTTTGCTGAGAAATTTTAAGCAAGTTTGTTCATCTGAATTGTTCTTTTCAATTTGAGTTATGTTTAAGTGGTATTTCACTGTAGTGGCCCTGCACTGAAATGAGATTAACTACTGACACGAGAAATAATGTACAGCCAAAGAGCAGATGGTAGCATCTTTAAAATTAGTTAAAGTGGAGTAGGCAGCTTCACTTTGACGTAATATTTAGGATGTGATCATATATTGTGCCACTAAAGCGATACCAGTAGTAATTAATTTAGGTTTCGTTTTCGACCAGAGCAACTCTGCTTCATTTTTGTTTTTGCAAAAACAATGCAGTCCTCTTCAGTATCATTTAGGAAGATCACATGGCAAATATTACGACATAGTTTTGTCTAAATTTTTCTTAAATGGTCTGGCAAGCTTTGCAAGTCGCCAAGTTGCCGAAATCGGCCGACTCGAGCGGGCGAATCGAGGTGCAACCAACAGCACAGTCAAGGTTACGGCGTGGACGTAGCCAACATTGAGCTAAACGTCATCACCATTGCCCCCTTTTGCTTGTTTTTACGGCAAGCGTAACGGGGGACATCAGCAACGTTTCCTCTTGACGCACCTGCGCAGCGTGCTTCTTGAGAGCTGTCCGGCCACCCTACCCTGGTCCTGCTGTTACCAACGTCTTTCGCGTCACAACTGCCATCATCATCTCACCGTTTGTGATTACTGTCTCAGAGTTTCGTCCACACTACGGACACTATGTGTGCAGACTTATGCTGCAGTAGTTCAGCCATTGTCGAACGTCGTAGACACCAAAACAAAGTGAAGAGTGCGGTTCAGACGACGCTTGCGCCTGGCACACGCCAGCCCCCTCCCGCCTGTCTTTGCATAGAGGATCATGTGACATTTTGTACCATGTGATAGCCATGTTCTTGGTGGCTCGAGGCCAATATTGCCGGACGGAGCCAAAGTTTGGTTTCTGCTCGTGTTTAAGATTAGATTTAAATATGCATATCCCATTTTTCGCAAAGCAAATGACGTAGTTTCATTTACTAAGGCTTTTTCATGCGAAATAACTCATTATCCCGGAATCATCATACTTAAAGGCCACATGCAAAGGAAAAAAACATTTTTTTAAACAGCTTAGATGGAAAAAGGATGTCATAAAACAATACTAAAACGAAGAAAAAAAATTTTTAGAGCTATATTTACAGCACTATACGAATTTGTAGTTGGTGCCCGCCGGCGCCGCGGAAAAGTGGCCTTTATTTATCACGTGACTGGCCCTTATTTATAACGTGGTGCTTGCGCTCTCTCGGAAGCTTCGTATGGCGTCTAAAAGTAACTTATTCATCTTTGTTTGAAGTATAACAAAAAAACTAAGATTAATATGTAACTTTTAGAGCCCAAAGAAAACTCCTGATAAAGCGCGAGCAGATGTGATAGACCTGTGCGCTGGTCAGACGACGGCGGCGGCGCCCCGAAGCAGACAAACTTGTGCGGCGGCGACGACGGCGGCATGGAGAACGCGTTGAAGCGGCGTTCGCACAACGCTGAGCGTGCGGCGGCATGTGACTTTGCGGCGGCAGCGACACAGCGCGGCGGTGCGCGGGCCTCCCACGTGACCGGCGGCGGCTCTTGCGGGCGCCAACTACAAATTCGTATAGCGCCGTAAATATAGTTCTAGAAACTTTTTTTCTTCGTTGTAAAATCATTTTATGACATCCTTTTTCCATCTAAGCTGTTTAAAAAAATGTTTTTTTCCTTTGCATGTGTCCTTTAAGCGGAGTTACCCTTTAAGGATAGCTGGCATCCTTGGTCCACGCATATTTTAGACAACAATTATAGTGACAAGATCAGATAAATGTTACCCTGGTGCAAACTGTATCCAGGTGGTCGGAAGGAGAGGCAAAGAGTGCGGCCGTCCAAGGCCATGCGTAGCAGGCTGTTGGCTGCTCGGTAAGAGTCCGGGCGCCCAGCCTTGGCCGTCAGGTAGCCCCTCTGCAGGGCCCAGGCTGCAAGGGGAGGCAAGCTACATTCTCGTAGTTGTATTGCCTCCAGCACCTTAAAAGATGCTCTGAAGCAATATCTGCAACAGCCGTTTCGACCACTGAACTTGCGCTTATAGACTTCGTACTGTATAATCATTCAAATCTAGCACCTTGACTCGCGCAGTGTAAGTAAACGACTATCGCGGGTGAGTAGCAAGTTTGCAAGATGCACTTTGACCGAGCAGAATATGAATCTGCAAGATATAATTTTCTTGAAAGGCAAACATAAAGATACAGAGGTGTACTTTAGACAGAGGTAGACTGCAGGTAGCCTTGCCCATGTCAATAAGCAGACTCCGTGCATACCATGATGAGCTAAGGAAAACTAAAATGATAATTCTTTAGAACTTGTTTTGCCAAATGCATTAATGGTGCGGTGCATTCCGTACCGGTCTCGTTAGTCCCACTTCGAGATCGGTAGCATTCCTCATTGGAGTTGTGGCTTTTGCACGATTGTTAAGCCTGTGGAAAGCCCACCTGCCAGTTGCGTGCTGAAATTTACTGGTTGAAAAGTTCAGACACAGATTGACAGCTAATGCGATTGGCAGTTTCAGTGAGAAGGGAAAGAAGTAGAAAGTCTGCAGAGCTAATGGACAGCCTGGACGGACCGTCAGTGTTCCTTAAGATGGGAGAAGCTTAGGGTGTCGTACCCTCGCAGAGCTCGAACGCCGACCACGGGTAAGTGTCCCCTGCAGGCCCAACACTGTCCGACTCGGGGGGTTCGAGCTTGAGTATGGAGGGCACGGGCAGCCTCTTGGCCAGAAATTCGATGGCCGAGTAGGGCTCACGCAGCTGGGCCACTGGAAAGCATCCCGTGAGCACCTGCAAGGACGAACCACAGTAGACGGGGTCACCTTCGAACACGAACCTGCACGAAGGTATAAACTAATGTCATGCCACAAAAAGTGTGGCAAAATGGGCCCACGTCCCTTTTGTGACACTCTATGCCATTTTATAAATTTTGTGACACTCTGCCATTTTCGTTATTCTGTGTGGTCGAAGAGTTTCTCCATTTTAACTGCCACACACTAGTCACGTGAGCCTGGCACTCAATACAAACTTCGAATAGATGGAATGGGACATCACAGTATTATTCGGTTGACGAAACGACTGATGCTAAATATTGAAATACAGTTTCGTGTTGATATTTTCAGTTCATGCCAAAAGACAATTTTCAATGTCTACCGGTGAAATCCAAAAAACCAGAGCCCCACTCATGGGTACACAAGATTTATGAGTATACTTGTTTTCAGTAAAATCTGGATTTTTTCTTTTGTTCGATCGACGTTTGGCAGTTTCCATATGTGGCTGTTGCGGTTGATGAATATAGGGAACAAAACTGTTTGCTAGTGCCACTGAGTGAGACCAAATGAAGAGATAGGGGACATTCATTTACAATGTGAATCACACTTTCAAAACACAGCATGCAAAGCAACTTGTATGAGGTTGTTTTTTTATTTTTATTTTTTTTTTTTGCTTTACAGATTTGTTTTAAAATACCCATGAAAGCTGCTTAACGCGTCTGCACAGGTGAGTTATACGGCCAGGGGGACATAATTAGGTTTCCGTGTTTTTGGATAACTCCGATAAACCCCCCCAAAAAAAACACTCGTCAGTAAAATTTTCCACAATTCGGATTTATCAAAAAAAAAAACACTCAATTTCGAGGTCACGATGGCAAAATAAAAGGCAAAAGAGACGGTACTTAATGAATAAGGTTTGTCAGAGCACACAGTTAGTGCCTCTGAGAAAAAGTCAATTCAATTTTTTCTTAATCTTGGAACAGTAACAGAAGATAGTTTCCCGTTTATCTTGTCAACATTCGTTCAGTACAATGGGCCAATTTACTTCTGGACCATGACAAAAGCAACTGTTCCGGTTTCCAGTTTGAACCATACTAGTTGTGTGTCTTAGAGGGAAGAGGGTTTGTGTTTTTATAACAGTGAAAGATGGGAATGTGTAGTTTTTATACAATGGGGGGGGGGCAGCTGAAGGTTTTATGCATTTAGGAGTTCGGCTTTTCCAAAGTGCCGACATTTATTGAAGTAATACTTGTTCTCAAGACTTGTTGTGGGACCGCTAACTGCCAACACCAAATGCAGCTGCAGAAATATCTTTCGATACCAGTGATTTTTTTCATTATTATGAATTAGTGTATGTTTGTGTCCTACATTATTTATTTTTATAAAAAATAAAATGAAGAATTAAACATTGAATTTCAGAGAATTGGAAATCTAGAAAAAATTAATTCTAATAAACCCAAAATTTCCAGCAAAAAATGAACTCCGAAACACACTTTCCGAATTTCACGAAAAATAAATTAAGAAAACACAGAATCCTAGACGTAATGTAGGGGGCTAGTCACCAAAATAAGTCTAATAAATAGCTAAAATTTGTTAAGTAATTCTTTAAATAGCGAGAATAAATACGATTTCAATTAGGAATTTGCTGAGCGTCATCGAAACCACTAAATCAGTAAATTTCCAAAAGATTTGGAGCACATGGGAAGCACGGCAGTTTGCTAAAGTTACCACTCGTGTATACTCTGTTTCACCTTGTGTTGTACCGCAGGAAAGGCTACAAGCGAGAGCTCCTTGCTCTATGGCACACCTCGGCGGCACAAGCTCTCGTGCACCAAGGGCAGCTGCCAACGCTATTAGCTCGCGCTTCCAGCCTTTGCTGCGGTACAACATAAGGTGAAACGGAGTATAGCAGGAGTAAAGCCGGCGACAGTCACATTCGCTAACACATGTTAGGCAATATGCATACTTGACGTGTTTTCCTGTTTTAACTCATTTAATATTGTTTTAGGCAGCATATGTCTAGTGGTGTTTTTCGGGTCTTACACCGATTCAGTTTGGTAAGTGATAAGGAGCGAGTCCATGAGCTAACAAGTTACGGTGGCATGGGAGTGCAGGATCACGCACCAGTGGATGGCGAGCCCCACCTGGAGTGCCTTGGGTTGCAGCGAAGGAAAGACGAGGCCCGGGCAGTCGCAGAGGCGCACATTGTCCGTCAGGAAGATGGTCTGGAAGTGCTTGGTGTGGCCAGGGGTGCGCGACACGCTCACCACCTTGCGACCCATCAGGGCGTTGAGCAGCGACGACTTGCCCACGTTGGGGTGTCCTGTTGGGAACCACGTGGGCCAAGCTATACGGGAGGTCGACCGAGCGCAGTAATGACGGAACGACCTGAAAGTGCTTTGGAGTTCATCTATGTCAGTGGTTCTCAAACTGCGGTCTGTAGACTTTAACAGTCCGCAAAAAAATTGGTGGGGGGGTCTGCACCGATTCGAGAATTGCTCCAACAGGAACGGGTAAGGCACTCACGGTGCGCTCTTGCTAACTTCTAGTTGTATGTGCATTTTTAGTGCAGGCTTCATTGGAAAAAGATGATCCTATTAAACAGTAGCTAGTCCAGTGGTGTATGCTTTTTCTATATCTCTCTCTCTCCCTCTCTCATCCTTCCTATACATTCAGCTGGCATTATATATATAGCAATGAACCAACTAGCTCAGCTTCAAGCCGTCACTTTGTCCGAGCTCGTCCATGCGGTGCCATGGACGATAAACGTGATTTATATTCAACCTGACTGACAACTTCCAACTTTCTCAGACTTACGGCGATGCAAGTTCTTTGATGTGTGCAATACGTTGTCATCCTACAAACTATTCAATAGGCGTCTGCATTTGATATCCAAAATAGTTGGGGAGTCCACAGCAATGCAAAGCTTGAAGAGGGGTGATCTACAGCATGTCCCTCCAAAACATTTATACACCAAAATGGCTCTTAAAAATAAGGGATTTGATGCATCAGGCTGTACCTTTTCTCAAATATGTCTTTTACCGGTCCAATTCATATACTAAAATTTAAATTCTTTACTTCCAATAGAACTAAAATGATAATTCAAAAACTGATTTTTTCAATGGTGGAGCAGCAGTTGTTGAAGGGAGATCGAACAACGGCCATGTTTGCCCAGCTTATTCAGAGATGGAGCCACCAATGTCGGCAAGCACAGGTGAACGCAGGCATTGGGGGTGCTTGCTGTCACCAATGCCAGCGAAAATGCACCTATCATATCTCTTGAGAAAAACCAAACTCTGAAGGCAGATGCAAAAAGCAAGAAATAATTGTTAATAAGGGTAACTGATTTGTAAAGCAGCATTTAGCGTCTTTATTTATCACTATCTATTGCAAGATGCTCGCCGCGGTGAGAATGCAAGCCGAGAATTAAATCATCAACCTGCATTCTCGCGGATATCAGAAAGACAAACTGAAATGCGCGCTTCAAAGAGGGTTCTGTGCAAAGTCCGACACCCTGCGCCAACTGCGCGGATGGTCATGTTTGCCCAGTTAAGCAAACGTGGCCGTCCGATCTCCTTCCAACAGCTGTTACTGCACCATTAGGAAATTAAGTTTTCGAATCATAATTTTAGTTTTATTGGAAGTAGAGCACTGAAATTTTAGTAAAAGACGTCTTTGAGAAAAACCGAAGCTTGAAATGCCAAGTCGTCGAATTTTACAGGCCATTTTGGCGCGCAAACTTTCTTTAGGGACACGCCATATATCTTCTTCGTGCTAAACAATCTTCGAAGGCTTTGGCTCACCGACAAAGCCCAGAGTGAGCCGGCCATCCTTGAAGCCCTCCTCGCCATAGAAGCTCGTGTCGGGCGCCACCAGTTCGGTCGGGGCGTTGGCCAGCGGGTCAGACTCCTCTTCGTCGTCATCGGCAGCCACCTCCTCCGCCGACTCTGCGTCGATCTTCTCCCTCCAGCTCGACAGGTCCACTGGAAATAACGGGCGCACGGAAGGACCGTTACTGGCCTTCTTCTTCCCTCCAAAGAGCAAACTCTCCGCAACACCTCATCGGCTGTTTCAGCAGGTCATCCGCCATGTCGTGCGCATGTTGTCGTATCGTCGTTCTTGACAGCCCCAAGTCGTGGCGAGCCAACTTCTCCGACGTGTGGTAATTGCAGTATGGAACATGCCGTTGCATGTCATGGTGTTCTAGCCACGCTGCTACCAACGATTCCTTCTGATTTCCTGACGAAAGTTCGACTCACCTTTCCCGCCGAGCATCTCCTCGAGAGCCGCCACGAGTCCCCGGCAGGCGTCCGCCGCCATACGCAGCCTGCCCTGCCGCCTACCTGCATACGTGGATTTGTGAAAAACAAAGAGAAAGCACTGATTCACACAAAAGAGAACACGCACGTAATCGAGCAGAAGCATATTTAATTAAGGCCACTGAGACGTTTGGTGCAAAAGCAGTAAAGGGAGCACCTTGCTTTGGAATATGTCTCAACTGTGCAAGCAAAAGTGCCAGTCTGAATTCCAAGCCTGCACCAGTAGCCTTGGTTCCAATTATCCATAAACCATATATGCCCCCCTGCTAAATATTAGAAAGTGCCTCATTGTCACAATAGGAAATTTTTCCCGGATGCAGGCGGTTGCCATTCAAGCTCAAAGCCAGATTTACGCCATCACCAGAGCAAAGCTGAGAATTTCAAATGAGTATCTGTCTATTTGCCATTTAAAAAATGCTAAAATCAGGAACTTGCGTGTCTTTGCCGAACAACTGCGCGTTTACAAAATCTGGTGCTCACCTTTCTTGCCCTTTGCAGTCATGCCGGCGTAGGATGCAAATGGCAGCACCACAAGTCCGGGAAAGCGCTCTCGGAAAAATTGGATCCAGGCGGCAGTCAACTTGTCAGGCACCAGGTCGATCTTGTTCAGCACCAGGATGAGACGCTTGCCCAGGTCTTCAGTGACATGCTTGTGCAAGGCTGGCGGAAAGTGCACCACCTACGCAGGACCCGGATGGTATTGCACATCTTTTCTCCATCTTGTACAGTTTGAGGCAAGTCAGAGACCTAGAGGTGCTAGTTTTTAGCAATTCTACCCTTTTCTGCTTTCTTATTTAACACTAACTTGAGAAGAGCACACAGCCACCAGCATGCAGGTTAATATGAAGCAGATATGCAAGAGAGGTTGTACAGAGGATAAGGATGCTTAACAAAGCCTTAATTCTAACAGAATTTTAATATTCTTGTAGCTCAAGTGAGCTTGCCCCTGCAATCCTAGGTAAAAAAAAATGTTGAAAAAAATGCTTCTAAGCACCTCTTCCTATTGCAGTAGAGATGTAACAGAGAATATCCTGTACACTGATCCGTTATCATTCTTCGTAGAATCTTTTTCACTGGTCCCTAGCAAAACCTATACCTTAGATTTCAATCTTTTCATAGTGATCGCAGCATCATGCAGACTATTTATTTATGACATCAGATGGACTATTACTGCATTCCTTCCAAATGCCTATCATTATTCAATAAAGCTTCCATTATTATCTACATTATTTTCCAATTGCCAATTGAGGTGCTTAATTTATGTTGCATTGTAGTGTTGGTTTCGAGTAAGCAGAATGTCACACACAGTTTTAGCTCGTCGATGCCCCAAAAATGGCATTCTTGCTTTGTCCGTTAAAGAATGCACTCGGAAGGTGCCGCTTTTAAATGACGAGCTGTAACTATTTGCAACATCTACTCACTCAGCAACGGCAAAAAAAAAGAAAAAAAAGAACTGTATTGAAAAATGATGAAATATTAGTGAAAAATGTTGCAATAATCCACGTTAATGTTACTCATAAATGTGATATGAATTGTGAAAAAAAAAATATGTGCAGTGATTACTTCCATACCACCCCTGATACAACAATCTGCAAAAATGTTTGGTTGCACTAGTCCAACTGACATAGGTGAACCATGTGCACAATCTTCTGCTTCTTCGCTTCAAGTCGAGATTAGCAAAGCTAGGTTAAGTTAGGCTGCGGCATGGACGTACAGGATGCCGAATGTCTGCCACCAGCAGGATGACTTCGGACATCTCCAGCACTCGCCAGAGCTGCCTCCAGGTCTCGAGGTTCAGCTCAAAGTAGCTCAGCTCGGCATCTGCAAAGGACCGCTCGATCGACTCCACATACTCCTGCGTGGGAGGAAGAGGACAGATTGGTCTGAGACCCTTGTCGGGTAAAGCTCGTACAAATTTTCAGGGGTTAACAGCAAGAGGACAAGAATAGATGCAACTTGTTAAATTTTTGTTCTAGAGAAAAAAAAAAAGTTGGGCCATCACATTTAAGTTTACTACTCTGTTAATAACACTTTTAGCAGAAAATAAGAAAGAGAAAGAAAAAAGAAAAAAAAAAAACACACACATAAAAACATTGTCACTTTTAGAGGGCACTGTAACTTCTTAAACAAGATAAAAGCTTTGTATGAAAAACCTTCCTGCACTGGATCTCCTTTGTGACTTGTATAGAGAAAATAAAACATGTGAAGATTAAAGATATCCCAAAAATTTTTTTTACCCAAAGTATAGCTTTTTCTTCGTTTTTTTTTTTTTTTTTTTTGAGTATTTGAATCTCTGAAGTAAGGAGTCCACTCCAGCAAGTTTGTATGCAGATTAATTCCAAGAAAAAAAAAGAGTTCACGATACACAACTTCAGCAGGCATCCTTAAATGAAACTGATCAAAGTGCCCTAAATTTAGGGCTTCAAATTTCCTAAATTTTAATAAAACACATTACAAATTTTTTAAGTATTTAAATGAACCAGCCCTAAATACCCCAAACCAGAGGTTCTCAAATGGGGGTCCGCAAAGGCATTCTAGGGGTCCACAAAGCCCTGCCTCATCAATCAAGCCTGGTAATCAGTTATATTTTTTCAGATTCAGAAGAAACATTCCAATTTTCGGGTGAGTTTTCTCGTGTCTATGTCATTGAGAAACGTCTATTTCACACTAGCCCTTAGCTATATTCATTCATTAAATCATTATCATAATTAGCCTATACCTTCCTTTTTTCCTTCACCACAAACGAGGTCCTCCATCATATCTGCCGATCCACAAGAGGTCCATGGAACATGAATGGTTGAGAACCTCTGCCACTGCCCTAAACCTTCAAAGGAACCCACTTCAATTCCCCAAATTTTCAACAAACCTGTTCCAAATTCCTTAATTCTAATCAAACATGCTCCAAGTTCCCTGAAGACTTAAATGAACCAGGCACAAGTTAAACACTCCAAATTCTTTTATTTGTTATAAAACCTGTTCCAAATTATCTATAAACTGACCCAGCTCCAAGTTTCCTAATTCCTCAAAGGAACCCAATCAAGGTTCCCTAACGTTTCAACAGACCTCCAAATTCCCCAAATTTGTCAATCCACAGTACCGTCTGCTCACCCGGAAATAATGGGCTTCCCTCGCTTCCAGGGCCTCTCTCGTCATGGACCTGTTCCAGGGCGGTCGCTTTGGGATGTCCAGTGCCGATCCAGGGAGGAAGAACTCCTCAGGAGTCACTTCGAGGGCTTTCTGGAACAGGGAAACTCCGTTTCCCAGGGTTGCAGACGCTACATCCGCTGACTCACCTCTGGCAGAACGACGTAGGGCTTCCTGGCCTGCTGTTTACGTCGCTGAAGCTCTTCGGGGGACTCCTTCTTGAACTGCAGGCAGTACCGGAACACCCTGGGTGCCAGAGTTCATCTCGCGCTTCACAACAATGCATGTAGTTGGGCTAACACGAATGAAACAATGGTGCTGTGCGCGTCAACCTGTTCATCCCCTCCATGTGTACTTCACTGTGTTTAACGAAGAATGTGTTATACGGCTGCTATTATTTCCGTCACTCAACCAGAGATGGAAGTAAATAAGCTGACTGCCAGCCAAACGCCGACACAGTGCTCGTCTTCTCACTGATTGGACACCAGCGCCGGCCAAACGTCTTCTTTGAGTGCAGACAACAGAGTCCGTCGTCTGCTTGCTGCATTCATCGGAAGATGGCATCGCAAGTTACATTCATCGCAACCGCGGTCGTCTGCAAAGATGACCGCCGTTGATTTTAGTAAATTTTATGGTCTAATTTCATAGAGGAGGAGAACTATGCTTTGAAATTCCACAAAGATAAGATGCACCACCTCAACGCCCATTTGGTGAAAGTTCAAGCTTCTCATGTGCAGGCGCCGAATTTTACGGTTAGTTTTACAGCGTGAGACCCACTGGGCTTATCCTATAAAATCGGCAGTTTGCTTCAACAAGCTGATGCACAGAGAACTGTTGTTCCAACAAGAAAAGCAATATTGAGGAAATTCAAGTAACTGTAGTGACGTACCGACTTGAGCGCTGTCCGACATCTCCTTGCGCGTTTATGCGGATAACCTCGCCGAGGGAAAGAGGCGCTTGCTGTTCTGCATCGAGCTCTTTCTTCGACGGCTCCTGCCTAGTTACGTTGCCCCCGTGTCCTGAAAAAGGAAATGGGGAAAAGGGCATATTCACGAGTGGCAAATGGTTATGGATATGTCAAGGCTCCATGGTAACTAGATGAGTACCACGTTGCAGTCAGGCATTTACCTCCGTGTTTGCGCTCTCGCTTTTGTTGCAACTGGATCTTTTTCTGCTTGGCACTGAAAGGGACTTTTCTCGATCCCTGGGGCATGGTGCCGCTCTGCTAGAGTCTTGCTGCGACGCAAAAATGAGTGACAGAAGCTGTCCAATGCCTCTCCCCTCACAAAGCACGAGGAGCATACGCTTTCCACGTTTTGGGCAGCCAGAACGCTGATCAAGAGGAGCTTAAGGATTTGTTCCGACTAGGTGTCACTAATCTGTTCAAATTTGATCAAAATTAAGTTCGGAGGCAGACACTCCTCACAGCCATTTGACACACGCTCGCAATAAATTCAACCAGCAGCAGCCGATGATGTTGGCGATGCGTACCATGCGTACTTCCACAGTGGCGTACTTCCGCGTTGAAAGAAAGAAAGAAAAAAGGTACAATATATCTGTTTACTGAGTATTTAAAATAAATTTACCTGGTTTTCTTAATAAGACGCAATAAAATTTAGATATAAACTATTTATTTATCTTAAATTGCTTTTGAGGAGTCCAGAATTGTAGCCAAAAGCCAAGTCGGTCCGGAAGTAACACCATTCTGACTTTAGTAGGTCAGCATCACGCATGGAGGCACCCGAGGCAGCGACGGCAGCAGCTCTTTAAAGTTTAAATGGCGACACGGCTGAGGGATGCCCTGAAACTTCCTCCATCGCAGGGGCATGGAATTTCCTTTCAACGTTGCTGACTTGTTCTCGCACGAGTTCAACATCGTCGAGCGGGACCTGCGGGTGAAAGATGCTTCGGCGGTGCAGCCTTTGGAAGAACCCGCTAGCGACTTCACCAAAGACCACCCCAGCCCCACAACATCGTCCCCAGTTTCGACGAGGAAACGGTAAACCTGGAACTTTACACGTTTTTGTTCACGTCGTTCTCGAAGTGGAGACTGGGGAGTGCGTTGACAAAGCTGCGTGTTTCGTTGTTTCAGCGAATTTCAGGAACAGCTCGGCCGTGTCATCGACGCGCTGGGAGAGGCGTCGCGCGCGGTAAGTCGATATGTCGTGACTGGAAGTGGCGCGACTACCATTGTCGCCGTGACCGACGGCGCCCGTGTATGCAGGCGCAGAGCTTGTCCGCCGCCGTGACAACCACGGAGAAATTGAGGTGCTCACGACATCGCGTCTACATCCTGGTTGAGTCCACCGCCGACGGGTGAGTCCGCGCCACCGTGGTCCGCGCCTATTTCGGGCTGTGGCCTACCGCCCCAATTCATGGGTAAATTTTACTGACTTAAAACAAAATACTTAACAAAACTCTAAATTCGAACTATTTTTTTTTATATGTATTTTTTTCTATAGCCGTAGCCTATAGACCGTTTTACTGAAAGAGGGCGAGAGAGAAAAGAGGAAAGGGCTACCGGCGCTTTCCCTCTTTCTGATTGTGTAGAAAGAGTGAAGGTCCCGGATGAGAGGCTTCGCCGGTGTTGGGTGTCTGCTGTGCCCGAACTTCGGTCGCGCCTTCTTTTCGGTTTTAAACTCGCAACTTAGTTAGAGCCAGTGGCTTCGATGGCAACAGTTCCCCGGTCATCGGGACACCATTGTTGGGTCATAGGGTGCACGAATAAAAACAGAAAGCATAGAATACTGTCCGAGGACATATGTAGCTTGCAAGGAATCCGGCAAGGCGAGAGCGGCTGCAATGTCTTTGAGCTCCATCGCTTTCCACATGACCCCTGTCTCCGGCGGCAGTGGATTGCGTCCGCAAGCCGAAGAGGCGTCTGTTCAACGCCATCCTCTCGACTTCGCTCGGAACATTTCGTGAATGGAGCGCGCAACAAACGCTGTACCGCCGATGAACATGGGGTACGCTCGCAATGTGCGTGCGAGTTTTCTCATGATAACTGGTGTTTCAGCTTGTAAACTTTTGTAACTGAATTTATCTTAATACTGATAATTCGCAGTGGTGACTGACTCGATTCTATCATCTACAACACTTAGTTGAAGGCTCATTTCCGCCCCCGGGTGAGGCTGGAAATTGTTGAAAACGTATTTCTATTGTTTTTTTCTTTTTTTTAATCGCGATCTTCTGCGCGATACCAGGGACCCGGCAAAAGCGTCCTTGGAGTGCCGTTGGTGGGTTGTTTCCGTTGACTAAGGCGCTTTGAGGCGCTTGATAGTCGCTGCAGGGAACGTCTCGTGTGTTGCGATCTGCGTTTTCGAGCCCAGTGTGCACGTTTCTTTGTTCGGGTCATGGCATCCGCCAGTGTGGTGACGGGGGGAACAGCGGCAGCGAACGTGGCACCTATAGAAATTGGAGGTGAGTACCCAAAATATTGCATCAAATAGTAAGATAATTCGTGGTCTTCGAGGCTTTCTGCGGTACGATAAAAGTACATCTCGAGCGTATTCGTCGCTCATTCACAAGGAAATATAAGAACAGAGACACGAAGATAAAACCATAGTTGTTGCGGACTCTAACCAAAGTTTTATTAAAGACACATAAACCCGACGTTTCGGGACCCGCTCGGTCCCTTGGTCACCCGTGACCAAGGGACCGAGCGGGTCCCGAAACGTCGGGTTTATGTGTTTTTAATAAAACTTTGGTTAGGGTCCGCAAAAACTATGTCAATTCCTCCCTAACCAGACAGACCTCTGTCGAAAATGTTTGCGTTTGAAAATAAAAACAGCAGAGCAAGACGATATGTAGCAGCTCGATCCGGGCGTTTACAAAGTTAATTGAGGTTCCCGTTTTGTGTATAACTTGTTGATTACAACTAAAAGCGGCTACGTTGAAATAGGCCTATTGCAACCAAAAATGTATAAATGGTTCATCATTTCCAGTCATACGGAAAGCAATGAAGCTTAAAAACATTCCAGCCGTACTCGCCTTGCCGGATTCCATACAAGCTACGAAGTCCTCGGACAGTATTCGACGCTTTCTGTCGTTATTCGTGCACCCTATCACCCAGCAATGGTGCCCCGATGACCGGGGGACTGTCGCCATCGAAGACCATGACTCAAATTAAGTTTGGGAGTTTGAAACATAGAAAAAAGCGCGAACGAAGTTGGGGCACTGCAGACGCCCAACACCGGCCAGGCCTCTCATCCGGGACTTGCACTCTTTCTACACAATCAGAAAGGGGGAAAGCGCCGGTGGCCCTTTCCCCTTTTCTCTCTCGCTCTCAAAATGGCGCTACCCACGATAAAACGGTCTATATTAAACGACGAACTGCGACTGTTCAACTTTGGGCGTAAACGTTTTAAGCGTAAACACGCGAATGGTCGCAGTTTGTTGCGACATCTGGGGATTGCTTAGAGAAACTTCTCTCGCGCGTAAAGAAAACGTTTTTATGGCACTTTAGACGGCCCTCAAAAATCTGTTTCTCAACGTGTCGCATTTACTACAGAGATGTAATCATATGGTGGACAGTGGCGTACCAACTTGTTTTTGAGTAAGGGAACAAACCAGAACCCCCCCCAGGGCCGGGGGGCCGTGCTCCTAGTATCCCTTGGGTTGCCCTACCCAGGCAAAACACATGCCACCCCCCCCCCCCCCCCCCCCCCCCCCCGGTTGGTATGCCCATGGTGGTGGAATTAGTTTACAGTAAAAAGGTAAAGAATAAAAAATAAACTTACCACGTTCAAAAAAAAACAAAAAACGGAAGGATGCTGAAGCTTTGCTTTAAGAGTGTAACGCGGTACTTAAACGTATAAACCTCTGCCCGTTCCCAAGCTGTGCAAACATGTCTGCATAGCCTAGGTGGTAGCGTGTCTGGCACGCAACCGAAGGGTGTGGGTTCAGATCCCGCGCCTCCACCTAAAATTCTTAATATTTTCTTTAAGGAAAATGAATTACTTTATGAAGTGAAATCATTTGAGACATGGAGCAACCTTTAATTCGCATTACACGCCATGTAATGTGAATTAAAGGTTCATTCTACGCGTGACGTCACGTGAGCGTTGTGGGTCGTTTGAAATTCTTGTGCGAGGTCATGTGACTGTGATGTCATGACCCTGTCAACCAATCAGGATTTTCCCGTGGTGCCGACGCCGGCTTTTCTGCAACACGAACTCCTTAAAGCTATCGCTTTAAGAACAACAAAAACCTCTTCTGGGCAATCTACGCCACCATTTCACAAATGATGCATGTGTAGAGAGAAGTGCTGCCGACAGAAGGTGTACGCCGTGTTGAGAAAGCGCTTTGCAAGATTTTTTTTTTTTTTTTTTCTGCTGAATTAGATACGTGTACTTGATTTTTTCATTGTAAACCTCCACCACATGCTTGCACTTCTGTAGTAAATTGCAGCGTGATACGTTGAGAAACCAATTTTCGCGAGCCATCTAAAATGCCTTAAAAGTGTTAGTTTACATGCTGTATATTTGGAAAGCCTGTTTGCATTCGATTCGTAATAACCCTGGCTTGACACACCAAAGTAAATGAGCTGAAGGGGCAAAGAGGATTGTTTCTCAGTCAAACATAGGGTACCATAATGTATTTTGCAGACCCATTCCTTAGCATGCATATCAATGCCAGAGCTCACTGTGCTCCCTCAGTGACAACGAGCATCTCTCCTGTGCCCCGGTTGTCAAAGTGGAAGCCGTGACCAGGTTTCCAGCAATGGTCGGCAAAAGCCTTCACTTTTATTGCATACATGGCAAGTGTGGTGTGCAAAGGCTGAGTACCCCATATATGTTTAGAGATAGTCACAGCTGCACCATAAGGTTGCAAAAAACAGGTGGGATTTTGAGAGTCCCTTATGGTTCACTTCCAGAGTGTTCGGCCTGGTGGGCTGACTCGTTGTTTGTTTCACAGGAGAGCACTGGTGTTGGGCTTGCTCAAGGTGGGCTTTAAACAGCTCTTCCTGCGGGACGAGCACTCCCGGCTGTGCCAAGTGCGGCCCCTGTGCCTCCTCGACTTCTACGTGCACGAGAGCCGCCAGCGGCAAGGCTGCGGGAGACGCCTCTTCGACTGCATGACCAAGGTGAGTTCCCCGCTGTACCCAGGCAGAAATCAATCCACTTCCAGCTGGATTATGGAACTGGAAATGAAGCGGTCCAGCTGGATTCCTGCTGGGTCCAGCTGAAATCCAGCTGGACTGCCTTATTTCCAGTTTAATAATCCAGCTGAAAGTGGACTGATTTTCGCCTGGGGTATATTTGTGTTGGTAAGCAGAATGCAGCTGGGGATTTATTTCTTTGTGTGCCACAGCTGGACATTCCTGAAGCATTACTGCGAGTGGAAGTCTTGTTCAGATGCCCAGGCTAGGCTAGCTACCTTCTTGGTTTGCTATACCATGCCGAAAATATGAATATGACCCATTAACTGTGGGCCATGGAGATAGCATCGTGGTGCTTCTGCTGGAAGTTAATCTTTTATCTGATTTACAACTACTATATGAGGCCTGGTACAGTTGTAATCAATGTTCGTGGAGAGTCGGCCACACTGCATTACACAGCACTGGTCATGGCACATACTTATTACGTGGGCGTGAGTTTCTCTAGGACGACCTCGAGGATGCCATTTAAGAGACAATTCTCGAGGTCGTCCTTAAAGGGTAACTGCAAAAAAAAAAAAAGTTTTTTTTTAAACAGCTTAATTGGGACAAGCATGTCACAAAACAAATGTTCCACGAAAAAAATGATTTTTTTTTATCAATATTTACGCCACAGGACACAATTTAGTAGAGTCAGAACCTCTCCACATTTGAAACTCCCGCTCTTTTGACCCCCGCGGAAGAGGAGTACGCCCCGCCCCTCACTCTCCTTGCGTTGCGGAGTTGAACGACGCAGCGTCTCGACTTCCGGCAAGATCTGGCAACTACGCCAGGCCGCGGCATTGTTTTGGTTTGACGCGGTTTGCGAGCACATGTGGCGAAGACGTGACCGGAGTGCCCCTGTGATGTTCCCGGAAGACGGAAAGTATCGTTCGTAATCGTCATGCGTGCTTTGAAAGCGAAGGGAGTCACAGAATCCACGAGTGCGCAACCACAAGCCAAGGTTCACGACAGCGCTGCATTGGTTTCGGCGATCTCGTTCTGTTTGGTGCAACACGGCGATGCGACAGAGCTGGAACGTTCGTGGTGTGTGTGATGCGGTGCTATGTGTGTTATGCGGGGTTGAAGTACAACAGGTCCAGTCCCGTCGTCGTCAACTGATCCAGTAAAACTGGCCCGGGAGGACGCAGCGAGCGTTTTTAAAAGTAAATCTTTCTTCGTTCTGTTTCAAAATGTGGAAGATTCCGGACGCATATTGTGAGTAAAAAGCTGCGGGCGTTTTCAAATAAATTACGTCGTTTTAATTGAACAATGGACTCCGAATTGTTCTCCTAAATCTGCCGTTTTTATACTTCGTGTTGTTGGACTGCGTTTGCACAGCAACGTGTTGTGCTCGTCGTGCGGTGTGAATAAATTTGGGCAAGATTTAGTACCTGTCTACAGATGCATGAGCTGAGACCACTTTTTACGTAGTGAACATGGTGCTTTTTTTATTTTGTGATTCTAGTTGTGGACGTTAGGTGCGCCCGGTGCGAATCTCGATGGCCTCCGGAGCGATATGACGAGAACGTAACTGGACACGTTTGTCGCTACGCGAACGCCCGATTGCCTTCAGCCGAATAGCATTCCTTTCGGGGCGACGTGGCTGCTGGAAGGCTCACTGTCGGGATCACGCATCTGACATCTCCGAAAAGTCAGCATTTGCTCGCGCAAACAAGCAAAACAAACACAAAAAAAGCATGCTAAGCAAGCAAAGAGGAAAACGAAAGAACCGCGCTATGAAAGCCAAAACCCCGCTTCGCTTCCTATCGCTAACACCTGCGACAGCTGCTAAACACACACTACTTCACTTCAAGAGGTCTCACTCAAGCACCTGGGTCAGCACGAAACACTGATCACTTCGCAGAAACGATTAGTCGAGGTAAACGATTAGTCGAGGTAGGCGAGAAAGGCAAGAGCAGACACTTCGGCGGCCATGAAAGAATGGCAAAGCTTTTGTTTGTTATGGTATGAATTCAAATGGAAGTGCCCGTCTTGTAAATTTTTTGTAAAGAATAATAACTCTCATCACATGGGTTATTCTTTAAACGTAAAAATATGCCGCTCAAAAGGAAATCACAACAAATAACAAAGGTTTAACAACCAAGATCTAAGCTGTCAATCAAACTCTTAGCCAATGAGAGCCGATTGGGATTAACGTCACGGAATCCCAACTTCGTGGCGCGCGATTGAAAACGGGCGAAATAGCCACAAACTAAAATCGGTCTCACGCAATAAATATTGCTGTAAAATTTTTTTTTTCTCGCGGAAAAATTTTTTTTGACATGCTTGTCCCAATTAGGCTGTTAAAAAATCTTTTTTTTCTTTGCAGTTACCCTTTAAGGTCGTCCTAGACGGCTTCCTCCAGGCATCGTCCTAGACGTCGTAAAGATAACAGGTTCGCTGGTCCTCCATCTTCACGTGAAGTGGAAGGGCTCTACAATTTTTCTCGTTGAAAATGTTTTTTGCCTGAAATAATTTTCAGTAGCAAACAAACTTTCACAAAGAGTGTGGGATGAAAAACTATGTGATCGAAGTTCAGAATATTTTGCGTGAGCTCCGTGCTCAAGAATGCACCTCTGCTGCATGATTGTGTGAAAAAGTGGTCACTGAAGCTCTCCCCTTCCACTTGAGAGGGGGTACAGGATACTCTTGCCTTTATGATTAGAACTAAAGCAATTTGCAGTCATGCAATTTCCATGCCATTTGCCCCAATATGTGCCCAAGTTCTTACCTTGCTACTTGCTGCTGCATTTATTTAAGATGTGAGAAACTTGCACCCAAAGTGTGTTAAAAGTAAATTTCGCCTTATCAATTCTAAAACTACTAGCTCTGGCATTGCTATACTGATGTGTTTTTATGGTAAGGTTTGTGCAAGTAAGCAAAAATTTCAATTGTTGCTTCAAATAGCATACTATTTGATTTTATATCCGTATGAAACACTGAGAGTGCTTGGAAGTTTTGCAGTACTTCTCATTGTTCATTTTTTGTTTCGGCTGGTTAGGTAGTTCTGTCCAGTGCGCTTTTTAGTGCGAACCGGGGCATTGAAGTGAAGCAACACCTGCAAAGTAAACGTTGCAATTTTGTGTATTTCGCTTCGCCACAGAGTACCCGCATACCTTGGGAAAGAATTAAGACTTTTTTAGGAACGAGATTGTGTATGCATTGTGGGGTATGCGTGGTATTTTGTTACATTTTTTGTGTGCAAAGTAATCAATTAATCACTAAATGACTGAGGCTATTTGTAATTCATCCCTTTTTTTCAGTGACATACATGAGACTGACACTGAAATATTACTCTAAACATTTGCATAGTTTTTTTGTTTTGTCTTTCAGTGTGTTTTGCATATGATATTACTGTGACAAGAAAATCTTTTGGTTTATCCTATTGAAATGCTAAGCCGTGGTTCCGCTTTCGCCAGACGGAGTCATTGAGTCCTGCCCAGCTGCCCATTGACCACCCATCCGAAAAGCTGCTGTCTTTCATGGAGCGCCATTTTGGGCTGGCCCCAGCGCTGCCGCAGAACAACCACTTCGCCGTTTTCCCTGGCTTCTTTGAGGGCCTCCGCCAGCTTCCAGCTCTTGGGGCATTCCTTGGGACTGGCCTCCAAACAGAGCAGTCACCCCGCAACCGCTCTAGGGACCAGGTGAGTCGTTACTGGGCCTCTGCAACTACGGCTGAATCCCCAGTGCTATCTTCCCGGAGAAGATGAGTGGAAGATGGTTGTTCCTTACTTCATTTCTGATTGCGATGTAAAGGTTGGGCAGGCTCTTATTATGTAGTGGTTTAATTTGTCAGCAAAGAACTGCACCATGACTGTGGGACTTGAACATATTTTCTGTACCATATATACAAAGTGCTAGATATTCCAGCTTACCCAAGTACCATCCCCACTGATTATGCCGCACCTGTTCCTAGGTGTGCCATAGTTGCTAGCCTTACCAATGATCCATCACCATATTTGGCTTATGGTGTATCCAGCAATGATGTAGCCATGGAAGGAGGCAACTATGGGGCCTCAGCTGATCCTATATTATACATATGCATTTTGACCCCTCCCCCCTCTACATCCCGTCATTAATATCCCAGCCACCCCCCCCCCCCCCCAAAAAAAAAAAAAAAAAAAATCTTTGGCTAGATTATGGTAATTAGTGTTGGGTACCATATCCAAAAAGTAATTGAAGTAAGGTATGTACAAAGTGAGCGAGAGTTTATGTACTTTAAGTAAAGTAGTAAGTGCTAGACCGGGCTCAGTGTACTTGAAGTAAAGTACCTACTATAAATGCAAAGTACTTTCAGAGTAAAGATCAAGTACTTTTTAACACAATTTTTTATGGTGCCCTTTTATTTTCCTATACAATGTTTTTCTTTTTTAAAGTGATGTGCATTGCCCTAGGGGGAATCGGGATGCATCAGTTATTTTCGGGAATGGCGGCGAATATTGGATAAAGTCAAGTTGCTTCAGAGCTGACTAAGCACACTTTTGTGATACAAACTTAACCAAATTTGAGGAGTGTAATTTAAAGTCAGGACTTGTACTGTCCTCAAAAAGTACAAGAAAAAAAAAGCTTTAAAATATGAGTAGATGCTCGGAGAATGTACTTCAAGTAAAGTATAAGTATCCTAAATCTCTTTGATGTGGTACTTTAAGTACAATGTGCTTGCCTCTTTCCTTACCGTGCCCATAGGCCATCAGTCACACGTGATTGATAGTTTTAATGTGCCACTAAAGTTTAAAATTAGCATGCTGGAACACGGTGCGCCATTGTGGGGAGAACTGAAGAACTATAGTTTCGGTTTATATGTAGGTTTTCTTTTTCCTGTGAAGTGGCGCAATATCGGCAGTAAATCCAAGCGATGCAGAACCGAAACTTGTCAAGAATGGTGACGTGCACACGTCCAACACCTCCAAAAAGATGTCGTCAGTCGTACGATTCAGCTGCATGAGCTGCGAAATTTTTGGATGATACAAGTAGTGAGGGGTCAGAGGGATGAATAGACCCGGAATGTCAACAGGCGCTCGGAGTTGAGCATCGGTCTAGCTTTCTTATTGGTCCTAAGCTGGTGCCTACGTTTTATGTGTGTTGACAGTGCTTTATTTTATTCGCTTAAGGTCTTGACAACCTATGATCACGGTGTTTTTCTTTCAGCCCAGCATAGAGTTACATTTTCGCCGAGACGGCAGCCTGGCGTGGATTTCGGTATCGTGCTTCGTAGCTGCCCACAGAGACTCATGAGGGCCCTTGATTTTTACAGCAGAGCTGTTAAGGACTAGGTCCCCAGGATCGTGTCCGGTACCAAGCAAATGTTGACACAAAACTCAGGACAGCTACCGCCATCTATGAGTGACGGCGGCAACCAGACAACCGGCTTGCCGGCCTCGTTCATAGATGGCGGCAACCTTTCCAGCCTTTCCACTCTGGCTTTCACCAGAGTGAAAGGCTGAATTTTTCTAGAAGTCGTCCTAGAAGTCGTCCTAGAAGTCGTCCTAGAGGTCGTCCTTGAGGTCGTCCTTGACGTCGTCCTATACGTCGTCCTTGAGGTTGTTCAAGAGGTAGTCCTCGAGGTCGTCCTAGAAGTCATCCTTAAGGTCGTCCTAGAGGTCATCTTTGAGGTCGTCCTGAACGTCGTCCGTTGAGTCGTCCTAGACGTCTTTCCTGAAGTCGTCCTAGACGTCCCTGAGGTCGTCCTAGACGTCGTCCTCTAGGCGTCGTCCTTGGGGTCGTCTAACAATCGTCCAAAAAGTCGTTCTTGAGGTCGTCCCACCATCGTACAGCTTCGCTGGTCTTCCTTCTTTACCAGAGTGGAAAGGCTCAAAGTTTTATTTCTCCTGTTTATTCACTGCTGAGGTTATTGAAAGCCTGTGTCAGAACACAAATAAATATGCTTGGATGAATAGTTTGTAAAAATCTGCATATGCTCGACCAGACGGCTCTTGGGCAGATGTCGCACCCACTGAGATGCTGTAGTTCATTGGACTGCTAATTTACATGGGTACCGTGGAGCTTCCTGGGCTGCATCCTTATTGGAATATGGGGACCCTCTGCGAAGGTCTTCTCCCACGAAGGACGATGTCTAGGACACGTTTTTTTTTTGCTAATTGGGATGTTGCACTTTTCTGACCCGGATGATGATAGAGCGTCAGGAGGCAAGTCCCGGAAGGTACACTAACCAAACATCATCAAGGTTTTCCGAGCCAGACCGAAACCTGTCCTTGGATGAATGAATTGAGAAGCCCAAAGCCAGTGCCGGAATCGGGTAGTACATCCGGCACAAGGGCTCCGACTAAGTAGGGCTATAGGCTCCGAGTATTGGCTGACTTCTGGACAGTATACACGGTCCAATTCTTCGTGTACACTGGCAGGCATGAGAGGCCAGGGCCACGTGGCTTGGCTTTTGATGTCGTCAGTGAGCTCTTTGCACAGTAACTCGGCTAACGGTACAAAGATTTTATGGACAATTTTTGTACATCTTCACACCTTTTTGTCCACCTCCTCGACCGCAAAACACTGGCCTGTGGAACAACACGCAAAGATCGCCGTGGCTTCCCAGCAGAGCTCAAATATGCAAAATGGGAAAAACAAGCTCAACGGGGAGACATTTGTTGGTGGCACGACCATAACATCCCCTACCTCTGGTGCAAGGATAGGCGTGTGGTGAACAGAAAGAGCACCATCCACGCAGCCAACAAGCACATTCCTGCCGTGCGAAGCGAGAGAAGAGGAGACACTTGGGGTTAGGAGAAATGTTAAGGAGCCCCTGCTGATCCATGACTACAACGTTGAGATGCTCGGTGTGGACAGGAGTGACTAACTCATTGGGTCATACAACATGCTCATGAAATGCGTGCAATGGAGGAAAACCCTGTTTTTCGCTGCATAGATGTTGTGTGCTTGAACAGTTCTATTATTTTCCAAGTGCATCGCAGAGAACACCCAAACAAACGAGAGTTGGCTCTTCGTCCTCATTTTGACCAGCTGGCTTTCGGAGAGGAACTAATTCAGCAGCCCTTTGGATTGGATGACGTGGAGTGTGTCTTCACCCCTCCCCCCGAAATTAAGAAGGATGACAAAGCGAATTAAGAGGGATGAAAGTGAATTCCTAGACGTTGTTCTCTAGGCATCATTCTCGACGTTGTCCTAAAGGTCGTCCTAGAAGTCATCCTAGAGGTTGTCCTCTAGGTGTCGACGTCATCCTAGGCGTTGTCCTCGACTGGCTTTCGCCTTCCTACATGTGAACAGTCTTAGGTGTACTCTTGTATTATTCATGGTGCTTGTTTATGTAATCACAGATTTTTTTTGTAAGCTTTTTTAATGCAAATTTGAGTTCTAGAAATCAAACGTTTGAAAAATCTTCAGTTCATGGATCGAAATGTTATTTCCTCGTAAAGAGTAACTAATCGGCTGCGTTTTGGTGTGTCATAGTTTACCGTTCTCTTAGTTGTTAAAAAAATATATTGTGTGCACTCCCTAAAAGTCACCACTTTTCCCCATGGTAAGGAAAAAGTTAAAGTACTTCCAAACACTGGATGTATCCTACATCTCAGTGACATATACGCTCACTTCTATTGGTCTGTTGTGGCTGCCTGTGATGCGCTGCCATTCATGCGTGCACCTTCATTGAGTAGCAAGCTTAGCCGCCTCGGTGGCTCCGAGGCAAAGCGCCGGCCTACGGATCCCCAGGTGGTGGGTTCGAATCCCGGACCGAGCTTCCTTTTGCTTGACAAAAGATCCCCAGGGAGTCGCACTTAATCCTCTGCTGGGGCGTGCCAGATGCTCGTTGTTTGTTTGGCATGTAAAACCCCCAAATTTAACTGAGTAGTGGGCTTGAGTTGAGGGCGGTACTTGTATAGTCGATAGATTTCATGCGGCGTTTTATGGTATAGCAGCCCAAAGGGAAAATGTTGCCAGACTGTGCCCTGTGTTGCAGGGGAGGCTACCGGTGACCAAACGCAGCAGACCCCACTCCCTGGACTCTTCTCTGGTGGGCGGGTAAGCGTCGAGACCAAGGCACGTCGATATCGGGGCCTTCATATGTATCTCACCGGCGCTTTCCAGTTGCCTGGAGTGGACCTCCTACGAGCGTGGCAGTCATAGCAGATGCAGCATGCCACCTCAAGATTCTCAGGCTTGGCAGCTATGTGAGTGGATCTCATACAAACCTTCCTCTTTCCAAATTTGTAGGCTTCACCCCCGAGGGAATATGTGACATCTCTCAGTTATCATACCACTGTCCACTCAGTTTTGGTGAACTTTGCTGTAGATAAATACACTGGTGGATTTTCTATATGGGAATTTTTCAAGGGCGTGTTATTTATTTGAAAATAGTGACCTCGTTATGAACAGTGCCTCTGTGTGTGTTTCTCTACAGTGCTCAGAAAGAGCCAATCACTGCAGTTTATGGAAGAGGCCCAACAAATGACGAGGCAGCAGCGACGTCAGAATGCAGAAATGAGATCTGTGTGGATCGTAATTATTTTATTTCAAATGTTATCTCTGCTTTGCAATTCACCGGCTCCTTTCCTAAATCTTAATGACTGGTCTCCATAGGTTCTGAGGAAAAATAGACACACAGGTCTTTTTTTTAAAAAGGTCGACCTTTTTTCGAAAAAATAGGGTTAACCCCCAAACATATAATGCAATATTTTTCTGTCAAGTTTTATTGGATAGAGATTATTGTTACTTTTTACTGAGAACATTTATTCGGGTTTTTAAAAATAAACTTTCAGCATTCATAGAATATTTTCTACAAAGAAACGTATAACAGCATAAAGATTTTTTAGATAATATATTGGTTTTTGTTTAAATTTGGAGGGCTTGAGTTTATTTTTGTTTTCGGAGAGTGCTTCTTGCCTGCATAAGATCAGAAGATAGACAAGCTTTTTTGAGCTTCTCCTGGTCTGCACTTGGGAGCCGAGAATGGGGCACCTGTTCTGACAACCCCACCTCCCTTCCCTTACACATACATATGACTGACCGGTCTACGTATGAGCAGGACCATCCCATAGACGTCTTTATCCGTCCGTCTATCTCATTCTTGTTCAAATCAAACAATATTAAAGTGGATTTTTACCACTTGTGATCAAGTTTGCCAACAAGAGAAGCTCTCACGCATGTAAGCGCATTTGTTAACCATTTAAAAATAAATACAAACTTTTTTGTAAAAAAAAAAAAAAGTTTTACGAAAAAGTTTACTTTCATGAAGCTTGGCTTTTTCTTATTTCGAAAACAGCTCCAATTTCAGACTTTTCTGTTTTCTCGAATTTTTATGAAACTGTCTCGGAGGTTTCGACACCGGGCACGAAAGCACGCGATGTCAAATGCCCCGTGTCAAATACTCCGTGGCAAACACCCCGTCCTTTTACCCCCGCTTTCAGAAGCCCCAATTTCAGAAGCCCATGACGCGAATCCCCCTTGTCAGGTGGCCAGATCCTCAACGTGACGGCGGAGCATTCTGCTTTTAACTAAGAGACAGTCTGCACGCGGGCTTGTGTAACGTAATCATGAGGTACCCGGGACTCAAGTAATGAATAACTGGATAAATCTTCCGTTCTTCAGGCACGCACTAAACACACTCACGTCTTGCGACGTTAGAAGCGAAAATACGCAGACAATATCATTCACTGGCAGAACACTTGAAGTTACAGCTATTATCAATAAACATTGGACCGAAGCTTTTGTCGACTCTGAAGCACCAGCGGATTCACAGCGACAAAGTGGGTTCAGTCAAAACGGATAAACCACAGCTCATGGCGCCATATTTATCGCAGCACCAAACACCAGTTCCATCTTCTTAAGTCGTTCTAAAAAACAAACAAAAAAAAAAAATCTGTACTCATCTAGGTTCATCAAGTTCATAACTCTGCGTCTGAGTATCCTTTAATTACAAGACCCTTAGAAGGCGCTCAACAGATTAAGTTAAGACGTGGAAAAATGCGGGTTGAAACTCGAAGGTGATGAAACAGGACAGTGAGGACTGGGCTTTTGGCACACGGGAATACGGGACGGGGAAATTGAACGCGGGGTTTTCGAAACGTGGGGCTAATGACGCGGGGCTTTTGCGACAGGGATTCTGCACGCTGGGCAATCGTGCTACACCCATTTTTTTTTTTGTTCTGTGTTTATCAGTGCACACCGATAACAGATAACCTGATAAGTTATATTCACCACTTTTAAAGGGACATCTAACTCGCAAGAGACATTTTGAAGTGCCTAAATAGACACATGTCTCACAAAATGAGCTTTCCTTGGGAAAAAATAACATTTCGAGTACTACTGTATTTACATTGCGAGACAAGTTTTGTGAATTGCTCCTTACTCAAAATGAGTCTCGTGACGTAAATATTGCAGTATTAATTTTTTTGTAGTTCATTCTGTGACATTTTTAGGTTGTCCTATCCAGGCACTTTAAAAAAAGTTTCTTGGGCGTTTAATGTACGTTTAGAGTAGTTTTATTTGAAATTGGACATGCAAGTCGAGATGGGTATTTTGATTTGCCTAAAAAGCTTGCACATTGTGGCCCCATTTGCGTAATAGACAAAGAGATTTAAAATTTTGTAGGAAAATTATTTGGTGAAATGCTACATTTGGCTGCTTGATTTTCGTTTTCAATTCTGCCGTTCAATATAAATAGGCAAAAGCAAAAACACTGGCGGTAATTTTTCTTGTAAATGTATGTTGAATTGTACACTACAATTCAGCTTTAGTTGAATTTTTTTTAACAAAATAATTTATGTGGATATAGTCAAAAATAAATTTAATAACTTTGAGCCCGCTTTATTAGACAGATTTTTTTATATTTTTTTTATAGTTCTTAATAATATTAACTTTCTATGGGTTTAATCAAAATTTCCCTCCTTTTTTTTTTTAGGGGGGGGGGGGGGGCATACACACACATGAACCGGTAAAAGGGAAGTTTCGCAAGTTGACTTTATTTAAAAGTGTTTTACCCTCTGGGAGGTGAGGGGCGACGGAAGGGGGTGGGGGATGATGTGGACGTAATTAAGCAAACCTTATGATGAATCTTAAAATACCAGGCTTCAGATAGGATGTCACCAAAACGTCGAAGATGCGTTGTTTGGCATTTTTTTATATTATTTTTGGCACGAAATATGCCGACGGAGTTTCGTTCGAAGGACAAAATAGGCCACGCCTCATACATTTACGAGAAAAAATACTGCATGTTTTTGTTTTTACCTATTTATAACTACCGACAGAAACTGGGTACAAAGATCAAGCAACCAAAATGTAGCATTTCATCTTACTGCACTTCAAAATGTTTGAATAAAATAATTTTAAACAAATTTTAAAGAGTAGTATGGATCGTTACGCAAACGGGCTTAACACACACACACAAACACACACACACACACACACACACACACACGTGTGTGTGTGTATATATATATATATATATATATATATATATATATGTATATATATGTATATATCGGGTGTTTTTTTTTTTATTCTTACACATTTGTTTAAAAAAATCCGTGATAGCTAGACTAATGCGGTTTGTGCAGGTTGGTTATACGGCCAGGCGGACAGTATGTGGGCGGCTAATCTTTGCGATTAGTCGGCTAATTAACTAAAATTCGTTAATTAACTTTTTAGTTATTGAAAATAAACATATGGTTTCAATTAGAAACTTGCTGAGCACCATCGAAAACCCCTAAATCAACTATTTTTAGCAGGATATAATGCCGGGGCAGCTTTTTACGGCGCTCTGTAAAAACGCTCCATTTGGACGCGTTTCTAGATTTCGGTTTCTTATCGGAGTGCATCTACGCGCCCGCGATCCTGCTCCCCGGTGGTCGCGGCGCGAAGCCACCTCCTCGCCTCCTTCGTAGAATGGAGGGAAGTACGGCGCACGTGTGTTGCGCGCAGAAGTCGGCATTTTAGGTCGCCCTCACTCACCCTCACCCTCACAGCCACACTCACCTAAGCCCCTCACTCACCCTCACCCTCACAGCTACACTCACCTTCAGCCCCTCACTCATCCTCACCCTCACAGTCACACTCACCTTCAGCCCTTCACTCACCCTCACTGAACCTCACGGCCCTCACCGCCCTCACGGCCCTTACCACCCTCACGGCCCTCACGCCCCTCACTCACTCATGGCCCTCACGAAACTCACCGCCCTCACGCCACTCACCGCCCTCACGGCCCTCACGGCCCTCACCGCCCTCACGGCCCTCACCGCCCTCACGGCCCTCACCGCCCTCACGGCCCTCATAGCCCTCACGCCACTCACCGCCCTCACGGCCCTCACGGCCCTCACGCACTCACAGCCCTCACGCCACTCACCGTCCTGACGGCCCTCACGGCCCTCACGCCACTCACCGCCCTCACGCCCCTCACCGCCCATGCGGCCCTCGCACTCCTCACGCCCTTCACGCACTCATGGCCCTCACGCCACTCAGGCCAGCTTCAGATGGGGCAATTTCGCCCAGAAACTTGACGTCGCAACACCAGCAACACGGGCCGCCCGCGATCACACGCAGCAACCAATTGCTGCAATTTGCCATCGTCATCATAAAATTTTATTTTTCTTGCACTATTTAGTCACAATTACGCGTTATAAACGTGTTTTTATGCATTTAAACTTCGTTAAGAATACTAATTCACCTTTCTGAAACAGTTTATTTCCAAAAAAAACGATCGATTTCAAACCACAACCAAGTCATTCGGTGTCATCATCACCGGCACGAGGTATCACGTGAAAATTTTGCGTCCCTGATTGGATGCAGCCGCTTCAAACGTATTCGAATTGCTCCGAGTTGCTTGCTTATTTCGAGCCGGACCCGATCTCAGCAATTCGTGTCGATCTAGGGAAAGCTAGAGAACAACCCGCCATTAACACCAAAATTGCTGAGAAAGATGCTCGATCTGAAGGGGGCCTCACACACTCGCCGCCCTCACGCACTCATGGCCCTCACACACCTCATGCACTCACCGCCCTCACGGCCCTCACGCCTCTCATGTCACTGCCCTCACGCACTCATGGCCCTCACGCCACTCACCTCCCTCACGCCCCTCACGCACTCATGGCTCTCATACCCCTTACCGCCCTCACCGCCCTCACCGCCCTCACGGCCCTCACGGCCCTCACAGCCCTCACGGCCCTCACCGCCCTCACCGCCCTCACAGCCCTCACAGCCCTCACTCACCCTCACTCACCCTCACACTCATGAATTTTCCTGGTTCAGAAACTCACTCACCCTCACCTCACCTGTGAAGATGAGGGTGAGTGAGGGTGAGTGAGGGCCCTCATGAATGAGGTTTGCCGTTTGCGCGTCTCAGCCACTGGGGAGCAGGACCGCGGGCGCGGTGATGCGCTCCGATAAGAAACCGAAATCTAGAAACGCGTCCAAATGGAGCGTTTTTACAGAACGCTGTAAAATGCTGCCCCGGCGTTATATCCTTCCAAAAATAGCTGTGGAGGTCTTATGCTGGTCTGTGGATTTATAGACGAATAGTGTATAGTGAAAGGGAGTGTCAATTTCTGTTAGCAAACCAAGGAAGGGTAGAATATTATCGAGGTGGCTATTACCGTGGCTAATTGCGCACGAGAAACAATATAAAGAAGTTTTCCAAGTTCCCTGCACCGAATAAGCAGGCTTCTCTGCGTTATACGTCATCACTGCCGAGAAGCATGCTGAACGGAAGGCAGCCGCAGGTGAGTCGTACAAAAGAAAGCACTCGCCCAGCTTATTATGGTAACCTACTTCGTCGGAAGTTTAAGAATTGCCAATATTCTTGTAACATACATCTATTACATTTTCTAAACTATTTAACTCGATTTGACAATATTGCTCCTGCAGTGAGGAGCAGTGGAGTGGTGCCCCAGGAGGGTTCTTCGGAAGCAGCCCACGTTCCCGGATGCTGGTCACCCAACCCCAGCTCTTGGGCGATTTTCGGACTGGCGCCACCAGACTACCCAGGCTGCCCCGCCACTTCACACTAAATCAGACTCCTGGCTATTTATTGCACATATCTATTTACTTAATTATATACTAAAGTCTGTACGGAGCGACGTTGTTCCGAATAAAACCAAAGCTCGGTGATGAGAGTTTGCCATTTCTAGTAGCGCGATGCTTCGCCGATGGCCCGAGGGTCTCAGGGACGCAGCGCGAGGACCAAGAGAAGGAGAAGAAGAGGCTCGCGCTGCGTGGTTGACCTCTCGGAGCTAGCGGGCACCTGGCGCTCTAATTGAACGGCTGGACGCGCCGACGAGCTCCCGCAGGACTTGCATTGGCACCCGCGTGGCGGTAGCGGTGGCTGCTGCTGCGGGGGCGACACGCAGGTTCTTCCCTGTGCCACGAAGGGTTCGGTGCATACGCAGGTTCCCTCGGGTCCGCAGCGGGAACCGTGGATCTGGCACTGCTCGTGGTAGACGCAGGGCCAGTCCAGGAAGGCCGCGTGTCGACAGGTGGTATGTCGCGATGCGAGGCGCACCTTGAGGGCGCCGGTGCACCTGCAGCGACCGCCGCGGCACTGAGCGCCCCTCGGCGTGCATTGCGCGTCTCCCCGGCACGCATCGCCGAAGAGCGAGGCGACGAAGAGCGACGCCCTGCTCAGGTTGCCGTCGGCCACGGCCATGCACGCCAGCTGGTAGCGCCCGGAGGCCGACGGAAGTCTGTCGAGCCGTCGGAGCTCGAGCCTGTGGTCGCGTAACCAGAGTCCCGGGCCCGCGTGACCCGTGAGGATGCTCTCGAGGGCCGAGTCGTCGGGCGGCCGGCCGTCGATGCTCCAGGATGTGTGCACGGCGTCGCGGTACGCGACCGAGCAGGACAGGTTCACGCCGCCGTCCTCCAAGTAGGGCGCTGCGGAGCGGATGCGTGCCTGTCCCACGGGGACTCGATCTTCGCTCGGCGGGGTCACGTTTGGGGTCATGCCCGGAGTCGACCGCGGGCTTACCCTGGGGCTCAGGCTCGAGCTGGCCCCCGGAAGCTTCCCCGGTTCTGATCCGCGCACCGTGGTCCATGCGACTGCCCAGATGAAGCAGCGGAGAAGGGCCAGCATGTCTCGCTGCTAGGAACGTCGGCGGTGGCTACTGTAGGCAGCAGTTTGGTACAGACGCGTCCTCCAGGCGCTATAGCTGTGGTGGTGTGTCGAGATCGAAGCGGCACCTCGCGAAGGATGCGCGTGAGGCCATGCCTGCAGCACGCTCTGAGAGCACGGGATGCAGTGACTGACCAAGCGACGGTACAACTAGTGCCACTAAATAAGCTCGTTGCTCAGATGTATACCCTCGGCGATCGTGTTTGGGCTGACACTGCAGGGTTCAACAATACTGAGAGGAGTGTTTCTCACCTTACACAAGCTTACCATGCATTCGTGAGAACCAAGCGTACTCGCACGGAACATCACTGATGGACGTTTTCTTTGTCTTTGCAAAACTTGATGACGATCGAAGTTGGGAATTGCATTGCTGGCGTTGTCAACAATGCTGATTTCGTCGAGCTTTGCGATCCCCGTGCTTGTTGCTCTTAGTTTCGACATGCTTGAACGAAGGAAAAATTGCTAGCTTGCGGCGAGCTCGGCTCCCCGAGGTAACGTTGTGCGGTGGCGACTTCGAGTCGTGACCACGCGAACGCACAAATAACAGCTGCGTTCAGAGGTAAACAGCCGCCCGAACAGGTTTGTTATTGTGCGCCGCTGGTGCGGGGCCGCGGGAGTTGTACTACTCACACTATCGCCCGCCACCGGGGACCGGGGGGCGCCATGATACTAAAGGGATACTGAACCAAGGAATTTGGTGTCCATAATAAGTGGCGCACGTTCTTTCCACGAGCCAGCAGCCGCCGGTGTGCGCGAGCACACGCAACAAAAATGACGTCACAGACCTCCATTCGTGGTTGAGATGACAGTGAAATGTATGGGCTTCGGACCAAAGGAGAATAAAGACAAGTTTTTCATCTACACAGTGGTGCCTGGTGTAAAAAGTAAGCGATGAATTGGTCTAACAAGCACGTAGCTTTCACTTGTAGAGATGAAAAGCCTGTCTTTAATCTCCTTTAGTCCGAAGCCCATGCATTTCACTGTCATCTCAACCGCGAATGGAGGTCTGTGACGTCATTTTTGGTGCGTGTGCTCGCGCACACCGGCGGCTGCTGGCTGGTGGAAAGAACGTGCGCCACTTATTATGGGCACTAAATTCTTTGGTTCAGTATCCCTTTAAAGAACATAGTGATCCCTTTAAAGCTTCAGCGCAGGAGGCCTATTGTTATGGAAACGCGCAAGACACGTGCCACGAGCGGGTACTCCGCCGCCATTCGCTTCCAAGGGCCGCTCATTTCAGTGCTGCGCTACAGTGTACTAGAATACTTGGGTAGCTGCGCCAACGAGGTAGAGCTGCGCCCACTGATCTCTATTGTAGTAGGCTGGATCGCGGACCGCAGCCTCGGCAGCTGGTGCCAAGTGTCGCCATTGGCGGCCATTGATTGACACCAGCCAATGCATGGGACTCTATGGGAAGAACGAGAAAAAGTGCCGTTTTCCCCCGTTTCTAAGCTGTTGTCGGCACTGAAACTTTTTGGATACTTTTCGATAAGCCCGTCAAATAGCTGGCGTACAAACATTAAAACTGACAGCGCTCGCAGTTTTTATAAATAAATATTTTGTGGTCGAGAGTGACTCCGCTGTTGTGCAGCTCAGTGAGGCGAGAGTTACCTAGAGTTACCGCGGAGTCGGTGGTGTCGGTGGCGGTTTCGTTGAGTTGGGTTTAGCAGACAAGTTCGAAGCGTTTGCTACGCGGAATTCGCTCACTCCTGGAAAGCAGCTGTCGAGATGGAACTTCTTTGTCATTCATCAACTTCTGTGCTTCCCTAAGGTCGGTCTTATTGACGGCAAGTTAATTTGTTTACTCCACTACGAGAGCAAGCTTGCCAGCTCAGCCGTTGGTGCTCCGGTACGTTTGATTTTTTTATTCGGCAACCGGACGTTTGACAAATACCGATTTGATCTCCAAACACCCGACACAAGAATCGCAGCGCATCATAAAATACTCGCCTCCTAGCACAGTGTACATGCTTCAATATGCTTACTTTTGTGCGTTTCTCCCATAGATTTGCGTGTATTGCCTGGTGTCAAGCAATGGCCGCCGGTGGCGACACCGACGGCCATTGCGATCCAGCCTACTAAAATAGAGATCAGTGGCTGCGCCGTCATTTGTTTCCAAGGGCCACTCGAGACACGGGCCTCGTACACTGGCGGATTTGACGCTACTTGCGAGCAAACGCAAACACGTCGAGGGGCTTTAGGAATTCGGCTGCCGGAACGGCGTCTATCGCCTTTGCAATCAGATAGGAGCGCGGCGCGTTGAAGCGAGCAAGCGAGCAGATAAGAAAGGACGTGCATACGCGCTGCGCCGTTCTCGGCAGCAGGTGGCAATCTGTGTGACATCACTTCCGTGTCCAAGTTTTAGTCGTCATCGACCTCCCAACTTTGCACCCCCTTCAAAGTTCAAAAGAAAAGAAGAAAAAAAAAAAAAAAAAGGGGGGGGGGGTGTGTGGTAGCGGCAGCAGCTCTAGCACGTGGACCGTCGAGCTGACGTAGGTTAGCACTGCTGTCACATTATCAAATTTACGCATCATAAAGATAAAATTCACGCTTGGCGTGAACTGTATCGCTCTATTTTGAATTTTGTCGCTTTAGCGGGATTCGGGGATACTAGGGAGTTTTCGTAGACCGCGCTGCCCCCTCCGCTAAGCGTTCCGCAACGAAGTTGCTACTGCGCCTGCGCGCCGATAGGCTTGACTGTGGAGCTCCCGCTATCATAGCGGGTTGCGGAGGGCCCTTGCGGGACGGCGAAGACGATCTACGAAAACTTCCTAATGCCAGAGTCCCACCAGGGCGACAAACAGAATCAGCCGACACCGACAAGACTCAAACACTTGCAGCGTGCTCGGAATGGCACCTTCGAAAGGCTCGCAGTCTCTCGCTGCTGCTTAGTGAAGCGAGAGTGTTTGCGAACCTGCCGAGAATACCTTAGCGCGAATGCTGCACGTGTTTGAGGCTTGTCGGTGTCTGCTCTTTTTGCTTATCGCTATTAGCGATGTGCGCGGCCAAAAGCGTCGCTGCGGTCAGCTTTCCACGATTGGCCAAACCATGGGCATATGAGCATTGTCAGATTGTCAACTTTGACGGTGTCAGTTTCGGATTGCGATGACTCCTAGCTTCTACTGTGCTTTTTAAACACACCATCAAACTCGCGGTCGCACCCGATGGTAAGTAGCCAGAATAACAGCTGGTGACGTCACGGCGAGGCAAAACCCAGTCGTGACGTCACGGAGGGAAACCATAAGAGGGCGCCACCGAAACATCTCGGCGCTAATAGTGGGACTCGGGCATTCCAAGTGTTGTGCAAACGCGCGAGAAGAAGCACCCGCTCGTGGCACGTGCTTCGTGCCTCCCGCCTCCAATTGGACTGCCCATTTTAGCGCTGCGCTAGCCACCGCTCATTAGGGAGTTTTCGTAGACCGCGTTTCCCCCTCCGCTAAGGCCTACGCAACGAAGGAGCCGCTACTGCGCCTGCGCGCCGATGGCCTTGACTGTAGAGTTCCGGATATCGTAGCGGGTTGCGGAGAGCGTTGCGGGACAGCGAAAATGGTCTACGAAAACTCCCTATTTACACTTCAAGCGGATCCGCGTTCACAAATGCGGTTGCGAACGCGGTAGTATAAAGATCCAGTGCAATTGCACGCGCTCTCGATGTCATCGAGTGCGCGTTCAATTGTACTTGATCTTGATACAACCGCGTTCGCAAACGCTTTGAGAACGCGGATCCGCTTCCATGGCGTGAATGAGTGGTAACTGCGCCTTCACTTGCTTTAACTGCAACCCGAGACGTGAGCCTTGTGCACTAGAGCATTTGACGCTGCTTGTAAAACGAAACCATATCAAGGGACTTGGATAAAAAACCCTGAAAAATTCATGCTTCGCGTTTCCTACAAGTACCGTTATTGTTGCGCGAACGCGCGAGAAATGTGCCACGAGCGGATGCCGCGACGCCATTCGCTTCCAAGGACGTGAGACACGTGCTTTGGAAGCATCCAGCGGTGCTTGTACGACAAACAAACGAATCGAGGGACTCTAGCACATGTTATTTTGAGGGGACGTGCAACGGTAATTGTACTTTCAGTAAGTACCACTTAGAATTAATTAATAGAATACATTCCTTGTGTCCAATCCATGAACCGCGTTCCACTATTCTCGCTAAGAGGAAATCTCGACTACGTCATCGTGCTTTGTGAAGGACAGACTAGAATAAATTTGTAACTTTTGTCGTTGAAATTACACTGCGACACCTCTCCGTCAGCGGCGCTGCGTGCGAGATATGCACTTGGGTCGCACTCTAGAGGTCCTACTAGTGCCAGTATATGCATGTAAAAAGTGAGAAACATCCCAGCGTCATATATCGGGGCACGGCCCCGTTTATTCAGGGTTGGTTTTGCGTTTCACAAATAGTCATTGCTATATATACAGAGTGCATTATATTATACTGCATTTTAAAGTAGCAATATGTCGCGGCATAACCACATTTAAAGTAAACGTCCCTAAATTTCAAAGGCCGTTGAACTGCCTGCGAAACGGGTGTATTTGTCGCAGGGACGCCAGTCTCAACAGCCACTTATCAAGGGGGAAAAAAAAATCAAGCAGGTAATAGAATTGTAATTACAATCAAAATTCCATCGTAAAAGCAAAGAAAAACAGAAAGGGAGAAAAAGAAAAAAGACTAAAAAGAAATTTGGATTTTAATTTTTTTTTTTTTTAATTCTGACGAACTTATGCGCCACAATAAAGACCGAAGTGCGCGTTTATTAAACATTCAAGGAGCACGTTCGGCGATCTTCTTTCGCTGGAAATATTTCCGTTCTGAATCCTTATTACTT